GACAAGTGACAATGAGGTAGATCATCTTCTCTAACAATCATTTGTACCAATTAACATCCTCTAAAAGCAAATGATATATCCTAATAGATGTGCCTCTATACGTGATAACTCTGACTTACATCTAAGTAGCATAATATCTTAAAGCATATTAAGAACATACTTTTGTTAAGAGAAAGTGAATTTGTCATCTTGATAAACAAACTTAATCCTAAGAAAGTATTATGAAATCCTCAGATCTTGTATACTAAAGTACTATTGTAGGTATGATTTGGTAATTTGAATGTTTACTTCATTATTTTTTGTTACAAGAATGTAATCTACATAAATGACTAAGATGATAATACTAGCTTCGATAGTCTTTGTAAATACTATGAGATTTACAAGACATAGTGAGAATCTGAATTATACTGGAAGATTATTGAACTTGATGAACTAGACACATGAATTTTGCTTAAGTTCGTAAATGATGTGTTACAAAAAAGACACCTTGAATGACTCTCCCTAAACAACATATTTAAGAGGTTGCTCTATAAATACCTATTCCTCAAATTCACCACAATAAAGGAAGGCATTATAAACATTCAACTAATGTAATGATCATGTTTGATTCACCGCCAAAAAGAGTATCACTCGAATGGAGTTGAGTCAAATCACTAGAAAGAATGTCTCAATGTAGTTAATGTCATAAGCCTACATGAATTCACGAGCAACTAAGCGAGCCTTGTGACGTATAATATATCTATTTAGGTTATAATTGAGTGTGAAAACCCACTTACATGTGACGTTATTAGCATCACATGAACAAGATACAAGTGTCCAAGTTCTTTGAGACACTAAGGCATCCACTTTCAAGTTTATGGCCACCTTCTATTTAGGTATTTATATAGCCTCAACATACAATTGTAGAATTGACTCGAAGGCTACAAAAAGAGAAAAAGTACGAAAGGAAAGAGAAAGGTAGATGTTGAAAACAAAATAAGAAATAGAGTGTTTAATACATGTGTACTAACGTGACTTAGTTGTTATATAATAAATCATGTAAATTTAAAATTTATAAAACTAAAAAATACTAATTTTTAGATATATATATATATATTAGAATAAATATATTAATTATAAGTCAATAAAAGTTTTAAAAATAATAATAATTCTAAGTCGATCACAAAGATGTAATATAATATTAGATAATATTTCAAAAAAATGTAAATAATATAATTTTTATAAATTTTAGACTAAGAAATAAAAATAAAATATATTTAAAATTTATGAAAAAAGAAAATAATAGTGTGGATGTTAAGATAATGTCAATGCCTTGACGAATATAATTTGAGTGAAAACAAAATTATGTTTAGTGATTCTTACATAAGTGATTATAGATGAATTAATAAGTCTAATTAAGATTTGTAAAAACCAAAAGAATCATAATTAAATGAAAAATATTTTAGTAATTTGAAATCATGTAAAGTATTACTAAATTAAGTAAAAATTAAGTTGAAAGCAAGAAAGATAGAATTCTAACTTCACAATAGTGATCGGTGAAATTTTATATGTTTGAGAGGAATATCATATAATGTTCATGACCTTAGACTCTTTTTTGACATAGACAATATAGACAATTTCTAGATCTTCTTGTGAAGTTTAAAAATCAATGAAATAAGTCATCAAATCATCTCTAATAGTTATCACTTAGTAGAGTAAAAAAATGGTAACTTTATGACTCTCTAGTGATTGTCACCTACTAGAGATGAGTTAGATAGAGGTGAGGTATGTCTTAGAGAACTTCATCCTTGCACACCAAGAGGAGGCTCTTCATCACATCTAATAAGCTCTCAAGAGATGGCGATTCATCTTTTAATAGATCCTCTTCTTCTCGACGACAACTTATTCATCAATCAATCAAAGATTAGTTACTAGATGAATTCGTGATCTTTTTATCTAGAATCATTCATCAATTTTAGTAATGATACTTTACAAATCACGTTGATGAGATTTTTATTAGTGATTGAGTGATTATGATAGCTTAATCATTTGTGATCAATCTATAAGAAAATTATAATTTAATTAGATAAAAATATGAGTTTTGACTTTAGTAAGATTTAAACTTGTATTGATCACCCATTTTCATGAAAGAAAGCAAAGAAACTACTCAAATATCCTTATAAAGTGACATCATTATAGTATCTCATTGTTATAAATAAGAGATATTTTTGTACTAAAATTATCAAAAATATTTTGAGAAAGGTGTGATTGCTGATTTAGTCCCACATTGATTGTACCTTGAATGTTAAGACGAATATATACTAATACAACATTTGAGAATCAAGAAGTCCTTTTTTTGCATGTGTGTGCCGTCAATTAGTTTACCTTTAGCCGTTCAAGCCTTTGCTCACAACTCCACCCAACTATGCTTTTGATCTGCTTGTGGGCTCAACTAGTTGACAGGTTCCCCTTGTTTTTTATTTTTTATTTTAATTTCTTTTTTATCTCAAAAATAAGATTAGAAAAATTATATAAATTTACATAAAATTATATAATGAGCCAAAAATTACATTAACTAATTAAAAATTACTTTTTATAATTTAACACAAATATAAATCTATTTATCATGAGTTAAGATAAAAACTATATTATTAATTAATTATTAGCTCATGATATTGAAGACTTCTCACATCCCCCAACTTGAATTATTGCTAGTCACTTAGCAATGAAATCATGAAACATAATAAAAAATCATAAATTTTAAACATCATATTTAAATACATACAAATAAATTTTGAAATGGTACACTTCAAGACACTTTAGACTCTTATCTCAAGTATTTAAGAATAATATCAAGTACTTAAGTTCAAAATGATGTTCATTATTTTTATCTATACTCTCATGGCTTCCACAAAACCAAAAAATGACACTTATTTAATGTATAGGTTATTCCTAGTGATTAGTTACATCTTAATAAAACTTTCAAGATTGTGATCAATATGTAGCACAATGACTTTAGATATTTTATATTAAAAGTTAAATAGTCAACATACGTGCAAAATATTTAGTCATCACATGAATCATAATGATATTAAAATGTGACAATGTACATATAATATGAGAATATTATTCATTACATAACCGAAGATCTTCAATTGATGTACTAAAAATATTTTACAATCTTCATAAAATGATCTTTTCATAATTAGAATCACATATGATGCATTCACATGAAATGGGCTAATGATGAATGACAACATGTAAAGTGAATGTTTTAGTGTTGTGTTTCCATCAAACATTTTTAATATATATATATATATTGTTGCATGATTCTTCAAACACTATTTTGTTGCACATAAATAAATAGAAGTGATTTGTCTTAGAACTGAATATGACCAATTATAGGCAAAGTTTTTAACCAACTAAGTAGTGGCAACATCACTAAAGTCAAAGTAAACCTTAAATATTCCCTTCGTATAAGATTAGTGGGAGTGAGTTACTTGGGGAATGTAATGAAGTACCATGAGGAACCTAGAGGAGGAATCAATTATCTTTTGATATTCTAATTAATGTGTACTTCTTAATCTGATTTTCTCAGCTAAAGATTTATGGTGGTTCAATTCACCCAACCTACTCTAGTCTCTAAGGACCACATCCTTTGGTTCCACTAAATCCTGAGCAAAAGGGTCTTAGCCACCTTTCACAAGACTTAATGGCTCCAGCCAGCTCAATTGTTTCCCTTCGAGACACTTTTTCTACATTTAGCACCTATGATTCCAGGAGGCCATACTACATTGGTGTCCATGTTCTAGATTCATGGCATGATCCATTTTCTCATAGGGGCAAAAGTAGCTTGTGTGGAGGAAGACTAAATGCTTGAAGTATGATAATTGATTTTGTAGCTTGAATTATTTTTCTCTAGCTGAGATTTGGGGTGAGTATTCCTTAAATTTTAGTCATTTAGATTTTTAAAATTCATAACTTAATTAAAAAACATTGGACTCCCAACAACTATACTACTCAAATGACTGACTTCATATTTTGGACAAATCTTAACTCTCTTCTTATTGGAGTGGACACCCAACATCCTCTATAGAAAGAATAGCTCTAAGATTTTCAAATAAAATATGTAAATCATATTAAAGAATTTGCAATATATACTCAGCCATATTCAAGGGTCGTGAATATCTATATAAAAAGTAATCATTCTTCCTTTACATTCCTTTACCTCAATTTGATACCTTTAAGCTACAGTGATTATGCTCACCAAGGCAATTTTAACATTATGAGCCAACCATATTACCCTTCAATGCCAAAATCTTTCATTCACATTTGGTCCATACTAAAATCATACCAATAACAGGAATGGACAATGAAAAATTTAAATTCAACAATAACCATGGTTTCTAATTCAATGATCTTACTCAGTGTGCTGTGGTAAATTAACCATCAGAAATAATTTTGCTGGCTTCCTTGATAGCTCCACAGCTGCTCAGTGAGGAGTGCAGGCCATCGGTTGCTGGGGGAAGAGGATGACAACAATGAACCAAGAGCCATCGGCAAGTATGCACAGAGTGCCTACAATCACTTGGAAGTGATGGGGAGAAGAACAAACAAGTAGCAAGAGGTGTAGGTGAGGACATAGGGAGATAGACAAGGAAGTCCACAAGGAGGTAGAGAGTGGTTGTAAATTAAGTCTTCTTCAAGAATGGTAGCATAGAATTGCCATTGAGATAGGTAAATAATCATCAAATTTGACCATGAGCGAATTATTTGAGTATAACATATAGATACCAATTCACAGTTCACCACATCCTAAGGCTCCCCCATGGTGAAAAGATTAGACACTTCTAAAGACATAAACCTCAGGAATCCTAAAATTTACTTTGGAATTAATATAAGACATTATCCTGAATCATGTTCCACATCTCCCTCTGCCAAGTGTCTCCCAATGTACCCATCTTCCCCTCGTCTCTCACCATAGCTTTTCCTTCACAGACACAGAGGGATTCACCAAGTCCTCATAGCCTAGATGGTTCCTGAAATCTCCAAACCCTGATATACTTATCACCATGAGTGGTGACCACCTTCTTCATCCCCATTGCTAGACAAGTAATGAAGGGCCTCCGGTGCCGCAGAATGCTACCGATATGAGCATCACTGGGGAGAGCCACTGCTTGACACTGCGTGATCTTCTTGTTATCTTCGCGCATGGCAGGGGCGGGAGGTCTGTTTATGTCCATCACATAGCTTGCAAGGACCTCACCTGTGCGCTGGCTCAGGAACCGTAGAACACCATCGATGCCGCCTGCTGATATTGTTGCTGTGTCACCAGGGAGATGATGAACAGCGTAGATGATGTTGGAGCTTGTCCTCACCTCCCAGAGTGGCCTCAAGGTCCTGAGATGGGAGCACAAGAAGGTTTTCGGCTCAAGAAATCGATCTCAGTGATGTACTGAGTGAATTACTCCCCTCTGAATGTTACTGGAAAAATAAACTATGGGCATTCCATGAAAAGCAATCACGTATAAGAAAAATGGGCAGTGAGAACTGAAAATATGCAGCAATAGGGTCTGTGGGAATGCGAGTTGGACTGACCGATTCAGGTTTTATGCATTAAAATGAAAGGATATCAACAACACTTTCTAATCAAATTAAGAACCAAAATACTCTACAGAAATTTGGATAACTTGTAAAACCACCCTCAGCCCAACCCAAGCCCTGCAGATCTCTCCCTCCTGTGGGATTTTCAAGGAGAGATTTTCTTCTCTTCTAGTTATTGGTGTCTAGAGGTTTGCAGGAATGAGGTCATGGCAGGAGTGGTAATTTGTGAATTACGTGAAATTTGTCTTTGATGATCCACTTGGCCTAGTTATGGAAAGATTACGATCAATGGAGAACTAAACGTAGAAAATACAGAGTTGGAGTTCACTAAAATAACCCATGATTCGAGAAGGCATTTGAAGTTCCAGTGTTCTACATCAGTACTATATGGAGGATTTATCGTAGGAGACTCCCCCATATGGGATTAATTTTTCTCAATGAAGGGTCTCACATGGATTAATTTTTCATGGTACATTTTTTTTAATAAAATTAAAAACTAGTATTTTCCAATGAAATCGCCCTTAAAAGTAAGGATCCTGCTGTTCATCGTTTCAGCACTTTTAAAAGCACTTTGACATTTCCTAGGCCTCCGGTTGTTAAGTTGCTACCCAGAAGAAAATACCATGAAAAGATTATGGTCCTTGAGCTATTATAGTTAAAACAACTGACCGGAGATGGGCAGTGAGGAAACGAAGGTGCACAAAATCTTATTGACGTGGGCAGTAAAACAAGAACAAGTAAAAAATAACAATAAAACCCCACGAGAGAGAAAATAAATGAAGCATTTCCCAATTAAAGACCAGGATAGTATCCCAGATGTGGAAGTAAATGCTCACCTGAGGTCCCAACAGTGAGAGTAACCAGAAGTTGATCCAGCAAATATGAGATGGTTGTTTACGTTAAAGCATAGGCTGCTAATACCTGCATCAAAGATGATGGAAAAAAATAATATTGAATAGAATGTAATCAAAGATGTTAAAAAGTTAAAAAAATACATTAAAAAAAGGTTGTGGAACAACCGATGGATATTCTTTGCATTGAAATGGAAATTCAGTGACTAAATAAAAAGAAATAGCAAGTTTTTAGAACGTTGCAGAGGAGTTTATTCATTCTGAGTATTATTTATAACCAAAGGTATCTACAATACACACGTACACAGACAAAAGGCAAGTATACAACATAAACCACTACAACATATACTCAGCTGATATCCTGATGAAGAAAGTTTTCAAACTTGATGATCAGTTTTTTAATGATTTTTCCATTTATTTCCCTGATATCACTGGAAATAAAACTCACACTTGTTCCAGCAACAGTAGACTAACCTATTGGTGAAACAGAGGATTTCAAGGAAGCGACCCTTTCACCAGATGAAAGATCAGCGACAGTGATGCTACCGTAAGAAGAGCCACCAAGAATGAGTTGCTCATCAGTCAAAGACAAGCATGTGACCGGTCCTGCATGCATCCTGCCAGTCATAAGAACATTATGAATAAAAGAAGAGCGGCACATATTATCTCATACTTATACACCATTAATATCAATCTTGAAGGTGTTCACGATGCTCAGGACGGATCTATCAGCTGAATTCATTCGCACCACATGAAAGTAGGGAAATATGAACGGTGCATCCTACATAAGGCACTAATTTATGTTTGAAACTGGGCAACTTTTTTGAACAGGCCAAATCATGCAGTTCGCAAACATTCACCCTTGGCAATCTGAATGGCACAGCTGATATATTGCTGGAGAAAAGGTTATGAAATGAAAACATTTTGGTAAGAAAACGCTAGGCCCTTTTTACTTAACTATCCAATGAGGATAAAGCAAGATCTTAAGCTTATTAGAAAGTAGTCCAGAAATTATCTCAATTTTGGCAGCACAATCTAGTTAACAAATCAAAGGCATTCAATAAAGGTGCTACACTAATTTGGCACAATGAACTAGGCATTGAAACCCATGTTAGTTTGAACGCACAACAACCCAAACCGAAGTACATGACACATCAGCTCTAATGTCACAACCCCAAATATCATGTGCCATCAGTCAATCAAACGAAAAAAGGACTTGGAAACATCTTGAGGATTTTCATGTCGTGAAAGAGAGTACTATCGTCATTCACCAAGGAGATCATAAGAATTCTATTTTCCTCCCTTTGCAATGAGTGAAAGCTTGATTCTGGCACAGGCGTGCTGACCAACTGTGGCCCCAGTTCTCGTGTGAACTTGCTAGCTAATAACAGCAGATCAAGGAAAGGCAAAAATACACGTGACACTATTAATCCTCTAAAATCAAATCAAATCAAATCAGCCCTAAAAGTCAAGAAACAGAAAAATGACAGAAATTAGTAGAATCACCAATCCAGCTTGTTTTTTTGGCCAATCTCTATCCTGTTTTCAGTCAGCTCCACACTTTGAATTATTTTTTCGTCATTTCAATACTTTCAGATTGTACTGATCAGTTCTATATATCATAATCCTTTATCTCTATCAAATCAGGATTACTAGAAAATTTCTAGTAGCTAGAAGTCGTAAAACTGTTCATCACGTAATGAAAACCAAATCTTAAGGCAAACCATCTAATTTAAAGCTTAGGATTAATCTCGTCCTTCATATTTGTAGGCTTGCAACAGCTCCAGAGGTTCTTCCTTAACCACTCCATGAGACTCTTAATCTGCATCACTTCGGCAAACATAGTATATCAATCATTGTAGAAATCTGGACATTAATTAGATGATCTTATCTCCCATAAATTTCATTGAATTTAGTTATCCTCCAGTGTGTTTATGTTTGGAAGCATCAGTATTGATTGATGATATTTTCCATGTAAAAGTAATTATTTTGCCTCAAGAATATACAAGATGAACAATTATCAGTTAACAAGATTTTTTTTCGTCCTCTTCATTACTCTTTTGCAATTTATCCAGTTTTCATCAATGCATTTATTTTCATTGAATCTGATAATGGCAGAATTACTCCTTAGCCGCCATTTCTTGCGAAAAATCTTTGAAGGATACTGAATATACTTGCCAAAATAATGCAGACATCATATCACACCACAACTCAGCTAAGAGTCATAGAAAATACCGGATGATCTTTGAACAGCTGCCACTGTACATATCAAATACACGACTTCTTCCATCTTCACAACCAACGACAGCTTCAGGATCAAGATATCTGAGAGAATAGTGATAAACATTGAAAGATGACATGGTAAAAAAAAATACACAGAAATTAAAGGATAATACTTAGAATTCAATCTAAGTGGTGACAGAGGAATTTTAGCTAATATGACCAAAAAAACATTTATAAACTTAACTGGAGCGATCAACGTAAACAGAAAGTCTTTTAGCTTCTGCAAAGAATGCAGAGAATCAGAATAGGCATCGTGACTATTAGCCTTCTATGTGACCCCTCCATATTTCGTGCAAAAAGTAAGACTCGTAAGAAAAACGGAAAATAGATATTTTTGTGGAAGCATACGTGCAGTAAAATATGCTCCTTACCAAAATATGATGGGATAAGAATATCTATAAACCATAAAAATAAGCGCGAAAAAACATTAAAATATTTTGAAAATACAAATTAGAGAAAATCTGCTTCTCCACAATTATCAGTCACAAACAACAAGTCCAGATAACATAGAAAATTAAGAGCCTTACTATCACAATACTAAGTTAATTATTACACTCCATCCTATTTCTTTCATTATGCATGGAGTTTTGAAAAATCAAACCCCAACAGATCCAGATAATGTAGCAAATTAAGAACCTTGCAAACACAATAGCAAGTCTACTGTTACATACCATCATATTTCTTTGGTTATAACTGCTGATATGTATAGGAGTATGAAAAAATCAAACAACAACACCAGATTATAAATATGGGTTTTACCAGATATTTAAGAAACAGAACATAGCATCCAAACAAAAGGCAAAACATTTGACCAGGTTAAAGTTCGTAAATCAAATAGCCTTTCTTCTAGAAGACAACTTGTTTACACAATTTGACGCAGTCATGCGATGCTGGTAAACATTTCATTGGGATTCTGGTATAATTAACTAACGTCAACAGTTTAACAAGAAGGACCGTCTTGTGTATTTCACAATCACATACCGCATGCATAAGCTGCGGGCAAAGCTATGGTCCCTTGACTGAAGAATATTCATCTTCCCATTGCGCCTCCAAATGCATATTTGACTTCCAACCAGACCAACAACCTGGAAATTAAAGATTAGATGATTATCTTTATTTTATTTCTTTATGGGAGGGCGAGTACTTGACAAGATAGAGAGATTTTCACAAGATAGATAAATAAATCAACAAATGAAATCGACCAATAAAAAGGGATAATGTTATTACTGTGATCAATTGTGTAAATACTCACAAACTAGAGCATCCAACAATACATTCAGGCAATTTTCATTAAGACAAAAGCAAATTGAGGTAAGAGACAATAAGAAAAGTTATTAGATGCCAGGGGTGCATACAGGTAAAAGGGCTAGGGATAGATTAAAAGATATAGGACATAGAAGAAGAGAGATAAATTTAGGAAAAGTTAAGAGTAGAGAGAGACAGGAGGAAATAAAGGAAGAACAGTAGTATGAGAACATAAGAGCAGAAAAGGCACCAACACGGGGGAAAAAAGAAAGAAAGATTGTCAACAACCCGGAGAGGGGAAGATAGGAATAGAGAGACCAGCACAGTTAAGAAGAAAGATTCGCTCTTCATTCGACACCTCTACTTACGCAGGGGTGCATGCACTTGCCACCAATACATACAAATCATTAGACTGACACAACCAAAAAAACTCATCACCATACCCAAGAAGAAAATACGTGAAGGAATTATTTTGCTCCCTATTGAAGATGGGACAGAGATCTGACATCAAAGTAAGGAGTATGCCAAGGATATGTTAAAGGCAAATATGGCAAGGCATAGCGGATAGTTAGCATAATAGCACACCGAAGAAGACAAAAATATTAAACGAATCTTACATCTAATTCAAGCACATTGAGAGCCATATCCTGAATCGACCAGGAAGCAGACTCTAATTGCACTTAAGTTTATGAAGTTAATACATATGAATAGAGTCTAATGCATTTAAGTATCATGCAGTCTCCTCCAATTCATCCGGGATTCATCAGCAAAGACTAGAAATCCAACAAAGCAAACATAAAATTCTCACTCTTGGAGTGCAACAAAGAGGTAGAGCTGGTGTGACTAGTGGATTTCATACTACGAAACTAAGTAGCAAGGGATCCAGCAACAGTTAATGAAAGTAGCAGAGGTAGTTAGCGGCAAATGTGATAGCTATGAGGTACCATGACAATGAGAAGATGGGGAGTTGCCATAGACAGAAGTTATAGTCGACATGAGAAGACAGCAAAGAGAGCAAAGACAGAAGGCAATGAAAGAGACTCCATTTACCAATGATTTGACACGAGAACGATCTGCTTGTTCAACACTGTTAGCAAAAAGAACAAAGACTCTTGCAAAAGATGGCACAGGTCTCTACCTCGAAGAGTATCAAGAAGGTAAGGAGGATTCAAGATCATGTTAGATGGATGATAACATGGATATTCATTTTGATCACTTTGTAATTTAAAAAATATACAGAAGGTATATCCTTTCTTAAACCGAGTTTAAATCGTCAGGTTTAATGAAACAGAGATGAGGCTTGATGAAAAACTTCACATATAAGAACCAAAGAGAAGAGTTTTCACATAATTTAACTAATTCATGCGTATGGAACAGTGTACATCTTTCATCAAAATGGTGGGATGGTTTGCTGTGGTATAAATTCTCATTTTGTACGTGTCATGATGGTATGATTTGTCCAATAATCATCTCACATGGTAGCCCCTAACACTGTGAGTATGCATCACTAACAAATCTTATAACACCAAATATGACATTGATTGTGCATCCGAAAGAGATACATATAGGGTTCCATTGTAACTTTTGTCAACAACTATCATTATTTATGCAACAAGGACATTCACAATATGCCTTCGAGATGACATGTACCAATGAATGCTTTTAACACTGTGCCTTTTTTTTAAAAGGATGCAACAAGTATAAGATTACAATATTTCAAGGAGTAATATCAGACATCAAAGGAAGCAAATTTTCTACAACTTACCTTGTTTTCATCAAAATCAAAATCAACCAATGGGTTCATACCAGGAACGGAATATACACCCAAACATTGGTAGTTTGTTGCAGACCATAGTCGTATTGCCTAATATTCAGGAAAGATATGTATTACTTAAACTGAAGAGTTCATGAAAAACGTAAAAACCGCATATCAAACTGTACGATGGAGTGTAACTATCAGACTGTAAAACCACAGGATTTTGCAATACATTAAATTCATTAGAAAATTCAAAAGAGGGACATACAAGTGCAGGTTCAAAGTTCTCCCAAAAAGTTTCTGACAGAGGGACAACAAAAAAAATACTCTACATTACGTAAAGGAAAGTGCACACCTTGTCCCCAACTCCAGTGAGAACCAAGCCCCTCCTCATGCGACATTGGCTAATACTAAAAGAAGAAGGAAACTCGTGAGGTGAGAAAATAATATCACGTGGTAAGGTATTTATCCCACATTAAATAATTACACTGATTACAAAATTTAAATTTTCCTCTTTCACTTGGAGCTAGGGTTGTCAAGGGATTGGGCCCTGCAAAGCCCAGGCCTGCACAGATGCGTTTTACAATACCTGGGAGACAGGGCTATGGCCCAGACCCCACAGATTTTTTCCAAAGCCTACCCCAGAACAGACTTTTTTTTTCCCTATCCAACGGCAGTGTTTCTGGCCTGGGTTCACGGCAGGATGTCACTCATATCGTACATGTTATCAATTGCAAACCTGCTCTAAATAACATACTATAAGAAAAAAAAATCAAGTAGAATGATCAATGTACATTGTCCCTCCTTCACCCCCCACATCTCAAAATGCTATCAAGATCATCCTAGAGTTTCCCTTAGTCCAAATAGGCTTCTTTCAGATCTGAAATTAGAAAGAAGAATTAAAGGGAAAAAAATTGACAGTTTGGTATCAAAAACATGTAACTGTGTAGAATGACACGTAAAACAAATATCCAGAGGAATTTGCAACCAAACATCTAAGAGCCAAGAGAAGGACCTGACAGAGTGACCACTCCACTGATGAACTTCTGCATGACCATTTATCAAAGCAAGTCTGTGTTGTTCCATTGCTAGTTCTTCCAAGTAATTTTTCAGTGGAGTTCCTAATGGAACTTGTAAATCAGTGGTACCAAATATACGTGGACCTCTTTTGAAATATATATCTCGCAATAAAGTCGATGAGAAGATGATGTCACGCCTGGAAAAAAAAATTGTAGCTTAAGTTCTTCAATCAGCCCCATCCTCAAGGGTTATGATCAGTTTTATACAAGAAACGGTAACATCTGTTGCCATATAATTGACCTGATCTTAGTCACAAAATTAGGAAATGTAAGAGGCACTTCGAATATATTCTCTGATGATACTTTCATAAGAAAAAGCCATCGTTTGTCACCATATATTCTCTGAGTTACAAAGAAACGAAAAAACTACATGAAATTTTGATCATTAGTTACCATGTAGGACGTATGAAATGCATAGAGAAAAAGATCTTTTGCAGAGAACATGACTGCACGTCAATGCGCCATGATACTAGAACAATATAATGCACGTCAATATACTGAGCAAACTAGAAAAATCTAATTATGCAAAAGAAATGATGTATATAAAATTATCATACAAGGACGCTACAATAACCTCCCCCCATACACGTCGTTCCATCATCATCTCGTTGATCAAAAACGATATGGAATAAATTGTTGGGGCTCTCAACCCTGATCTCACGGAACGCAGCAAAAAAAAGAAAAACCGCGTGTCCTTCCGAACCCAGATATACCGGCCATTACTCGCAAGCCACCAAAGATTAGAAAGAACTTCCAAAGCCTCTCACGCGATTATGATGAACAGTACACGGAGTGCAGCAGAAAGAATCTGCCCCCCAAAAGTCCCCCCCTCCCCCATCCAATCCATTCCGAAGACTTGAAATCACAGAAATTATCGTCGACATCACTGTACAGAGAATAAGACTGCCTTATTTTCTTTCTACAAAGTGTAGGACGCGATGATTTTCGACATAGTCGCAGGGAATGCGGAGAAAAGGCGAGCAAGAAAACGAGAGAACACGAACCAGGACTTGCAGACGGCGGCGCAGCGAGCGACATCGAAGTGATCGAGAAGCGCAAAAATCGCGCAGAGTACGTCGGCACCTAGTGACTGAATGCATCCACCAACACCACCGACGGCAGCTTTTCCTCCTCCGGAAGTCCTCCTCCGCCACCGCCCCGATGTGCCGCTGCTTCCGGGGGCGCCGCCGCTGCTGGCGGCACGGCCGCCGCCCCCGTCCATGGCGTTGGAACGTCCTCTGAGAAACCAACGGCGCCGCCATGGCAGGCCACCGCCCCCCCGCCCATTTCTCTCACTGAATATTTCCCTAGGAAGGACTTCTCAGAATGTTTTCCTAAAATGTATTCTTCCTCCCGGCTCTTTTCCAAAACTTTTATCCATATTGGCAATTATGTAATTTAATTCTAGAAAACGCAAATTAACCTCAGCTGATTCACACAGTTTACATTAATATTCGGGTTGACCATTTCACATTAATAGTCACGATACCAAACTGGGTCAATCGAACATGTTGACTTGCCCAATACCTCACATTATTGTCAACCAAATTTCGTAAAAGTAAACCCACTTAACGTACCAAAGAGGGGTGACGAGGAGAGAGACAAGTAGATATATAACATCCCTGCCTCATCATTTTCTAAATTATCAACTAGGAAAGAAATTACTTCCCTCTCCTCCCCGCCATTAATTTACTATTTATACCCGTAGAATAGTTTAATTACATTTTTTTAAAAATGTACTTGAACTCAAGTTTCACAAAATAATGTGGGCATTCGTAGTTGAAATTAAAATTTAAGAGGTTTTATCTGTAAAACTGTTCTTGGGCTTGGGTTATTTTAAAGTATTTGGCCATGAAAGCCCAAGGTCACGAATTAATTTATTATTTACACTCGTTATAGTTTCAAATACTGTTTTGACTCTATTGCTTAAAAAATTGTACTTCAACTCACTTGACTTCTTCAGAAAATAAGTGCTGTGGCTGAAAGGCTATGTTTATTTAAACAGTAGAGGTTTGAGTTATTTATAAATATTCTAATTATACCCATAAAATATTATAATTATATTTTAACTCTAACTGTTTCAAAATTTTAATTTAACTCAGACGACTTCACAAAATAAATGCTTTCTGTGCAGAGTTCAAGATGCCTAGTAGTTAAAATTAAATATTAAGAGGTTTTATGTGTAAAATTTCAGGTTATTTTTGTTAAGCTAAAAATATACAGCCGTATCCAAGGTCCATAAAATAAATGCTTCTCTCCAGCAACGAAGAAGATTCGTAGTTAAAACTAAAATATAAGAGGTTTTATGTGTAAAATTGTGTCGTAAGGATACTTTTCTTAAAACTGTAAAAAGTAGTTAGCCTTGGGTGGCCGACAGCCGTTATTTAATATTTATCCCCTTAAAAATATGTGTATCATGTTTTACACTATATTTTATAAAATTTCACTTTAAGTCAAATGACCTCAGAGATTACTTCTGCGCACAGACTTATAACATTCCTAATGAAAACTAAAATATAAGAGGCTATTTTTGTAAAAAGTGTAAAAGGGTGGAATTTTTAAAATATAATGCCGACACCAATTAATTATTATTTATACCCATAAAATCATTAATTTATATTTGATTCTTTTAAAAATTGTACTTCAGTACAATGTTGCGAACCGACGTTAGAAGATTTGAGGATAAAACTAAACTCAGAGGGTTTAGGGGTAAAACTGTGGTCTTAAGGGTATATTTGTTAAATCCTTAAAAGTTTAGGTTTTCGTATAATAAATAGTCGGCTATAAGACCGGAACAAGTGGGCTCTCCCAATCAGAGAGACGTAAAAGCAGAGAAGTGTTGCGTTCTTGTTCTTTCGGCTTCTGTTCTTCGCTCTCGTCGGGCTCCTCTCGGAAACTTGGAACCCTAGCAGCGGCAATCCACGGGAGTTCTGAGGATGAATCCCCACCACGAGGTCAGATACAGCGATCCCAACTCGTACAGGGAGAGGAGAAGCGACTTGCTTACCGGCGTGCCGCAGCAGGCCCCGCTGATAGGTCTGCCATCCGCTTCGCTGGCCGTGCCCGTTGCCGGCGCTGGTGGAGTCGTCTCGCTCCGAGGGAGCGTGGGTTACGGTTCTTCTGGGCCGCCTTTGGCTGGGACTGGGGGTTTCGCAGGTGTGGCCAGCGTGCCCTACTTCCCGTCCGGGGACCTCAGCGGTGGGGTTGGCTTTGGTAATGATGTCGGCGTCGTGGCTGGCGGATCTGGTGTGCAGAGAGGAGTTTTTGGGGGTAGCGGCGGAGGGACTGGTGAACGGGGAGGGGGGTATGGTGGTGACAGAGGTTTTGATGCTGCCAGGGGAAGAGGCCGGTTATGGGACAGAGGTCAGGATTTTGGGACCTACGGTGGTGGAAGGGGAAGGGGGTTTGATGGAGGACGTGGTTGGGGTGGCCGTGGAGCCGGAAGGTCCAGGGACGATTTGGATAATATTGTTCTTGCGAAGCAGGATTTTCATAATCTTACCCCTTTTGAGAAGAACTTTTATGTTGAACATCCGGCATTGGAAGCAATGTCAGAGCAGGATGTGACGGTCTATCGTAAAAGACGTGATATCACTGTGGAAGGACGTGATGTCCCAAAACCAATAAGGTTTTTTACAGAGGCTAACTTCCCAGGTATCGTCCTTTCCCGTTTCCATGAATACACTATCGAATCGAATTTTAGCCCAAAAGGCTTTGGGTCATTGTTGTTTATGTTGTGGATGGTAAGCATCAGTTGTGGATCCAGAGCGTCGAGTCCAGTCAAAGGCTAAGGAAGGTGTAGGATTACATATGTGAGGCATGATTACCCGTATCAAGGTCAACCTATTACACCAGTTAAAATACCAAAAAAAAGTTCACTGTATAATTTACATGACATAATAAAAACTATGTGCAATAATCCTTTTTTTTCAAGTAGATCCAAAGGGAGGTTTGTCCTTTATGTGAGTATCTATTGTGACTATTACTGCAGATAGAATCCGAGAACAATAAATGAAATTTGGTATAACTGGAGATTGATAATGAACACTATATGAGGTAGAAGTTCACTCGTAATTCAGTACTTCCGCATTGGAAGAATTATTTTAAGGTTTCCATTATTACAAGCTACCTTTTCTCAGAATCCGAGAAATCAGGATAAAACTGAAGACTCAAATCTATTTCTGTTGAGTCCAGTTGGTCTGTGAATTATTCTCTTTTTCTGATTATCCTGTTGAAAGGCCAAGGTTATTGTAGCTCCCCTACATACAAGGTTACCAGTTACCCACGGGAACCACATTACAGTTCATGTATGCTCATAGCCGGAATCTTTTTAAAGATGTGAGCATATCGTCTTAATATGAAATTTCATCATTCCATATTTTCATCACGGTTAGTAACAGTGGGAACAATACAGATAATTTATGCCGCTTCAATCTATCTTGGTTGACACATTTTAACAAAGAGAATATTGTATTCTTCTGTATCTCGCATGGGTTGGGCAAATATAAGAATTGGTGTCTCTAAACAACATATGGTTAAATGGAACTATTTTATAATTACCCTCGCATGGATTGATGGGGTGCTGCCCTATTTTTCTTGGTGGGAACAAGTGGTGTAGTTAATACAGCGTTTTGGTGATATTTCTCAGAAGAAATTCGGAGGAAGATGAGCGTTGGATTATTTCACAGAATGGCCATATGGTCACATCTCTGACATCAACAATAGACATATGGATGTGCCCTTAAAACTTGGGTGGAGCCAAGTTAGGTGATACGAGTGAGAATAGTTGGTCGGGTAAGTTGGGGTTTAGGGCTTCACTGGGTCACCGTATTGAGTATGAATCTAGTGTATGGCGCTCTAAGAGAAATTGAATTGGTGATGGTGGTATATATATAAGTGGATGGCTACATATGATCCGACTAGTACGTGGTTGGGGAAAGGATGGTTGGAAGGAGACTAGTACGAGGTCCGTTGGCCTTGGTGGTTGTATGTTTGAATTGTTTCTGATGTCCTTGGAGGAACAATCACCAAAGCTTTATGCTACCTCTATGGTGATCCGACAGAGAAAAGAAAATGTCAGATACATTTGAAGCTGGGAATGTTTACATATTATTGATGTATAAACTGTGGTAGTAACTGTTTTATGTTCTATGGCTGTAGTTAATCGAAGGATCTAAATGTGCGCCATGGTATCTTAGATGATGAATACAGGAATCTTTGTTACAAGGTTGACTATGATGAATTTGATTAGAATGATGCCATAATTGGTATTCGTCTGCATCGCGTTCTAAAGTGTAGGTGAAAGTTGAAATCCATTAACAAGTTCTTTTTCTTGGGGGGAGGGGGGGGGGGTGATATGAGTCCAAAGTAATATTTTGTTTGCACTGTGGAATGTGACACCTTGGATACCCGTGATTTAGTTTGTTGGCATATTCTCTCTATGTTGTATGTCTATTTATCATTGTTGCTTAGCATTCATAAAATGCACTACTTGCTAGTCTGTGAGCTCCTTTGTTCTTTACCATTTGGTTTCTCTTTGTTCTTTATCGAGCATTGTGGACACTTGTACTACCATGCATCAAAGTTGCTGAATTAAGAACGTGTATTAATCTTTACCATCTGACTTAAGGCATCTTTTTTAATTTGCAGATTACTGCCTCCGAGTGTTTGACAGACTTGGTTTTGTTGAACCAACTCCTATACAAGCCCAGGGGTGGCCGATGGCCTTGAAGGGCAGAGACTTAGTTGGTATTGCAGAGACTGGATCTGGAAAGACCTTGGCGTATCTTCTTCCAGCTTTGGTGCACATTAAAGCACAGTCTCCACTGGGTTTGTGTTCATAAAAACATGTGATATCTGCTATTTTTTTTTCATATTTGGATCAGTATTAAGTTTTCATTGGTGGATCTTTGGCTTTTTATTTTATTCTCCAGTGTATGGTGATGGACCTATAGCCCTAATCTTGGCGCCTACCAGGGAACTGGCTGTTCAAATACAAGAAGAAGCTTCAAAATTTGGATCTCATTCAAATATTAGAAGCACTTGCATTTATGGTGGCGCACCAAAGGGACCCCAGATTCGAGATCTTAAAAGAGGTTTTTCTGTTAATATATTTCACCAGTATTGTTTATTTTTTAAGTTTGCTTTCTTAGTACATTTACTGTCGACGTTTATTTTTTATTATAAATTTATTATGTGTCTAATAACATGTTGTTTGTAGGTGTTGAGATTGTGATTGCAACTCCTGGTCGTCTAATAGATATGTTGGAAGCTTGCCATACTAATCTGCGGAGGGTTACCTATCTTGTGATGGATGAGGCAGATCGTATGCTAGATATGGGATTTGAACCTCAGATAAAAAAGATCATCTCTCAAGTATGACCCACGACATTATTTTATGATGATTATGCTACACCATAATGAATATTTACTTTCCTTTGATTGCCTGCCATGGTATTAGCTGATGCTTATTTTCTCTCATCAAAAGTGTGACTCTTCGTTGTCACTATCGAATTTTCCGCGAAATATTCTGCACCTGACATTTGCTAGGCACATTGTTCTTAAAAGCGAGAGAGCAAGCGCAGGGAAAGCTTGCTGTTTATTTTTATGTTGTGCTGATTGCATTTCCCCTTTCATTGTTATACACATATTCCCATGCATTTATTTTCGTTTTTTTTTTCTGATATATCTGGACATGGACAATAGGGTGATTATGTTTTCATCATCTGGTCACACGCTTAAAAAGCCAGCTAAGAATGTTTCGCGTCATAAGTACTTTATTAGTCTGATTACGTCCCAATTTTATCTCCAAAGTGGGCATGGCTTCAACAAGAGTGTTTAGCTTACTTTTTCCTTCACTGTGGGATGACAATTATGAAAGCTGCTTTCGTTTTAAGGAAGTTAGCTGGTTTCTGTAAGTAGGCTCTTTCACAGACAACAAAAATTACTGGCTGAGTGATATTTTTGGAAAAAGTAGTATCCGTTTATATAATGAGCTATAAACACAATGCATTATAGATGACGTATACTTTTCGAACAAAGTTAAGGAATGGTTATATAGAGACGGTTGACCTCTTTGTAGCCTATGAACACCTTAACTAGTTATAAACTTAAAAGCAGTGGATTGACATTCTGTCGTCAATCCACTTGTATTTTGATCTTGTTTTATCATTCACACTTTTTGAAGCATAAATCGTCTCATCCTATTTGCCAAAGTTCCCAAAAGATTTGGACTAGTCTACTTCCTTGTGTTCTGGACATGAGACTGCACCATGCTCTGGTGACATTGACTTGCATTGGATTATCTTACCTCTTGTTGATTTTTCCAGTGTTAAATTACTTATTTTGGTTACCATCTTATGTGGAAAAATTATGCTTATTACCAGATCCGGCCTGATAGGCAGACATTGTATTGGAGTGCTACATGGCCTAGGGAGGTGGAGACCTTAGCTAGACAATTCTTACACAACCCTTACAAGGTACCTTAGTTCCATGTGGTGTGCAACTCATTTCCCTTTTTTTTTCTTCTTTCTGCAATCAGTTTATCGGCATCTATGTGACCAATGTCCATTTCTAGGTTATCATCGGTTCTCCTGAACTGAAAGCTAACCAGTCCATCAATCAGATTGTGGAAGTTATATCCGAACATGAGAAGTATCCCAGGTGCGCTTTGTGGTCATGCTTTGGCAGCTATGGCACGCTTGATGCTCACCTTCGTCCCTTGGCCCTACAGGTTAATAAAATTATTGGGAGAGATGATGGATGGCAGCCGGATCCTGGTATTCCTCGAGACCAAGAAAGGCTGTGACCAGGTCACAAGGCAACTCAGAATGGATGGGTGGCCGGCTCTTTCCATCCATGGCGATAAGCCCCAGGCGGAGAGAGACTGGGTCCTCTCAGAGTTCAAAAGCGGCAATAGCCCTGTGATGACCGCCACTGATGTGGCTGCTCGTGGCCTCGGTAGGATCGATTTTTCTTAGAGCTTGCTAAAAATGTTTTCTCGGCGTCCCCAAGATTATATCTAGTCATTGGCGCCGCAGGCCAGCATCCTACCCATTGACTCTGGGTTGGCGGTGTGCAATGGGGTGGCATCATCATAAAGGTAGCTACTTCAAACTCCACTGAGTATGAGCACTTATAAGACCTTTTGCCCAATGTTATTAGGACATATGGTAGTCTCCCCCCCCCCCCTCCCCTTTCCTTTTCAATATCCGATTCTCTGGGCCTCTGCACCATCGTCATAGCTCCACTTCCCCAAAGTCCTTTTCATCAGTTCATTCACATGCTGATGATACCAGCATGCAGAGCGGATCCAATAATCCTTAATGTGGGGAAAACTGATTGGCAATGATTCGTGCTTTTTTCTTTTTTTCTTTTTAATTTTATTAACTGAGTAGAGGATTTTAACTCGGAGAGTGGAGGTCCACCCAGCCTCCCATGTAAACAGCTTCTTGAATAGTTGGCATAGTTTTGGCAAGTGGATTCAAATATTAGTGATTCACGGTAGAAAATGACCTAAAAAAAGAGTAGGCACCGGCTTTGGCTAATCACTATTATGAGTTTATTTAAGATAATTTACCTTTCAGAAATTCCAACTCCCTTTTATTTTATTTTTTTGAAGGAGGCCATAAGATTTTATTTTTTTATTTGTCCTTCATTGTATCCTTGTATCGGTGGGCCCATCAAATTATTCCTTGAGTGTTTGGATACAAGAAAGTTCTAATTTTTTTACAAATTTGTTATTAAAGAGGAACTTAATTTATAATTTATCCTTTATTTCCCCCTTTTCTACATGATCATTGTCATTAATAACAACAGTCTAGAAATGCTGATGTCGTGGTGCTATTATCTTTTCTGAGGCCCAGAAATCTGGTTTGACTGTCAACTCTTGGGATTTTCTGACCAGCCAGGGGGCTTGTTCATACCTCTGGTTTATCACACAATTTTTTTGCTTCTCGGGATGGATCTCCCCATCTCCAGTGGATTCTCCCGTAAGTTAAAGTCTAAAGTGCTCATCTCCTTGATGTGGTTGTCAAAAGTCTACTGCCCCCCACCCATCGTCATAGAGCTGGTTCATGCGGCGGCCCTGTCACAGTTCTTAGGGTTCTTCCCTTATTTTTGTGATGATCTCCCCCTTTTTTTTTTTCTCTACAAATCCTTGCCTCATGGGCCATCCTTTCTGCGTTAAATTCTAACCTTCATAGTTGCAGGGACAATAGCAATTCTCTCTCTCTCTCTCTCTCTACATCGATCTGTAGTGAACTTGTGATTATTGTGCTGCTGATGTTTGTCTGTGGTCTCATGATCTACAGATGTGAAGGATATAAAATGTGTGATAAACTATGATTTCCCTGGGACCCTCGAGGATTATGTCCACAGGATTGGGAGGACCGGGCGGGCAGGTGCCAAGGGGATCGCCTTCACCTTCTTCACACCATCCAATGCAAGATATGCCCGCGAGCTCATCAAGATCCTGCGCGAAGCTGGGCAGGCTGTCAGCCCAGCTCTCCTTGCCATGAGCCACTCCGGTGGTGGTATATCATCTTCCTTACTTATCTATTTTTTATTATATATATATATTAATTATTCGTCTACAGGAACCTTATTTATGATCTCCTTTAATTATCTATATTTTATTTTCTTTATGATTTTTTGAATGATTCGTTTATCCTTCTTTCTACAAGGTTCCGGCGGGCGGCACCATCCGAGGGGGCGGGGCTTCGGCAACCGCTCATCGATCTCTGGGTCCAACACCATCCCCATTGGCGGGAGGAGGCCGTGGTGATCGCTGCCACCGTTAAGACCCTAATCTGATCTGTTCCACCATAAAGCATTGGAGGAATTGAGAGATTTCTGGTGGTGCAAAGGCAGCGGCGGCGGCGGTCAACCCGATATGTTCCTCCAATCTTGTGTTTGCTCATATTCTTAGTTCTAAGTTTGACCTAAGGATCGAGAGATTCTTGACCGATCTTTGGCAGTGCAGTGGCGGTCAATTCGACAGGTTCCTCCATTCTTGTGTGGTTGACCCAAGGATCGAGAGATCTCTGGCTGATCCGGTCAATCCAACAGGTTCCTCCAACCTTGTTCTTACTCGTGTTCTTGTTCTAAGTTTGACCCGAGGATGGTGGCCTCGTGGATATTTCCCTCCCTACTCAATTCTCCTTGTGGCAGGGGGGGTTGGTTTGTGGTGTTTCATTGGATTATCTTAATTGTGTTGAGTTGGAGGGCCCGCTCTCGTTTGACCTTTGATTTTGGCTGCATTGGATTTTCGATCTGGCATTCTTGGTTGACCTGATTTTGGGCTAGATTGGAACCAGGTCGATCTGATCCTTGAACCCAACTCTGGGTTGACCCTAGTTTCGCCTGTGTTGGAACTCTGGATTGACCTGATTCACCTTCTGACTCTGGAATGGTCGAGTCTTGGTTGGCCTAATTTGACCTTGGTCGAATTTGGTCAATCCAGTAGTGGTTGGAGATAGGTCAATCGGACTCTGGGCAACACCGGATGATACTCTATGGGTTGACTTAATCTCATGTGAAAGTAGGATCCATTCTGGCTTGACCTAGTTTTGACCTGATTCATTTGCGATGATCTGAGGTCAATATGATCCCCCTGGACTCAAAATCTGGGTTGACCCAGCTTGAACTGGGATCGAATTTGGTCAATCCAGTGAGGGTTGCAAATAGGTCAACTGGACTCTGGGTCAGCACTAGATAATCCTCTGGGGTTGACTTAGTTCCATGTCAAAGTGGCTCAGTAATGATCCCTCCACCCTTAATGTTCCTTCCATTCTCGGAGGCACCGGCCATCTTCTCCACTGAAGAGGCGCCACCGCTCTATTCCCTCCCGGCGGCCCAGTCCATTCTCGGGGACATGAGAAAGAGAGAGAGAGAGAGCGGGGAGAGAGAAGAGGGAAGAGATAAAGAGAGAGAGAGAGAGAAAGTGGGGGGAGAGAGAGAGAGACTCCGAGATCCGCCGACCGCAGTCGAGTTGTCAGTGGCGCCGCCGTGCCAGCGCTCTGCGGCTGCTGTCGGATGAGTGGGGCGCCGCCGCAGTCTGCGCCGCCGTCTGCCACTGCCGGACGGGCCGTTTCAAAATCACAGCAGCTCCAATTAAAAAAGCGTAAAATTTATTATACCCCCTCAAGCATGTAAAACTTTCACATTACCCCTCTGAAGAATCATAAAAGCCCCCCCCCCCACTCTCTACTCTAAAAATAAATCGGCAGGCGGGCCGGGCCTGATCCGGGTCAGCGGATTTCAAAAAATCCCCGGCCGGCCGGATATCTAGCACATGCTGCCCTCTTTCTCTCATCCCAGTACCTCTCAGGCACCACCTTCATCAAAACGGGCTCAGTGCTGAGAGAAGTAGGCCGGGCCTATGTGGTCCAGCTAGGCCCGGCTCGGGCTTCAGAAGGGCCCCGACCGTGGCCCATTTTATGGACTTTCCCTACGGTGGGGCCTGTGGGGAATCCGAGCCTCTGGTCAACCCCCCCCCTAATCCGATTTTTTCTCAACTAACTCTAGCACTAAAGTCAAGGAGCTGGATCGTCTGCCACCGACCATGATCTCATTTTTGCATTACGTGGCCCGTTTGATCAGGTCAGCCCTCTACTTGATATTCCCAGTAACCTTAATTTAGGAATAAATAAATTCGCTTCAGTCGGTTGTATGGATGGTTCAGATCGGGGGATTTTTCTCTTGGTCAACCCTGCTGATGAAGAGCATGAGGTCAACGCAATGTTTGTGGGTCAACCTAGATTTTTGTTGTCACCATTTATTTTTTGATAATTTCACGGGTTTTTTTTGGGCCGATTTTCTAAAATTTAAGTGACTTTGGAAATTAATTTTTGAGAGTTCAAAGACACTTGGAAAATCTGATGTTGGCCCTTTTTAAAAAAAATATTTTCATATATTTGTATTTAAACAATAATAGGCGGTTTGGAAGGCCCGGTAGCTAAATAAAATATTAAAATAATTTATAAGAGCCCACACCTGCATTGACACGTGGAAAATACAGGTGATACGTTAGCAGCTAGGGGATAACGGCAACACTGTTCCTTGTCTTTCTCTCTCTTGCATTTTATTTGAACAATTTAATATAAATCAGTAAATACGCGTAAATAGGATATTTAAAATAGAGAAAAAAAGTTTGTCGCGGCCTTCCTACATCCTCTTTCCGTGTCTTCTGCCGACAGCGGACCGACGCCGCCGGTGACGACGACGGCGACGGCAGCGGCGGCGAAGGCGACGACCCAAGGATAATATTTTGACTTTTTGCTACGTGAGTATCGGAGAATTTTAACCCAAGGATAAAAGGATTCAGGAGATGGAGGCGAATTATATTAGGGTGATGATGATGGCCGCAGACCTCCTCTCTCTCTCTCTCTCTCTCTCTCTCTCTCTCTCCCTCTCTCCCTCTCTCTCTCTCCTTAGACTGAGTCAGATATAGAGAGAGGAAAGTCAATCCCCTTCTCTCTCTACCCGTGCCCGCGTCTCTCTCTGTCTTGTCTCAGTCTCTCTCTACTCTGGGTCGGCGGTCGCTCTTCCTTGTTCCTGCCTGCTCTCCCCCCCTCCGTGCTTCTCTACTTCTCTGTGTCTGGGGCTTGCCGTCTCTGGTTCTTCTGGTGTTGCTGCTGCTGCTGCCCCTGCGAAGGCTTGGCGGGGAGGACGCCGCGGCCATAGCTGGTTGGGGGAGGAGCTCAAGGAAGGTGAGAGAAGTCCTCCGGGAAGAGCAGAAGGGGAGGAGGAGGAGGAGGAGGAGGGAGAACCATGGCCGGGGAGGCCTTTCTCCTCTCTGGTGCCTGGGATGAGCTCTGGAGGGGCCCGTCAGCTTCCGAGGCCGCCTCCCGCCGCCGGTGAGATGTTTGCACTTCCTCCCCCATTTCTCCACCTCTGTGGCCTCGGAGATCCTCAGATCAGAGCATGAGGGAAGAGATCAGTGGCGTCTGTCGCCATGCCGGAATGTCCAGGTAGGAGGAGGAGGAGGTGAAGGCTCTTCCTCCCTGCTTCTTCCTACCACCGCTGCCACCGCCGCTGCAACACTTCCGCCGGTGGTGCCTGGTCTTGCTGGGACGATAGATGCGAGATCCTCTCCCCTCAAGTTAGGGATGGAATCCGGTGGCGACTTCTTCTCCTCCGTCACCGAGTTCCGGCTGGATTCCAAGTGGATTATAGATCCCATGGACCTGCTCGTCGGCCCCAGGATCGGAGAGGGAGCTCACGCCAAGGTCTACGAAGGGAAGTACGTCGCGATTCCCCCACTGTTCCATCGTTCCTGATCAGAATTTCACCGATCGTCACTCTCAGCCGATCTCCAAACCGATTTGATCGTCTCTTCCTTCTCCTCCTCCTCGCCAGGTACAGAAACCAGGCCGTGGCCATCAAGATCCTCCACAAGGGGGATACACCAGAGGAGAAGACCAAGAGGGAGGGGAGGTTCGCGAGGGAGGTGGCGATGCTGTCCAGAGTCCAGCACAGGAACCTGGTCAAGGTTTGCTCCTTCATCTCCCCTGACGGCCGTTTCCATGTTTACTTGGTTGCTGTGCTCCTCTGTGGTAATGCCAGCCGCCATGGCCGTCACAGTTTATCGGAGCTTGCAAGGAACCAGTCATGGTGGTGGTCACTGAGCTTCTGCTGGGTGGTTCCCTGCGCAAGTACTTGCTCAACATGAGGCCCAGGTGCTTGGATTTGCGTGTGGCCGTAGGGTTTGCCATCGATATAGCTCGGGCGATGGAATGCCTGCATTCCCATGGGATCATCCACCGTGATCTGAAGCCTGGTAATTCCCTCCGGTCATATCTCTCTGAGTTCGCATCCATGGTCTCCCTTGGAGGCATCTCCTCCTTCCCCATAAGAATCATGCTCATAACTCAGTGTATTAGCATGATCCCCATCGTCATTATTTACGCTGTAATCCTTCAGCATTTATTTTCTGTTGACTGGCCTCCTCCTGTCTCTTTTTTCCATTTTTGTAACTGTTCCTATCGAATGTTGATAAACCGAGCTCATCAGGACATTTTTTTCCTTTCTTGAGCATATTTATTTCTTTTTTCTTGGGCTCTTGGACTCTTTTGAGCTCTTTTTACTCCATGGTTTTAATGGATGAAGATCTGGACTATGTTTCTACACAGAGGGTTGCCATAGAGGGAATATGATGTAAGCATAACATGAAAACTGAGGACTTCTTCCGTATTCTTTCTGTTATTCCAAAATATTTTTTTATCAAACCATGAAAACTGACCATGTTTATATTTTGCCTTTTATAACTTTTACTGGGTGGGAGCGATTGTTGCTCCTTGAATCTTGCTTTCTTCAGGATCTTCAAGAAAAATACCTCAATCGGTCTAGAACTTTATCTTTCTGCTTTTAAGTATAAACTGTGGTTCATAATAGACAGCTGCCTCCCATTGCTGGTGGAATAATTTTGGAAAATAGCCTATGGAAATTGTCCTCTAGAATTTAAGGGTTAGATGCATTTATCGTTCTTGTGATTTGTGTGGGGAGTTTAGTATTTTATGATTGGGTATCTGAAGATTCTAAAACTACATTGGCTGATTATGCCCTGAAGAGTTGTTTATTCATTAATTTCCAGGATTTTCAAGGTAAGGGAGAGAAATCTCTTCTTTCTTGCGATTTCTGTGGGAAATTTAGCATTTTATGAATATATATCTGAAGATTCTACCCACGACATTGGGTGAACATACCTACATTGGTTCATGCGTAGATTATAAACTCAGAGTCATGGTTTGAAGGATGGTCGAGATTGGCACTTCCTGAAAGAGCAGAGAATGAAAAGGGGAATTAGAATTATCTACTTGAATGGTTAGCCTGGTTCTATTGAACAAATATTGTCGACTCCCTGGTTAATTGACTCTACCAGTATCCACGAGGCTTGTTTCAATTTGAAGAGTGAAGAACTTAGAAAGAGAGCTAAGTTCCTTCGGTTTATCTTCAGCCCTATTCTTGGTATCTCCCCTATTTTTCTACCCATATGGTGAGGGGACCTCGGAGATGTTTTTGGCAGAAGATTTCCCCACTGCTCAAGGTAGTAGGGGTGTTCAAGTGATTGTGATTGTAGGTTAACCCTTTCCTCTCCATGGAGGCTCTGTTGGAGGTTTTATTTGTGGAGAGGATAATAATAAATTTAAAGGCAGACATTTGTGGAGAGGGTTCCATCTCTTTTTACGTCCCTATTCAATGACTTAACCAGCATTTAAATGGGTCGTTTAAATTAATAGAGGGAAAAGCTACAGTAAGGGGGCTAAGATCCCTCAGTTGAACTTCAGCCCTTTTTTTGGTGTTTCCCCTAGTTCTCTACCCGTATGAAGAGAGGGACCTTGGATGTGTTTTTGGTAGAAGATATTTCCAAGGCTCTCGATAGTAGCGGCGTGAAAGGAGACTATGGTAGCTGAGACGTCCTCTCTTCTCCAAGGAGGCCCAGTTGGTGGCTTTAATTGTGGAGAGACTGATAATGAATTCGAATGTAGACATTTTTGTCCTCTCTCTCTCCTTGTTTTCTTTTGAGTGAGAAAATAGCTTCCAGTTCCATTGGTTAACCTAAACAGCTGAATTCGGGTCTCTGTGAAGAAATCCGTACAGTTAGTGGGCACATATCTTTTTGACTTGCCCAAATTGGTTCTTATTGTATGTCCTTCATTGATGAGTTTCCTACCCGAAATTCCTGATTAAATTTATGAGTACAGTTAGTGTACTCTCAGGTTTGAGCTCGAAAACCTCAAACACTAATTTATCATCACTTAAGCTGTTAAATATTGGCCTTGGGTGTGTCGGTTAATTGATAACAGCTTATTTGATCTCAACCCTCATCTACCCTCAGAGTGTTGTGCCCATGCCCATGACACGTAGGTTGTGAACTTTGATTCGTGGTTAGTCAATGAGTTTGACTGGAGTTGCCTACCATTCAAAGACTCCACCACATCTCTGTGACGGGTGATCAAGTAGACCACAGAAAATGAAGATGAAACGCCAAACGATTGTTCCCTGATGATTCTAATGTAAAAACGTTTTGGTGGTTGTGGCTTTAGGGTTTTGGTGGTGGAGAATGGTTTGCAAGAAAAAGAAAAAAAAATCAGAAAATTACTTCTTTTTTTTTTTTTGGTGTGGAAACTTGTTATGAAGAGGTTGCTCGCCGGGGATAGAATTCAAATATTCACATCTTATATTCAAACAAGAATGCTTTTTGTGGGCTGGAATGGAGATCGTCGTTCTTCCATTTTGGAAACTTGTTTGTAACAAAGTCTACATGTTCTGCTGGTTCTGCGTGATGGAGCATCCTCCTACCAGCTATCGAATGGGCCATAAAGTGGAAGAGAAAATTCAAATAAAAATTCAGAAAATATTCTAGACATGATTAAACATGGCTGCATTGAATTTCGTAAGCTGATCGAGATGAATGAAGATGGGGGAGGAGATTCAAAATGAACTACCGAATTTGGTAAAGAATATCTTCTTTTTTTTCTCTCACTTTTCCTTATATACCATCTTCATTGATGAAGGTGGATAGCAACGATACCCTCTCATTCTTTTGTTCTCTTCACAGAATTTCTCTTCATTACCTTATGCGTTCTTGCCTTTTAATGCAATGGCGACATAAACCACCTTCAAGCAAAAAACAAAAAAAAAAACGAAACAAAAAATTGTCAACTGTCCATCACCATGGAAGAGAGAGAAACCAAGTGCATTCTAAACTCGATCATTGATCTGAAACAGACAGACGCTTGGCAATTCTGCTCATTCCTTCTCGAGTATATCCCCATTTATAGCTATTGACTCATCAGATGGAGGGTTTGCTCTCATTGCCACGAGTGAATTTTTGTGCCCTCTTAAACTACCACCTCTTAGGACGTCTGGTTCTCTCGTTCATTTATTTTCCGGCCTCTCAGAGTTTGGACGTTCTATTCCACGATCTTCGCTAGAGAAATCTACATCCCTAGTCCCCCAGTTCTTAATTAATTTCAGATTCTGGAGCACACAGAGGTACTTCGCCATGTTTTGACTTTATGCCATTTTTCTTGCTCCAGAGGTGATATGGACATCTCCTGACTTGTCATTAGCTACTGAGACATTGCTCATGGATCTAATGGTCTCCATTCCTCATGTCTCCCTTCCTCTTTTTTTTTTTATTCATTCAGCTCCTGAAAAATGTAAAAACTATGCGATTATGTGCAATTGACAACTAATTTTCCTGTTTCTAAAATTGTCAATTGAGTTGGGATTCATCAATTCCAAACCCATGGACGACAGATTCCCATACATCCCGTAATAATTCGGTTAAATGATTACATATCGATATGATTGTAATAAGTTGACTTCTGTTGAGAGGAATCTTTTCTCTTGCTTTCAGATGAATGATACTAATAATAGTAATAAAAATGCAACACAATTGGTCCAAACTAGAAGAAATAAGGAGGAATTGTTGTCTCTTAATAGAAATTCTGTGGGGTGTATCGTACAAGAATTTAGATGAGATTACTGATATTTAGATCTTGTCAGAAATCTGATGATATTCATACCTTCTGTCTTTATTTCACCATTTTTTTTTCATCTAATCATTGTGCCCTCGTCATGATTGCCAATCGATGTGCTGTTGAATTCAGACTAGTCGGATTATCATAGAAAAAAAGAGAGGAAAAATCTGCCGTTCGTCTTGCTCCGGAGACCCTAACAACGTCTTCTATATTGGTCAGAGAACCTGCTGTTGACCGCTGACCAGAAGACGGTGAAGCTCGTTGACTTTGGCCTGGCGAGAGAAGAGACGTTGACCGAGATGATGACGGCGGAAACCGGAACCTACCGGTGGATGGCCCCGGAGGTGCTCCCTCAGACCTCCCCTACCCCTCAATCATTATTTGAATCATCATGTTAATCGGGTAATTTAACTATAGAAGGAAACTGAAAAATTGACGACGACAATGATGATGATGATTATTACTATTTATTGTCAAAAAAAATTTGTAGCTGTACAGCACGGTCACTCTAAGGCATGGGGAGAAGAAACATTACAACCACAAAGTGGATGCCTACAGCTTTGCCATAGTCCTGTGGGAGCTCCTCCATAACCGGCTCCCCTTTGAAGGCATGTCCAACCTCCAAGCCGCCTACGCCGCCGCCTTCAAGGTAAGACCCGTCCCAGTTTCTTCTTCTGATCATCACCACCATCACCAATTCTTCTGTGTGCTCTAGCTCGTGCTTGATTGATCTATTGATGATATGTGATGGGCTGTGGAAATCATCTATACCAGTTCTTCTGTAAAAAAAATAAAATCGCAGAGAAGATGAACAGTCTTGGGTTTTTCTGACAAGTTTCTCTCACTAGTTTCTCTTGTTTTGATCATCATCTAGCTCGTGCTTGATTGAGCTGGAAGATGTTTACATGCACCGGAAATCATCTGACAGTTTTTCTGTGAAAAAAGAAACAAAAAAAATAAAAATCGCAGAGAAAGTGAAGAACAGTCTCGAGTCGTCTTCTTCGCTGCTTCTTTGATTGATAATTTCCGATGATCATGATCACAAATGACAAAAAAGAAGAGAGCGAAAGAGAAAGATCTGACGAGTTTCTTCTTGCTCGTTGCTGCTGCTGCTGCTGCTGCTGCTGCGAGTGAAGAACGTGAGGCCGAGCGCCGACGACCTGCCGGAGGAGCTGGCGGCGGTGATGACCTCCTGCTGGAAGGAGGACCCGGAGGCGCGGCCCAACTTCAGCCAGATCGTGCAGATGCTGCTGAGCTTCCTCGCCGCCATGTCGCCGCCGCCCGCCGCCGGGCCCGGGCGGGTCTTCACGTCGGAGAACGCCGTCCTGCCGCCGGAGTCCCCCGGGACGAGCTCTCTCATGGCCGCTCGGGACGGCGGCGCCGCCGAGGGCTCCGGAGACCGCCGCCCCAGGGGGGGCATCTTCTTCTGCTTCAGCCACTGCTACTGATTGATTGCCGGGGAAATTTTAGGGTTAGCAGGTTAGCAAGGTAGCCGCCCGCCGGCCGGCCGATCTCTCTCCTCTCTCTCTCTACATTCTCTACATTATATTGATCGAGACCGTAAAGATGTGGGGGTGGGTTTTTATATCATCCATTGAATAAAATTTCAGCACTAACCAGCCCTCCGCCCATTTCTCTGCTCCCCCTCATTTCCTACCACCTTCTCTTCCAAGTTTCTTGGAAGAAGAAGAAGAAACAGGCAGAAGAAGAGGAAGAAGAAGACATACCGCAGTTGCCACATTCTCTTCCAAGTTTCTTGGAAGAAGAAACAGGTAGAAGAAGATGACGAAGATACGTCTACTCATGGTCGGCCCATCTCGGCCCATTAAAAACTTCCCAACCAAAATCACATTTTATGATGATATTATACGAATGGGTGCGTTGGTAGATGACATACCGCATTTATCACTTGAATTCCAAGAAACTTGGAAGCAGAAGAAGAAGATATGTATACTTATGATGGGCCTATCTCGGCCCATTAAAAAATCCCCCAAGAAAATCACATTTTTTGTGATGATATAATACGAATGAGTGCGCATGTAGATAGATAACTTGGAAGAAGAAGATATGTATACTCATACTGGGCCCATCGTGGCCCACTAAAAAGTGTCCCAACGAAAATCACATTTTTGTGATGATATGATACAAATGGGTGCGCATGTAAGATGACTTACCCACATTTATCAGATTAATGTTCTTCATCAATCATAGTAAACTAATATGAACGGTCGGATTGGTCAACGATGCATATTTTATAGCTCCTTTTACGATGCCATTCACTCCCCATCTGATCTCTTGGACCTCATATTTAAATATTTTCAAAAATTATTTTTATTGAACCAAAAAAATATAATGTGTTGCGTTTAATTTGATTTTAATAATGATAAAAATATTAATATTATGGTATAGTGGTTAATTAATTGATGTACACTTCTTACAAAGAAGCCATTCAATGACGATATGATATTTTAAAAATAAAACCCATGATTATGCAATTTAGAAATTATATAAACCTCTTTTTTGACAAGAAAAAATCCAGGTGGCTCAAATAATTATTCAAGCCCTTAAAAAAAATCTACAGATTGATAAGCATAGGTGGATTCCAAAACTGATTGATACTTGAAAATTCTATTTTTTTATGGAGAAAATCCTAATATCTTTGAGGGAAACCCTTTTGGGATCAATATATTTTTGATTTTAAAAAAAAAAAAATCCCAGCTATCATGATTTTCAAATGCCTTATATTTTCAAATAAGGGGGCTCAACATCTGGAAAAATTAGTTCCTAAAAAATCATTTATAGTAGTATATAATAATAGTTTGAAATAAATGACTAATGAATGCCAAACTTAAGAGGGTATGCATAAATTCTAGCCTAGTTCATTGGGCATATTTTAGATGATTTCATGAATAAAAAAACGTGGGAAATAGATGAACAAGTAGAGAGAGATAGAGATAGAAAATAGATAAATAGGGAGACTAAGAGAGAGAGAGAGAGAGAGAGAGCGCGAGAGGTAGTGATTGCCAAAGGAGAAATCTTGGGTTAGGGTTTTAATGTTGAGGAACAACTTCGAAGAAGGGGAAAAGTTTGTGGCCTTGGAATCCCCACAAGGTCTATTATTTGATGAGGAGGCTCAATCAGTCAACCTGTCGAAATTGATGAGGATTGACCGCTTGAAGTCGGATCTGAGCAGATGAGCAAAACGAAGATCTGAGCAAGGTCCAATGAAATATTTTTCAGAAAAAAATGATGAGAAAACGATGGGCACAGTGAAGATCCGAGCAAGATCCAACGAGTTTGATCAAAATATTTTCAGAAAAAAAATGAAGGGAAAAAACGTGGGCGCAATGAAAATCTGAACAAGATCCAACAAAATTTCATAGAAAAATTCACAAGAAAGATGATGAGAAAAAAACGTGGGCGCAATGAAAATCTGAACAAGATCCAACAAAATTTCATAAAAACATTTACAGGAGAGATGAGAGAAAAAAGATGGGCACAATGAAAATCTGAACAGAGCCCAAGAATTTCGATCAAAATGCTTTCTTCAGGAGAGATGAGGAGCAAAAAGATGGGCGCGATAAAATATCTGAACAAGGTCCAAGAATTGTGATCAGAATGCTTTCAGGAGAGATGAGAGCAGAAAGATGGGCACGACGAAATATCTGAACAAGATCCAACAAAATTTCACAGAGAAAGAAATCACTTGGAGAGATGCTAAGAAAAAATACAGACAACATTAACAGATGAACACATCTCCAGAGCTGCAGTCCAGAGCTCCAATGGTCGCAATCAAGATCTGTAGAGGGAAATAGACCATCACCAGTTTCCGGGGAACGGAAATGAGGGAATTGCTGAGGATAACATGACCACCCAACCATCAACAGAAATGGCCAGCAATCAAGCGAGCACTTTCAGAGAAACAGCGCGAATACAGCATCTTTGATCCGGATGCCACGATGGATGAGAGAGAGAGAGAGAGAGAGAGAGAGAGAGAGAATCAAGATCATCCCCTAAGCAAGTTGGAAGAAGAAGACATGAATAAATTAGTCCTGTTTGACGAAAAAAACAGAAAAGAAACAAAAATTCCCAGCACAAAATAGCTTGGAAACATCACTCCCTTTTTTGCATTATACAGAAACCGACGGGCATCGGATGGATTCCCCAGGCTGGAAGAACAGAAGCAACAGTTGCAGGCGGCAGAAACGACTAGCTGCCCCACCCCTCCTCCTCCTTCTCCTCCTCATCCCCCCCCAGAAGCATCCCCATTCAGCAGTGAAATCTCTCTCTCCAAATAGTAGCCCAGTTGAAACATCGCCCGCAGCGGCTGAATTCTCCGACAAGGAAGGAAGATGATCCCCACGCCCATCCACCCACCCACCCACCTCTGATCAGAGAGTTCCTCAGTGGTATCGCCATGGCGGGCAGGCGGGTTTTCAGCCACTCTCTCTCTGGCAATTCCCCGGGAGGAGGAACCTGTACTTGTCGGCGTTCTGCAGGAGGAACGCAGGCAGGTGAACGGCAGAGAAGGAAGAAGGGATGGGGCCGAGCTTCCCAATAATCTCCTTGAAGGTGTACTCCTCTGGTAGCATATCAAACAGGTCGGCCCCCTTGCAGATCACCTCCTGGATCCTCGATGGCCTGAGGTAGTAGGAGAACCTCACCCTGTCGACATGGCTGTAGGCCTTCATCTTGAAGATGAACTCGCTGATGCGGCGGAAGCAGAAGCTGCAGTGCCACCCTGCATCCCAGAGCAGGTCATCGGTCTGTCGGAAGTGGGCGTACCTCGTCTTCCCCTGCCGGTACTTGTGGACGGAAGCCCTCCAGCTCTTGTCATCGAGGAAGAACTCGAAGGAGTAGAGGAAGTTGCGGAGTTGCAGGTGCAGGATCTCCGGGGTGCCGTCGCACCAGCGGAGAAGGTTGATGGTGTGACCGCTGGGGATCTCGTCGACGTCGGACATGATCAGGAGGTCGCCGTCGGAGATGCCCGCATGGCGGAGCAGCTGGTCCAGGGCGACCCGCTGGTAGGACTCCTCCACGAAGGGGTTCTCCCCCTTCACGAACCTGCCGGCGATGGTGCCGTAGGTCAACCTAGGCTTCACGAAGGAGAAGGCTTCCTTGTTCTCGGAGAAGAATAGCGGCTTGGGGATGCCGGTGAAGGTGGAGTTGGACTCGAGGAGGACGAACTCGGAGACGTAGGGGCGGAGCTCGTGCCAGCGGATGGCGAGGATGTCAAGCTCGTTGCTGAAGAGCACCGCGTCGAAGACCCTCCTCGGGGAGTCCCTGATCCGCCACCCGTGGAGCTTGCAGAGCTCGGCCATGGAGGCGTTCTCGTGGTAGTAGTGTGGGATGTTGTTGAAGGGCTTCGGGGGCCGCTCCCACAGCGGCCGCAAAAAGTAGCTGATCTTCTGCCCGTGGAGGTAGATGCCGAAGAGGCAACTGGGGACGAGGATGGCGAGGAGGATGAAGGCCCTGATGTCCACCCCTCGCAGCACGCATCGGATCCTCGTCATGGTCAGGGCCGCCCTCGACGCCTGCAACACCAACAACAAACCCTTCATCCATGAGAGAGAGAGAGAGAGAGAGAGAGAGAGAGAGAGAGAGAGAGAGAGAGAGAGAGAGATCATTGTCCTCCCTCTTTCCTCCTTCCTCCTTGCTCCTTCTTCGATCGAGGGAGGGAAGGGGCGAGGAATTGTAGAGCAGGAATGGGATGCGATGGGATGGAATGGCATGCATTCGGTAGGTTTTTCTTGTTGTTGTTGCAGAGATTGACGGAATTCAAGGAAGGGTGGAAGAGGAGGAGGGAGAAGAAACGGGATGAACTGGAGGAGAGGATAGGGTTTCCTTCCCAATTGATGACCATGGAGAATCCGGGGGCGATGGAGGAGCAGGAGAGATGAGAATGCGCGGGCGGATCTGATGGATGCGACGCCATTCGAGGGAGAGGGAGGGGGAGGAGGAGGGAGGTGGAGAGGGAAGAGAGAGAGAGAGAGAGAGAGAGAGAGAGAGAGAGAGAGAGAGAGAGAGAGAGAGAGAGAGAGAGAGAGAGAGAGAGAGAGAGAGAGAGACAGAGACAGAGAGCGAGAGAGTAGAGTGCTCCACCATTACCTGCCCGCAGACCTCCTCGCAGATGTCATCAGTCTTCTTCGAATTGTAGTATCCTGCCGCTTCCGGCATCATGGGAAGACCTCAGATTTGATCTCCCACTGCTTCTCCCTCCTCTTCCCTCCCTCCCTCCCTCCCTCAAGAAAAACCAGACGAAAATCTTCCCCCTCCTGCTCCTCCTTCCCCCTTCCGAGAAGACGATGGCGGAGGAGGAAACCCAGAGAGCCCGAGTTCCCCCCGCGGCGGCTCTCTGGTTCCCTCTCCCCAAGACAGAAAACCGAGACCAGATCACCGCCGGAAACTCCGTACCACGGCCGGCGATCCTCTCCGCCCCTCTCTCTCTCTCTCTCTCTCTCTCTCTCTCTGTCTGTCTCTGAGGGGAGGGAGGAGGGCTGGGGTTTCCCTTCCTCTTGTATTTGTATTACTCCAGAGAACGAATTATAGAGCGGAGGGGGGAGATTGAGAGAGAGAAAGAGCGAGAGCGAGAGAGAGAGAGAGAGAAAGAGCTCGGTTTTCTCCTTTTACCCTTCCCTCCTCGGAAGGTTCTCCCCTAAATTTAGCCCCACCTCCCTCCCCCTTTCTCTCTCTACTGTAAAAAACTACCCCTCGCCCTGTCTCTCTCTTCCGATACTACCCCGCCTCTTCCACCCGCAGAGACGATCTCATCCTTTCACCGCCCCGACGGGGACGAAGGCCGGATCTGCGCGAGAAAAAACGGGAATGCGGGGAAGAAGGGAAACCCTCGCCTATAGAAATCTGCAAAGAACTCTAACATCCACTCCTTCCATCTTCCTCCGGCACCTCCGGATTTGGAAACTCCTCGATCTTGGAATCCGCCTTGAGTTGTCCTTAGATCCTCTCCCACCGCGGCGCCAATTGATCCGACCGTTGAACTCCAAGTCAAGCAAGCCACTGAGTTCCTCCTCCTCCTCCTCCTCCTCCTCCTCCTCCTACTCCTCCGCAGTACTAGCAGCAGCAACAGCAGCACTTCCCTCCCGCGCGCCTCCAGGAACCTGGACGACGGCGGCGGCGGAAGCGCCGCCAGTCGCTGGCGGTCGTCGGCGAGGGATGGCGACGTCGACGGGAACGCGTTGGACGAAATGCCTCGCTGGCGGGGGGACGTCTTCGCCGTCGAATAACGAACTTTATCCTCTTTTATTTTAATCCCTAAACTATTTTCTCTTTTTAAAAATATTCTCCGGTTTTAATAATACTCTCATCGCGGAATTAAACCTGGATCCGACGGCTGTGCCTCTGCCACGTCATTTCATCGGGCCGGGCCGATTCTGAGGCTGGAAAATAGGCCGAGGGCCCAACCCTTCGGGCTTTCTACTCGCGCCTACTTAACGCGGAATATATATTTTTTAATTCTGAGAATTAATTTCTAAATGATTTTTCTAATGAAAAAATCGTTTAACGGACGCACTGGCTGGCTGATCCAGCGGTGGCCGTTAGCTCCGGACGACAGGAGACCGCTGGTGGCTGTGGGCCTCTTTAAAGGACAAGAGTCCAATTATTTACGAAATTAGGTGTAATAAAAAGACGCCAGTTTCTAAGCTCTAAACTGGGCCGTCCGTCCGTCCGCAGTCATGTGAGGATTCATTGACGGTTATTATAAAATTTATCTCCCGGGTGATTGTGCGTATGAGAGAGTTTTATGGGATTTATCGAAATTTTTATGGGCACCCGCCTCCGATACGGGGAAGGAATACGCGAGGAAGAATGTCAAATCAGTACTAATTTATTTCACGAGGGACAAACTAATAAAATACGCTCATGTCATAGGCGGGGCAGTTCTGTGGGGCCCGCATCGTAGCTGACGCTTGTAAACGGCCGGGAAACGTAGTGCGCCACGGTGGTGCGCCACCGCCCCACCGAGTCATTGGCGGGGAGCGGTCAATGGCGATGCGGGTGCCCCCCCCCCCTAGTGCCCCCAACCCAGAGTCAACGATGGTGACATAAGCAGGGTGATGGACGACTTGGAAGTCAAGGCATCGCACCCGGGCTGGGTCCCGCTGGTAAGCCCGTGCTGATCTCTAGTGTTCTTGCTGGGCCCAACAAACAGTTTGGGGTTTGAGATGGAAGAGGAGAGGGGGGTGACCCATGGTGTTGACTACTTCTGATGCACTGAAATGCTTTTGACTCTTTGCTTAACCCTTCTAGAATGACCCTTCGGGGATGCAAATATTGAACACAAATGCTCAATTGGATTTTATGTTTCTTTGAAACTTTTTCAAAATGATATCGCCATGAAACACAAAAATAATAAAATTTGGATGGTACAAATTGATTATTTTACTCTCCTAATCTATTGTTACACATAGAATTCTAACTTTTTGGTTGATTGGGTTTTGATGTTAAGACAAGAGATTAGGAGAGTAAAATAATCAATTTGTACCATCCAAATTTTATTATTTTTGTGTTTTATGGCGGTATCATTTTGAAAAAGTTTTAGAGAAACTTTAAAGTCATCTTAATCATGTTGACTTTCATGGGTTGAAACTTTAAAGTCACCTAGCTCATCCTCTTTAGAGTTGACTCTTCATACAAAGGCTCTACAGATCTATGACAAGCTATTATTGGGCTGGGCGTGACTCTTTGACCTTCCAATGTTGTTGGAAGTTGAGCAAATTATGTGCACATTTGTTTCTAGATGATTCATACAAGGTTCATTTTAAATATGTAGATATTTATCTTTAAGTGCTAATTCATCAATAAAGGTATTTATTTTCTCTAAAAGTATTTATGTTCTAACTATGTTTTCACATGTAAAGGTATTAAAGAAGTTTGGGATAGTTGATGAATGTTATAAGGTTCATTTAATGAGAGTTTCATTAAGTTCATTTAAGGTTCATTAAAATGAGAGTATCATTTTAACTGAAGAACATTATATAATTGCACATGGCAAAATAGAAATGGGCATTGCTCACCCAACAAAAGGTGTATTTTTGTGAATTACTTGCAAATTTAGAGGAAAATTAGTCACAATCAATATAAGGAGCATCATCATTTCATAACAAAATGATCGCGTAATAGTACAAGATATGACTTTATATATGAAAAATGTGATTTTCTAGAATAAAATGTGAAAGTAATGACTTGGAAGCTATGTTCTTTGACAATTGAATTTTGTGTAGTGAAAAGAAGAAAATAAAAAATATTAATAGAATCCTAATTTTTTTTTAATAATGTGTTGCAAGAACCAAGTGATGATGAAATATAATTTTACCTTCTCTTGAAATTAATGCTTATTTTTTACCCAAATAAAATAGTATTATGTCTAAACTTTGTTGGAAGAAAGGTTTTATTTCTCAAAAAAAGGTGTTATTTGTTAATAATCTTACAAGCATGTGAATGTTTCCAGGGTTCCATACTAAATAATGTTCATAATTGCTACTCATCACATTTATGATGGGTATATTTATATCCTTATAGTTTATTTTTAAATGATCTTAAAATGGAAATATCTCTTATTGGAGGATGAAAGATATCTTCTTTTACACTAAACTATAAATTTCGTACATATGATTACATGGAACTTTATCACAATGACAATGTTAGTGCTTTTGTCCTCAAGTTTACACACGATGCACCCGAAAATAAAAGGTAAATATTTTTTTTCTTCCTCCTAAGTTTCAAAATAGCGATTATCTCATCTTTCTCATAGCTTTTTATCCATCATTATAGTTGAAGACATTATTCAACTTAAATGATTCATTATTTTTACAATATAATCATTCTTGATATTAAGATACAATGGTACGTATTTCCCATGAATAAATTTCATATTTATGTTAAAAAGATATGATTTTTTTATTACATCATGTTTCTAACCAAGTAGAGAAATCATCATAATGTTAAATTGTAATAAAAATTATTAGCAAGTTTTTTCCTATTTATTGAGCATAGTCTTCTAAAAGAATGACTGAACTTCATTTATCAACCTCCTTGAGTGATTTTAAAAAGGTAGATCTATATTTTGCAATTAAAGTGAAAACCTGATTAATTTCATATGACAATCTTGACTTTGAATATACTTAATTAGTAAAGAGCCATGCTATATGGAGTAAAACCCATAATTACTAGTATTCTTATTTTTTACGACATCGGAAAATATATTATCCTTGAAAAATAAACCCAGGTCGAAAACCAGTTCGTTTTTGATATTATTATTTAATGTAAAAAACATATTATAATTTTCATCCATTTTATCTAGCTGACGTCACAGAACCAGGGAGCAGAATCGCTGTCTCCAGCTCATCAGGGACAAGTGCCACCGTGTCTTGCGGCGGCGGCGATCCCACCACGTGGGTATGTTCCTTCTTATTGGCCCGGTTGGTGGTGGGAATCGTGAACAGCCGTCACGTAGGGGGGGGGGCAGCTCATTGGACAGATGTCAGGCGAACGAGAGTTAAAAAGGAGATGAGTGCAAAATACCAGCTTAGGCTTTGGGATCATGGGATTAGCTAACATCACAGCCTTACAAGTGTCAATGTTACAGATCATAATATCTCTCTCACTCTCTCTCCCCCTGCCTAGAGTATGTGTGTGGGTCTCTCTTTCTCTTCACTTTCTCCCTCTACCTACCCCCGGGTATGTGTGAATTCCTCTCCCCCTCTCTCTCTCTCTACTTGCCTGGGGTGTTTGTGTGTGTGTGTGTGTGTCTCTCTCTCTCTCTCTTATCACATCACCACTTCTTCCCCATCCTCTTTCTTCTTCTCTGCATACCTCAACAAGGACAGGTCCCAAACTAGGGGGTTGACTGTAAATAGAGCCACGGGGGCACCACAATGGGCGGCGGACGGCAGACCTGAAGAGGAGGAGAAAACGACGAGGACATCTCTGTCAAGACCTTCTCCATTAAGGATCTTTCTGTAATATCCGATGAATATTCGCGCACATTCTACTCCTTATCTACACCAAAGCCCACCAAGCAGATGAAAAATAGACAGATTATTTAAAGTAATTAATTATGAATATTCGCGCATATTATTTACTATTTATCACGGAAATAATAATATATTTAAATTAATTAATTAAAGAAGAAGAAGTAGAAGAAGGGCCCAAACAAACAGATTATTAGCAAGGATTCAGCAACATCTCAGCCATACAAGTGTCAGTCAAACAACATTAATAATAATCATTTAATTATTTAATTAACTAAGAAGAAGTATAGCAAGAAAACCCGAAATATATGGATTAGTAGCAAGGATATAGGAACATCTCAGCCATACAAGTGTCAGTCATACAGAAATAATAATTACTTTTCATTAATTAATTAAGAAGAGTGGGAACAAGAAGGGCCGAAACAAATAGATTAATAACAAGGATTTAGCGACATCTCAACCGTAAAAGTGTCAATCATATGAGAACCCTCTCTCTCTGTCTCTCTCTCTCTCTCACCCTCTTTCTCCTGCTGGGCACGTCCCAAATTTATCATTTATTTAGGGTGTTGCCTGTAAACCAGAGTCACGCGGACCGCGAGAGGAGAAGAACTACGAGGACATATCTGTCAATCCTTTCTCGGTCAAGGGCCAGTCTGTAATATTCCAGAATAATCTGGGGACACCACATACCTTACTTAGGCCAAAACCCACCCAGCGTACGAAAAATAGTCAGCATTAAGGTGCGGCAGAAATAAAATTAATTTCAATAAAATAATTAATAAATAAAGGAGTAGTACTAGAAAGAAAGGGAAAAATAAACAGATTACGAAAATAAATAGATTCAGTGGACGTGATGCATGCATCTCTAGAGTGCCTATTTGTGGGTTGAGTTGGAGGATTTGATCCCCTTTGACTTGAAGTAGGCATTCTCCGCCTCCTGCAGCCGGGATTGGAACAACCCCCACTCGTTTCTGCATCGCTCTCTCACCTGCCACAACAGGGAACGCAAAAAATCAACCCTAAGTAATGAACGAATTTTCTTTCCAACCATAGTAATATAATGATCTTAGGAAGTGGAAATGATGATGGTAATAATACCCCTTCCCATGGCGCCCGCCCGCTGGTTGGCTGGCCCTGCAGAATTGAGGAGAATTGGAGAGAGAGTCAAAGGGAGATTCAAGAGCGGGGAGGCAAAGAGGAACGATGAATGGATGAATGGATGGATGGATGGATGGATGGATGGATGGATGGATGTTCTTCTTACCTGGTTTCCGAGAGAAGGGACGGCCTGATGAACGATCCACTGAGAGTCCACCACCCCGATTTTCTCGTGCGCGGGCTGTTATTGTTCATCGGGTGGGGTAAATAAAGATCACCTCTCGATGTATTTATTTACGGAGAGTTATCAGAGAATTACCTCCACGCATTTCCTGAGAGCGAGATCGAGCCCCCATCCGTGGACCAAGTCATTCTGCATCCACGACTCTGAATTATTATTAATAATAATAGTAATCATAATAATAATAAATGATAATTATTTGAGTGGACAAAAAGTGAAGCTTGGGTCAGAGAGAAAAAAAGGGCAAGACGAGATGCCTGAATCATGTGCCAGACGCAGCGCCAAGCTTCTCTGGAGAAGACGGGTGCCATGATCTCGACGAATCTAATGAAAGCGAAGAATCGTCAGGGAAGGATGATGATAAGTGGGGATAAGCAAGAATGGAAAGACGGAGACGAGAGATCACATACGCAGCGCATGGTGGGAGATGTGGATCCGAGCACCACCCGGGCCTCTCTTCGGTTACCCTGGATAAGAGAATTTCAGACAATGTGATTATCAAAAACTAAATGGGGAAAAAGAAAGAAAGACAGAAAAATAATATTTTATCAGAAAAATGGCGGAAATGCTCACTTGTGAACTTCTCGATCACCTCTCCTCTTGGTCATCTGCCAGGTCAACCCTCGATCTGGGTCCAGGCCGGGCTGCGAGATATCCAGGCCATGCTTCTTCACCAGCCTAATGTACCTGGAAGTAACGGATATCCAGAGTCTCAGAGGCAGGACAGATGGTGAGAGATGTTGATGAACTACGGCTTACTCTTCGGCATTGAAATGCTCAACACCCAAATCTTCATCCCAGATGAAGATGTACTCATATGGCGCTACGATGTCAGGGTGCAAGAACCGTTTGGCGTACCACCTTGGAAAGGAAAAAAAGAAAGGAAAAGATGGGAGTCAGCGGGGACACCTTTGATGAGAATGGATAGCTTTAATGGTAGTTTGCTCACCACTTGGTCTGTTTGCTGACGCTGATGTGAATCGCTTGCCTGGACCACTCAAAATCATCCCATTCTGTCGTTATACCATCGTAGTGGAAGAGCAGGATGGTGAAGTTCCCAGAGAACTGCACAATGATTGTCCATGGTTAGTCAAAATATATCCATAACTAGTAAAAAACTTCATCCGAAGAAGTGATTTTATTTTTTATTTTTTATTTTTTTATATCATAGATTCAGTTTATTGAAATACATATTAAGTACAAGAAATCAGTAAGAGTTAGGGTACGGGAAGCGAGTAGAATATTTCTCACTAACCTTTTTTACTGCCGCATTAATGTTTTCTTTTTGGGCGTATCCTACAGTGAAAGTCACAAGGTACTTCTGCTTGAAAGGCAAGTCCTTCGGATCAAAAACCCAAAAGAGAGCATTAATAACACAAAACCAGGTGATCAAAGCTAAAGCAACTGAATAAATATAAAAATACTGTTCCAATTAATAAACCGGGGATAAATAAAAATTAGAATAATTCAACAGAAGAAATTAACTGTACAGGTTAGATTTTCCCAGATGAGATATTCCTCAGATGAATAATATCATACAATAATAATAATCACAAGTATTAAAATAACAGCACTAAAGGCAAGATAACCAAAAGAAAATTTGATATTCGCTCAAATCTCTGTAGAATATAAGGAGTCGAGAATCAATGTCAACAACCTTTTTCCATAAACATGCATTCCATATCGGATCAATGAATCTTAGGTAGCATTTAAAAACTATGTCTTGAATACGACATTCACATATCAAATATGAGTACAGTAACAAGAAAATACAAGACATAGTTAAGACTTGATTCACAATAACATATAGTTTTTACAAACTTAAGATTTAAACTATTTGATCACAATCGCTTGTAAATTATTATTATTTTTAAATAAAAATATTCGGCAGTATTAAAGGGAGAACTCCACGACAGAAGGTGACAGCAGTGAGTGGTAGTAGTTAAAGGACAGGACGTGTCCATCTTCGTAAGTGATAAATTCAGAATCAAGCAATGACCATTGTGGGGCAGAGAGCATGCAGGCAGCTGTGACACCAAATGACAACTATTTGAATGGCTAACAACAGATGGCAGTATCAGTGCAAATATCAGTAGTAGAGGAAGCTGCATAACCTTCGTAGACTTAAAATTATTAATGACAAGTTAAAATTGCAGGAACTATATAACGTTTTGACAAACAACAGCAGCCCTTATTGAGGTAAAACAATGTAGAATTTTATTTGTTTTGAGAGTTGGGAGCACACCCCTCCATTGTTGATTCCTATTAATGACGTTTTTAAAATGGTTGCAGAGGATCATAAAGAAAATAATAATAATTCTTTAACTGGCTAAAAAATGAATCACATGACGAATTGATAATTGAAGACCATATTCAAGGCAGTATTTGCAGATTGAGAAGTATCATTGAGCAAAGAACAATAAGTGTTGAGAATTGATCTTGATTGAGATTCTTGCGACTTGGAGAATGAAAGGATTTGATCTTCACGATCCTCCTCTTCCAGGAAGATGAATCAGTCACCACTTCTTGGAGCAGAATTTCCGCAATCCTAAAGTTTTACATCATTTATCTTGGTTTCCCGCTTAAGTACAGGTTACATGAGTTAATGGGCCAGGCACATTACGTTAGTCTTTAAGTGGATCCGTTAACAGTCTAATGGATCCACTTAACATAGGGAATGACAGAGAAGGACGAAAATACAGTGAAAAGAAACATATAGAAAGGAAAAACAATCCTAGAGAGTGGTGTCTAATTTTGATTTTAGGAGGTAAACCCATGTAACCTAGTACAGTCATCAACAAATAAGATAAACCACCTACGTCCAGACAAGCTAGTCATAGGCACTGGCCCCCAAATATCACTATGTATAGGATGTAAAGGTGTTGTATTATGTTCACCAGCATTTTCAAATGAGGAGCATTTGTGTTTGGGCAATTGACAAGCATCACACACTAGAGTTTTTATATCAACACCTTCAAACATAAAAGGAAACCATGTCTTTAAGAGACCAAAGAGAGGATGTCCAACACGACAGTGTTGTAACAGTATACTATTCTTTTTGTATTCACTGACTCCACTCCAAGGTGAGTACTGTACAGACATTGTTGCATGATCATCCTCTTCCCAGTAAAGCAAGCCTCCTCCTTCGTTAACATGGCCAATCTTCAGGCCCAAGACCTTGTCAACGATGAACATCCATCGTCCTCAAGAATGAAACGACAATTAATATCTTCATCAAGTTTCTGCAGTGAAATCAAATGAGCCTTTAGCTTAGTCACATGTAAAACATTTCTTAACGTGCCTAAATGTTGCATATGATTTTGAGAAAAAAATATTCTTACCTAATTGAACCAAAGGCGTAGAGCTCAGCATATTCTTGAGTTTCTCTACTTTCTCCCTCAGTCTTTCAAATTCATCACACTTCTGCTGATTATTAGGATTGGGAAGTTCCTTTATCACAGATTGACCTTCTATAGTCTCTGCTGGTTGAGAAGTAGCCACAAATGCCCTCCCCTGTTGAGGTGGTCATCCATGCAACTTCCAACAATTTTTTCTTATGATGCTTCTTCTTGCAATATGAACACCAAAGGTTTTCTTGGTTATCCCACTACTGATATCTTCCTTGTGATGCAGTGACTGGGTTTTGATTTCTCTCCTTTTTCTTTAGTTGATTACCATGATCTTGCTTGCTAGAGGCGAAGGCTGTTGACTCATTCTTCCTAGTATTGATTAGACTCAATCTACTCTCCTCTTCCATAATAATCTGGATAGCTTCATCTAGTTCAGATACCTTTTCATGATGGAAAATTTGACCTTGAGGCTTTCATAATCAGAGTTCAGTCCCATTAGAAATGTATAGATTCTATGTTTCAATGTATACATGGGCTTCTCAGAAGTAAGATTCTTTACTGGCCAATAATGGTCAATCTCCCTCCAGGTAGCCTTTAATTCACACGAATATTCCATAATTGATTTACTTGCTTGCACTAAATGTGTTGCCTTAGACATTAGGCCATAAATCCTCCAATCATTATGTTTTTTCGAACAGCTTTTGCGAATTTGATTCCACAATTCCTTCACCGAGTGCATGAATAAGAAATTCTCATACATCTCTGGGGTCATTATACTTAGCAGCTATGTATGGATAATAACCTCTTGTGATTTTCATCCTCTATATTTTGGATCTGATTGCTTCAGTGGTTCTTCTATAAGATGATCTGTTAAACCTCTTTCAAGAAGCATCAGATCAACAAACTACTCCCATTGACGAAGATTTATCACATTGAATTTAAGTTTCACTAAGATATTTGAGAAAGTATGATATAGTCTCTCCCTTTCTCCAGTTGTCGCTAGAGATGATACGAATTCCATGGATGACGAAGAGCCTTTCCCTGAATGCAATCTCAAAGTCCTTTTCCTTTGTACTTTTCAGAATGTCTCAATTCACTGCTTGTGGAAGGTTTCTTTCTTCCTTGGTGTTGCTCCAAAACAGAAACAAGAAAAACAAGATTTAAGAAACAAGAAACAAGAAGTATCTGATCCTACCAGAATCAGCACTATTCTGATACCATGTTGAGAATTGATCTTCACGATCCTCCTCTTCCATAAAGATGAATCAGACACTACTTCTTGGAGCAGAATTTCCGCAATCCCAAAATCTTACATCAATTATCTTGGTTTCCCACTTAAGTACAGGTTACATGAGTTAATGGGCCAGGGCCATTACATTAGTCTTTAAGTGGATCCGTTAACAGGCTAATGTACCCAATTAATATAGGGAATGATAGAGAAGGACGAAAATACAGTGAAAAGAAACAGATAGGAAGGAAAAACAATTCTAGAGAGTTCAACAATAAGGTTCATGAGAATTTAAAATAATTAAATAGTTTCAGACCACATATCTTTAATATCCTACAATTTACACACACAACCAAATTCTCAGCTCCAATTCTGAAGCATAACCATCGCCTAACTGTAGTTCCATCAAAATTGACAACTAACTTGACAATAACTCTCTTCTGCTTGCCATACTCCCCATTCCCTTCCCCATACACCTACTACAGCATATCTGACTCCCATTCAGCAGTAACAGCAGCCTATGCCACATGAAACCTAAGGCCTTCATACAGTCTACACTCTGTCTGAAGCACATAACCGCCTTGATCTCCAACAGCTGTCGCCCATTCTAGACTTTCACTAACACCTGTACAGCCAGATGGCCAGAAAAAGGTGATTTCAGCCCTTCCTTTTATCGAAGGTCGAATTTAAACTGGAACCAGTCCGACATAACTATTTAGATATATCCAGTTGCTAAAATCATGTTCAGATGACAATGATTTATTCTTGGTGCATCAACATTAGTCATTAAGATAAAAAACGCATGCAGCCAAAAAGTTAACACACCATTCGGTGGCCATTCTCCAGAATTTTGTTGTAAGATTGGCAGAAGATCTTAAATTTCTATGTATTAAGAGAATGATACAGAGAATATGAGGCATTTTTATCTCTCCTTTTATACATACTTATCATGTTTTATCCCTAATGTCCCTTATAACAGGGGTATATTTAACATTTAATTTTTTAGCATTTGCCATATCTGTAAATAGATTGGGGAGAGGTTACACATCCATCTGTTTGGCTGACCACCTTCCCCTCCTTGCTGCTGCCTTATTCACCTCTCTTTCTATCACCACTATGTAATGTAATGTCAGAGATTACTCACCTTATGATTTCATTGTGAATGTACTACAACAAATCTAAGTTGCGTGTTTTTAATAGGGACAATCTACAAAATTGATGCATCCCAAGCTGAAGTGTCAGAGATTTTCATGAAGATTCGCTCAAGAGAGTGTTTCAGTGTAAACCTTGGACGACCAAACTTCTATAGGATCAGTCTTAAGTTAAGCATTTAAAGACTCACCCATCTGCTTTCTTTTGAGGAAACAGCCCATCACTTTTCTGACTATCATGCTTGATAGGCCGTACATCAGTCACCGACAAGGATATGAGATACTCATGCGGACAATAGGTCATCGTTTTATATTACTAGAAAAGGAACAGAGAGGCCACTTTTGACACTTGCCGCTCATATGTGACGTTGAATTGGCATTCTAGCAAATTAGATAAATGGGAATCTATATAAGAGCAATCTAGAAAACATACCTCACTTGGGTTGCCCCACAGTCTTCGCAGATATAAATCTGATTCAGCTGCTACAATACCTGGTGGCAGGAGTTCTGCTCCGCGAGGATTTGTAGGAACGTAGATCTGGAGCAGCAATTAATCACTTTGTCAGTTTAACCTCAAGAGCCTGGATCATTCATTCACTTCAATTCACACCATATAACCTCCGGGATAACTTAACATAACTAGGTTTTCTGGAAAAGTTAGTTCCCATAAAGAAGCATAAAGGAAAGAACAATGGTCCAGGATTATCATGCATATAACAAATTACTTGCAGATCAATCATAGATGAATTGAACTTCTTCAGAGTATGTTGGGAGAAATACTACATTGGCCAAGCAATTTACATGTAAAGGTATAGCCATCCACACGATTGAAATAAACTAAACCATTTTTCAAGAAATTTAAAAAAGGATTCTGTAAGCGTAGTTACAACAAAACCCAAAGAAATTCTGCTTTGACTAATATATCTAAGCAGAGACAAAAAGCTAATAATGAAAAACCAAAGGATGTACGCATGAAAATAAAAATTAAATAGGGCAAGAAAACCGCACTGTCCCATAGGAAAAAAGAAACAATTGAGCGATCCTGTACCCAGAATAATTTTAGGTTTTATCAGCTAGACATCCCACAAATGCTTTGTAACCTAACAAAATTCAAACAATAATGTTATCTTGAGCCAGTCGTGACAATAGACGAGGTTGAATCCAAGCAACTTGTCAATTTTGTTGGTTGAATCCAAGCAGCTACTTTGATTCAGAAATGCTGAAATCGAATCAAGTCATATCAGGTAGTCCAACTTATTCCCAACCATTATGTGGTTGCTGGGTTTCCTGCCATGGTTGGAGAAGAAAACACTCATGTGCACTACAATTTATTTTTATTTCCTCTTGACATTGTCCTGTTGGGCTAAAGTCAAATGACTTACTGGGTACACACCCCAAAAAATCATATCTAACTTACAGGGCCGGAATAGAAACCATGTGACCGATCGGATGCAATTTTTTCCGCTCAACCTGAATATATTTAGGACTCTCTCATGATCAGTCTACCCACTTTATGGCCGTTGCGTCGAGGATTTGATTTTCCTTCTTGTAGTTTTCTTTTAGTTGATCGGTCCTTCATAGAAGTGCTATCTTGTCATTTCGTTTAAGTTTCCTTTTGCTGATAGTCCCTTCTTCAAAGGGCTATAGCTATACTCATTTTTCTAACCAGCCAGCCAAGTATCCTCTCTTATTGAAGACAGAGTTGGGCCTTATTGTGAGCATTTACTCATGAAGACAGTTCTAGTTTATTTTCTCCTCTTCCTCTCGGAGCTTTAATTTCAATTCATCAGTACATCAATCTACCATTACGTCTTTTATCTGTGCAAATAAAGAATGAAGCTAACTACGTTATGTGTAAATGTAAAGCTAAATTGGAGTGATATCACCATGCAAGAGAATAGTTAGACCAAACAATAAACACATCATCAAAAACAAGATCGACAAAGATAAAAGAGGTCTAGAAAAGCCAAAAACTGAAAAAGGAAGACATCATCAGCTCCACATGTAGCAAAAGCACGGGTACAATGATTCTCATGTCACCCCAGGAGTTATTGATGCGAAAAAAAATCCACCATATACTATCTCTCAGGTTCATAGTAAAAGGATATAGTACCTTTGATGTTTCATTCAAATTAGTACTTGACTTGTTCCTCTCCAAACTTTTCGTAGTTGTCCAAGCATGATTTAATAATGCTTGGGTAGCAACTCCAGTGTTCTTATCTTCAACATAAGAAATAACGCTGGATGGGAATTGAACCTGAGATGCAAGTCACGGATTTAAACAAAATTACTCTTTACAAAAAACTTATACAAGGAAAACAAAGATAACATTCACCTTCGTTATCCTCACTGATGGAAAGGAACTACCAACTAAAAAGCCAAGCACCATCCCAATAATTGTCATAACGAAAAGCCTCATACCCTCATTTGATTTCCTTAAGAGTCCACTGCAATCACAACACGCAATAATTGGACACGATAATCTAGGACATCATAATTAAATATCACCCAAAAAAAGGGTAATAAAACAAAAAAATATGTCAGAGAATGAGTAAGGCAAGAACCCGCGAATGGGATTTAGTTTTGCCATCTTCCCCTGATGCTGGAACACTACCAAATGCGATCAATTCCTGAGATAGACCTTCGGATCATTTGATGACTTCATGACTTGAGACTTAGTGACAGTCCCGTAACTTCACCAAAAACAACCTGAGGGGCAACAGCAGCTGAAATAAGTAGAAAAATCAAAGGAGGAAGAGAGGAGGGAGGGAGGGAGGGAGGGAGAGGGGGAGAGGGAGAGAGAGAGAGAGAGAGAGAGAGAGAGAGAGAGAGAGAGAGAGAGAGAGAGAGAGAGAGAGAGAGAGAGAGAGAGAGAGAGAGAGAATGAAAAGAATTTCATTATCAAGTGAAAATAAGTATGCAACGAAAACACATACCAAAATCTTACAGAATGAAAACCCACTAAAATAAACGAACACACCATCTAACCTAACAAGAAGATACAACTTGAGGATGAGCATATAATAAATTCTCAATCCAGCTCTATCCCTTCAACTAGACTAAATACAGTGAAGTGTCGACCTCTTAAAAATTCTCAATCCAGCTCCAAAAATATATCCTTGCATCAGTCTGACGGTTCTCTGTGTGAAATGTTGAATCCTTTACAGAAGACATGAAATGTTCCCTATATTTCTCTCCCAAACAATGACCGACGAAACAGCACAGCAAGAAAAACCTCGAGCCATTTGATTTATGATAAATAGAGCGGGTTAATAAGCCAAAGGAAAATATCATGAAATTTCATTAAGACAAGTCCACAGCAGAACAATGAAAATTCATTCTAATAAGCAGTTATAGAGACTATAATATCCTATCCAACGAAATGGTTTCTGCACTCCTTCCACAATAAATGCAATTATTATCTATGCCCTTCCAACACTTTCCTAAATGACAAGTGAGCAGGAACAGATTTCCGCAAAAGAATGCTAATGTTGCAGAAGACATTTTTATCCACATTAGATTCCTCATATTCTGCATCTTTCCTTTTCATAAGTAAATAGGAAAAAGGAGTAAAATGTCCCCCTCTAGCAGATCATCAAACAACATCTTATCTTCTTCACCAAATTTAATTCATCTTACGTTCACAATCAAGGAAGCTAAAACAATTGTTCAATTTTACTTGTGTGATAACTCCAAGAACAAGCTTTTATCTTGTTGCTATAAATTCATTTACCAACCGATAATTGACATATATACGGAAATGTAGCTACCACATAAGTTGAGATAAAGGGTATGCCACAATATCGAATACCAGTAATGTCAAAAACGCTAAACATGTGAATAGATACTTTAAGCAAGAAACATACCCACAATACAGGACAATTTTAGAAGACCTTATTTCACATCAGTATTATCCACGTCAGCACACAACGTGTAACACAGTTCACGTTTCAAAATCTCATAGGTAAATCCACGATCCTTTAACTGGTGTATTTCAATATGTCCCCAAAAGCAGAAAAAGGGGAGGGGATACTTTTCTACATAAAGAGACATAGGAAAGACAGCAGATCCGATAAAAAGAGACTTCCCACTCGCCGGACGATTTAAGGAGAATCACTTCCAAATTCCGGCGGCGAAGATACACTCAGGAACGTAAGCAAACACCAAAGAGCGGTTTTAACTTACAGGGATTAGGAAGTATATTTAGATATATTTTTCTGTTCTCTGATTTTGCTTATGGTTGCGTTACACCAATCTCCGAAATCCGGTCCAAGGAATCGGAACAGACGAAGTAAAAAGCAAATCAGCAATCAATCTAAGAATCCGTTTTCGGCATTATTAGCGAGAGCAAGCAAACGCATGAGAAGAAAGCAAGAATTCCCAAAACTAGAAAATCTCAGAAACAAAAAAAACTAAAATAAAGGAAAATGCATCTAGAGTAGTGCCACGACAGAACAAAAATCTAAGTGCAGCAAAAGATGCACATTATTTTCTGAAAGAGGAAGAAATCGCAAACCCGTAGAGATCAGAGACCCCGCTTCCCCTCTATGCTAGCTCGGAGCACGTAAGTGAGACACCAGCTCGGCCTTTCCACTCCCCTCCACCCCTTACCCTCCCCTGCCTCCCGTGCTCTCTATGAAGTCGAGGTTCACCGGCGGGCAACTCGTGACCAACTCCGAGCGGCGGGATCCACGACGGTGAACCCGCCGGCGGCGAGGAGAACAGCCAGACGAGTTCCGGTGGCCGGCGACCGGCGGCGGCGCCGAAGTTGCACGTGCTCCGGCTACCACCGCTGATGCCGCTCCCTCCAATGTGCGCCGATACCAACACGAAATATGCGACTACTTCTAATCCCGAATTTAACACAGATTCTTCTCTCTCCTCTTAATCTCTCCTCTCCTAGACTTTCGAATTTTAGGTGCTTATACGTGGCGCTCGTAACCATTTCCACGTGCCTTCCGTGGTTGCTTATATTAGTAATTCCGAAATTAATTTAATATCGAATAAATGATGAGGGAAAAAAGGCCGATGATTCGAGGTGCGTGATCGGTGCCACGTGGCCCTCATCGACGAGCTTTTCAATAGGGCTACGATGTTTCTCGATCTAGGGGCATGTCATCATTTATTAGAAATGGAAGCTTCTTTTCCCGCTAATAAATGAGACCAGAGTTGGGAGTAACGCTAGTGGCCAAAGCCGGCGAGTGCCCAAAATGGAAATTTCTGATTTTTTCTAAAAAAAATATTTCGAGATTCTCGAAAATTTATTCTTCTATGATACGTCCATTTTTAATAATAGAAGTCGTGAGTCCCTTCTATGGCGAATGAGTAGAATTAAATTCGGGCCAAACTAGTCCGGCCCCAAGCTTTTATGGATCCCACTTGCATGATGACTTTTGCCACGTATGCAGAAAGAGGAGAGGCTGTTAATCACGTCATCATGCCAGAGCAGCAGTCGTAGCGGGCGAAGTCAGTGGGGGGTGCTATCACAATAAATATTTCAATAGGGATTAATTCATCATTAAAAGTTGAGGTGTGAGGTGGCGTATGAGGATGCGGTGGCGGTAGGGGTGGTGGTAGTTCTTCGTCTCACAGAGACCACGAAGAGGAAATGGCGTCTTCGTGGTGGTGGTGGCGGTGGTGAGGAGGACGATGGCGTCGGTTTCTTCGTCCTTTCCTCTCCCAATTTCGAGCCGCCACCGCCGCCTCTTCCACCAGTCAGGAGGTGGTCCCCATATCGGCGTCCTCGGCTGGCATCCACCAATGGCTTCTTCGCTAGCTGATGCTGCGGCAGCGGGGGCCGTCGCCGGCGGAGGCGGAAGGCCGTGGCGGGAGTTGCGGCCGCTCTCTGTGCTCGGTCCGCCTCGCTCGACCAGCAATCGCCGTCGTCACCAAAGTCAGATGCCCTCCGCCATCTCGGGATCTGCCCGACGTCCATGGAATGCGGTCTCCTGCTGTCGCCGGTCGTTTCGTATTGGAGCGGCGTCCTATCTGCAACACTCGGGGAGTTTCAGAGATGATGAGGGAGGAGCCGGAGTGGCGGATGGCCTCCGAGGGAATCTGAGCGCGGGAATCGCCCTTGTTCAGTCGTTGCTTCCAGGGGGCGGTTGGTGGTCGCTCGACAAGATCGTCGGGGAAGGAACGAAGAAGGATGGGGATGGGGGGAAGGACGTATCTGTCCTCTTCGCCCTCGGAAGGATGCGGCAGCTAGTGGCCGGTGACCAGTGGATCATCTACGGTGGCTTTGCCTCTCTCCTACTTGCTTCGGTACAGCCCCTTTCGTTTTCATACGTTCGAAGGTCAGCTTTAAAATGAGATACTCCATCCTTATCACCCAACGGGGTGCCTGTAGTTTCGGGGCGTGCATGTTGTTATATTAGTATTGAAGGTGTAACATCCACTTGGACAAGTTATATAAGGGAGTCAAACGTGGCGGGCCTAAAGCCTAAGTTGAGGATCCACTTGAACAGACCGCAATAGATACATGCCTTGAAAATGCTTGTTAGAAATTTTGACAAGAGGGAAAAGTAATCAATCTGAGACCTAATATTGGAATGCATTAAGGATGGGATACTGTGGAATGTATTGAGCATTGTTCATCGTGGATCACTAGTTCTCTGTTGCTAAACTGGGGACCAAGTTTTGGTATGAGCTGGGTCTTCAGCTCGTGTACACTTTTCTTACATAATATGTCCCATTTGAACTCGCTTGAAACTTGAGTCATGTGAGTTTAAGGTTCTGCCAGAGTGGAGAATTCCAATCGCTTATGACAAGGTGATAAGTGCCCCTTGTTAACACCCCTATTTGATTGCAATCCTGGTCTTGTCAGATGCATGGAGACTCTATCGCCATAAGTAACATTAAATAGTTTGCCTTCTTCACCTTGAACTCACATATACTAAGGATTGTAAAAAGTTTGAGGATGAAATCTTATTGATGATAAAAATTCACAAGCAGCTCCAAAAAAATATAAAAAGCGATACCTTTCAAATCTTTTCCCCAGTAACTTCCCTATCAACAATCAAACAAACCCTTGGACACTAAAGTTGATCAAATATATCATCAGTAGTTGGTTGATGAAGTCTTGATCTTGGGCTACTGATACACCAGTTATGCCAGTTTTGATATTTGACCAAGAAATTTGTGTTGGATTTCCCATTAAATCAGTACTAAGCTTGATCTCCACATAAAAAGCTTACTCAAAAAGGCATTACTAGGCTTCAGATTGGTTCAATCTTGTGCTCATGCAATTGTATATTATCTGCTCCAGGTTCTCTACAAATGATGCCGGAAGAGAAAGTGAGGTTAACTTCCTCATTGTCATCTCAAGTTTAATTTATTTATTAGACTAGCTTAGCTTAACTCCAAAAATGAAAGCTCATGTATGGTGCCACGAAAGAATTGTGGAATTGCTGTCGAAAGAATTCTGTCTGTGGACAGAGATTGTACTCCATTTCTAATGGTGGAATTTTTTTGATTTAAGTCTAACATTTTCATTTTCATCTTTTTTTGACCTGAGCGCTTATGATGACTTTTTGAGTCCAGTGATTTTTAGTGAATTTTCAGTTGGGATGTTAGAGTTGCATGACTTTGATCAATTAGGTTAGGTTTTGAAATTTTCAAGTTTTAACATTCGAACTTTTTTCTATTTAAATGAATTCTAGTTATCCCTAAAAGCGCTGTATTTGAAAATTAAAAGTTTGAATTTCTAACGAAAAATGTCTGAACAGTGTCCACGAGGTTCATTCTACGATTCAGCAGCCCTTCCCAATCTATATCCTGATGTGAATGTATTGTTTCCATTTAGTAATTATTCATTTTGAGGTTTATCGTCTCATTCCTTTGTGGACAAGTAAACCTACCATCCTTCTTCCCCAACTCCATTGGTGATCTTGCTGCTAAAACATCTGTGGAGGCAGATGTTTGGAAACTAAAATGTCATGGATGTACTCTGCCCAGTGCTTAAGGGTTCAAATAGCTATAACTCACAATTTTGTTCACGTGTTTCTTTTTTCTCAAGGAGAGTGGATAGGACTAGTTGAACCTAAAAGGAACAAGAGCCATGACTTGAATTGTATGGTTGAGTTCTATCCTTTTGACCTTTTTCAAGAGGGATGATCGAGGCAATGGGGAGAGGGAGAGAACATCTGAGGAAATATTAACGAGAACAGGAAATACTATTAAATTTTTAGCGAAAGATTGTCGAGCTATTAAAGTAGGAATGAGGGGATAGATGAATTTCTAGCATTTAGAACATTAGAGAGAACTCAAATTCATAACACAGCTCAAGGGTAATGAAAAAAAGTTGCCTACAATATCTTCCAAAACGGTTTACACATACTGCTAATGGAACTCAGGATATCTTCCAAAACGTTGCCTACAATGCTCAACGGTATACCTACGAAAAATTTATCTACCGGAACTCAGGATATTTCATTAGATAAATCTTTTTAATGATTCTTCCTCAACCCACACACTTTACCATGCTTGTCGAATGACTTCATTTGAGCATGCTTATGTTTATTTCCTCTTCTAGATGTGCCCGCTTTAATATCTTGGACAGCATTAACCACTCACGTAGTTTTTTTTTGGAAGTTGTTCAGCCTATATTTTTTGGATATTGTACTGTTTTTTTCATGAAATCCTTCATATGAATGCTATGACCATTTTTAGTTACTTTGTGCTGAGCTCAGGAAGTAAGCCCAATTGGCCTAGTCTTCTATGGGTGTAGTTTTGTTGCCATCTGTCTCATGTGGGACCGGCTCATGCTATTTATTAGAATTTTTTTTTAATAACATAAATCTGAAACTGAACAAAAAAATGATATGAAGTTGTCAGAGGTACTGAAAGAAGGGTTAGGATTGCCTTTGCATTACCCAACCTTTTACTTTTACTTTAACTTGATTTAGTTAGCTTCTGGGATTAAGTCTTGTTTCAATTACATTAAAAGTATATTACCCTCTTAATTTTTCTTTTGCCTCCGTTTCTACGTTAATACTTACTATTACAATATAATCTTCCTTACTAGTTATCATTGCTTTTCTCACTTCATAAACTTGCTTCAGATGTTCTGCAAATATTTCGCCCTAACCTGTTGTTCTTAGCTCTCTAATGGAATCAGATCAAGGTGCCATGGGTTTAGACCATAATCTGTTTCAGATTAAGTTTTTATTAGTTTATTTGATGAATGGCTTGCAGAAATTTGGTTTACAATTTCTAATGTGCTATGCCAATACATGATTACTGATCAAGTATCTTAGCATCCTTCTGAAGCTCAGATTAGTGACAACCCTTTGACTAGTTACGTCTGCCGGAAAACTTCAATTGCATTTCCATCTTCTTAATTAAGACCTACAGAAATGTATCAAAATTTTATCAAAGATAATGGAAGTGAAGAAAACTTGCCAGGATTATGTGTAGCACCGACAGTGTTTAGCACCAACGATTTTATTCTTGTAGCTTTAATGTTCTTGGGTATTCTGAAATATCTGTGTTTTCAGTCTGATGATTGATTGTATTCTTGCAGTTTTCAGATCTTTGCATTCCACATTTCTTGACAGCATCAATATTTTCCGCTCAGAGTGGTGAAGCCATGTTGTTCTACAGAAATACAAAGATTTTGCTTTTGCTGTGTTTGAGTTCTGGTATATTCAGGTTCACATCTTATGGAAGAACATTATGTCACCAATGAGTGTCTCATTTCAATTATTTGATTGTTCATTTGTTGGGTTGTCCTTTAAGTGTATATTTGTCATCCTACGCACATGCATTGTTGATAAGTATTTTGATTTAAGTGTTTAGATAAAATTTTTCATTTCATGTATTAGTCCATTTTCCTCTGATCAATTTGCCTTTAAGTTATGTTACATAACTTGATAGATCTCTCTTTCGCCTTCTTGAGGATATCATCTTATAAGGAAGTTTTTCGTCATTAATTTAATGTGGGATGGGGTTGTTAGAAACTTAGTGCCAAGATATTTGATCAGGCAGCTACCACCAAGATATTGGACCAACTATCAAGCTCTTGCTACTAGTGGAGAAAGGCCTTCCCGTTATGGTAAATACCAGATAGGTAGCCCAATTGGTAGTGGCTGGCAAAACATGACTACGAAAAAGTCAAGTACGGAGAAACAAGGGAAAGTGGCAATCTATGAATTGATTGGCTTCTAAGTCCTGAGGAGGAGGGGGCTTATGGAAGATTGTAAACGGTTGTACCACTGAACAACTGGACATGAGAGCATCAAAGGTCGAAATATGCTGTTGATAGTTTACATGATTGATTCGAACCCACGATGGAGTGGATGCACAAGAGATGAAGGAAACAAAAGAACAAGCATTTGATAACTACTTTTCACCATAGGAGTACAATCCTCAAGTATTTGAAAAATATACTATTAAAACACTTCGTTCTGGATAGATGGACGCAACAAGAGAGTGAATGCAACACTCTGTTCCCTGTGTGAGAATTTAGATATCTTCCCTTGTGAATACAAAAAATACATCTATAAATAAAGGAGCATTCGCAGGACCTACTATTACCCCAGGAACATAAAAGGGTTGGCCCTTGAAGGAGGGAAAGGAAACAGTGGAGATCTGTATGCATATCTCAATTAATCCCCTGGTTTTCTCTGACAGCTTTCTATGTTTTGATTCCTGCTGATACAAAGGGTCTGTCACAAGGAGCCGCCTTCATCCTGAATTAAACTCCTCTCATGAAAAATTACATAATTTTTCCTGCTTAACAATGTGCCCTTTTCCTGCAAATTCAATACCGATTTCACATTACTAACATTTGGTTTGCCTCCAACACTCTTTCTTCATATATTAATTCTTTATTTGATCACACAAATTCTTTCCAGCCCTGAAATTTGGTAACCATTTTTTCATGGACCTATGTGAAATCCCTTTTAGGGAACTCATGCTTTCTGTGACTCTTTTTATCATATCTTATTTAAGTTTCGTTCGAGCACTGCATCACGAACGCAGAAACCCTAGGTCGCGAATAAAGGGTGAAAATTAACACGCTCGAGTTGATTATAGTTTGGGTCTGGTATTTATAACAGACCGGCAGTACAGGGGTTGAACCGGACTGGACTGGGCCAGTTAGACACTAAAAAATAAAGAAAAAATACAACAAAGAAAAGAAAAATCGCAACTTATTCCGACAGTTTCGTACTCGTGGTCAAGATAAACTTTGCCTTCGACTGGACACATGGCTAGTCTTCATGTATCACGGAATTTGAAAAATAAACTTGTTGGATTGATTAGATGTACCTTCTTTGGAGGAGAAACAATATGAGTTTCTATTTTAGGAGTGAAAAATCGGGCAATATTCTCAACAGGAAAGTAACTCTTCAAGAATAAGGTTGATTTCTGATAGTTGGTAAAAAAAGAATTGAGTGTGTTTACAGTTGTATGTGTTGTTATTGTTAATTTTATAATGTTTTGATGTCATCAGACGATGACTTAAATTATCAGGCTGAAAACCTGACCAGTAGTTGTCTTCAGCTTTCATTGACTGGATTAAGAAAGGTTCTCAATGAAATTATCACTGTGTTTGATTTAAAATAATGTAATTAATTAGATGTTGGCATACTGTTAATTAGAGTTCAAATTTTCTGTTTCACGCTTTTAAATCCCAAAAACGTAATTTTTTTTTTGTCATCATTTGCATTTCTGGGGGGAATATCTCGTCTTATGTTGTCATGTCCAATTTTTTCTGTACTAATTATGCTAAGAGTTTGATTTTTGATTTCTCATTTCATGTGAAATGTAGTGGTTTACGAGGTTGCTTTTTCAGCATCGGAAATATGATCCTGGTACAATAATGGACCTCTATAGCCACATTGTTCTAGGTCTATTTATTTTTGCTAGATGTTTTTGGCTCCAATCTTGGTAAGATATTTTTCCATGTTCTGACATTCCTTTGCCTTTACAGGTCAAACGAATGAGAGAAATGGTGTATTCTACACTCATACTCCAGGTTAATGGAATTAATCAAGTTCGAGAAGTTACTTCTGTTTCATATAATTAATTTATCACAGGCTATGTTTTGACCTAGGGTAACTGTACACCATCATAGTCTATCTTTCGATATGACATATTGTTGGAATCAGTGAGAAATTGCATTTTGCATTGTGTAGGATATATCCTTTTTTGACAAGAAAACGGTTGGAAATTTGACAAGTAGACTTGGGGCAGATTGTCAGCAAGTATCCCAAGTCATTGGAAATGATCTCAATTTGATATCTCGTAATATCCTTCAGGTGATATTCTGCAAATGCAAGTCATCATCTTCCATATATCTACTAGACTAGTATTTGGAAAGTAAAATTAATTTTCTTCACCACTTTTCAGGGGGCTGGTACAATGGGATATTTATTTGTCCTATCTTGGCAACTTGCTCTGACGACATTGGGTATCTGCTTCATCTTGGCAACTGTAATGACCTTCCATGGCCGGTGAGATAATTTTCATCATATATTTTGTGTAAAATTCTAATGTTTTCTCGTTTGTTGTTCCATTTAGAAGTCTCTTTTAAGGTGACTGTGTTTTTGGTTTGGTTTTGCTGTTTGTGAGTGTTTCATTGATTTGCACATCTTTTGAGATGTTCGTGGGAATTTCATTTATTAACCTCGTTGAGAGACATTCTATTACACTGTTGGAATTTGTATCATTCTGATTGATCATACTTAGTGCTAATTATATTATTCTACAATTGATCGTCAATGTTGCCTTAGAAAAATGAAACAATGGATGCAACTATCATGCCATGTGATCCCTTTCATCGGCATCCTTTGTGTTGCAACAGTCATGTACATGATGATGTTGCTTGTCTAGGACCTATGGGACGAATTTGGGGACTCCATTTTCCATGAGATGGGAAATCGGTAGAAGCTCTCACGCAGAGCTTGTTGCTTAGTTTTGGCTCTTTCTGCACTTCAAGGCCATCAAGATCAGCATTTGTATGCCTTGTTGGTGTTTCTTTCATCTTCTTCTCAGGACCAAAGGTTATAGAGCTCTTTTGGATGAGTCCTATGTAGTTTAGGCCCACATGTGGCGTAGTCAAGGAGGAAAACTCGTCTGATGGTAAATTTTTCTTGCCCTGACCCTATCCCTTCTTATGCTGCTTGAATGCTTAACCCTGAGAAATGTCTGGAGATCCACGTGTTAATGAGCGTCCTTCAAAACTCCACAGCTGCCTCATCTCGAAGTAGAGGCAAAGAGTTCAATGCTGTTGTTGATGGTTTCTTCATAGTGATGTTGTTGCTCAGGTTCCGTTCTATTAGTACCATAAGGAAGAAGTTAAAAGGTGGGATTGTAGAAGCCACCTGGCATTTTAGTTTCATTGTACATGCCATTTGTTGAGTGCCAATAGATTGCACCAAATGGACGCCAATGGATTGCGTTTTTCATCTTTTAGCCTTTAGCTGTTAATAATATGAATGACGCGCACAGAGAATTGGAAGAGCTAATATCATCTTAAATGAGAGCAGCTAAGTAAAAATGTCAACGTCTCACATCAACAAAAGAAAATATGGCATAAAGCCTTCCATGGTGGCAATGGCTCTATTCTTCTGTACGTTGTATGTCAATTTGGTAACAATGGCTCAGTTCTCCTGCACATTTTATCTTAGCAGATATCTAACAAGAGAGAAGCAGTAAACTTTTGCTCTCGTTTTCATTTTGGATGGAGGTGTATGCTGCAAAAGTATTCATTGCTCTACATCTGAAGTTTAACTTCTCCTACTCTGCTTAATAGGTACCAAAAGAAGGCAGCAAAATCAATTCAAGACATAACAGCAAATGCTAATGATGTAAGTAATGGCTATTTTTTACTTGAAATTTTCTATTGAGATGCTTTACATTTAATGGATAAAATCCTTATTTCTAATGCATAAGGTTGCTCAAGATGTGTTCACTTTGATAAGGACAGTTCGGGTTTTTGGAACAGAGAAGCAAGAATATGAAAGGTGCTATCAGTTGTTATCCTCTCTTTATCATGCTTACTATTCATCTGTTATGACTAACTGTTCATGCTTTCATGGTTACAGATACCTAAAATGTCTGAAAAAGTTGGCTGATATAGGTTTGCGACAAAGTATTGTTTACGGATTGTGGAATTCGAGCTTCAGCATCTTTTATCATTTTGCCCAGGTTTGTTTCAATGACCAAGGTTTCATGTCTTGATTTTGTCTGCATCGTTATGGCACCTGTATATAGCGTGATACAATGTTTTAAAGACAAGTGGGTATAATATCACTGATCACATGCTGTTGAAAATGCGTCTAGTCTTTTCATTGATTTTTACAGTGTCTCTGATATTATTAAGCTTCTCGTGGTGTATTTATGTTTTGGTTGTTAGGTGCATGTGGTAGCCAGCACTTTTTTATTTTGTGTCGTGCAGCCAACTATTCGCCAATGTATATTGACTATTACTGAAGATTGTCTATCAACTGTACATTGACCTTGGGGACGTAGATGTTATATCTTAGTCTCCCTTGGTTTTTTCTGGAGTTGTTCTTATGAGATGGTTTTTACTAATCATAAGTTATGTTTCTTTGTGAGACGTTTAGAAGAGTTTCCATTATTTAGTAGACTGCAAGGGAAAGGGATATGCGATAACTATGGTATACTTACTGACCTATAGAATTTTTTGAGAAGAAAAGGATGTGATGATTCTTTCCTTAATGTGAAAGGAACTTGGTGTCCCCAACAACGTTGATCTAAAACTTCGCAGGGTAAAAATGCCCTATTAGGTCAGAGATATGTTTCCGTCTAGTTCTAAGTTATGCTTTATCTAGGTAGATCTGTTAATGAGACAAAATCTTCACTTGTAAACCTTGAGAATTTCGGGCGCCTATTTAAGGGACAGGACTGTGCAAAGACTTCTCTTCTTCAACTTTCTTTTACGCCAATTTTTTTTAATTGCCTTGGATGATTATTATTTGGATCATGTACCTTTTTTTGAAGGTGAGAATGCCTTGCTATGCCTATTTTCTTCTTGCACATTTTTAATGATTTAGTTCCCTAATTAAATTGTTTCTGTTATTCTCTGATTAGTCTTTAATGGATGGTACGAATTTTACAGGCGATAGCTGTGCTAGTTGGTGGAGCATCTATTATGGCTGGGCATTTTTCAGCAGAGCAACTTACTAAATTTATTTTATACTCCGAATGGTCAATTTTTGCAACATGGCGGATGGCAGATAACTGGTCATCTCTAATGCAGTCAGTTGGGGCAAGTCAAGAAGTCTTCAAGCTAATGGATCTCCGGCCTGCCAAAGAATTTCTAAAGGGAGGTTAGTATGTCGAACAATTTCCTTTGATTCGAAAGTACTTGCACCCTTTTAATATTCTGACAGTGTTTTGTTGTCTGGAGTTTCTGTGGTCCTACTGTAGCCATGCCATATATCGTTAGTTCTAGGTCCTTAGGTTTGAATATTAGACATCATTAACCTCGATAACCGAGTCTTGAAGATGCTTTATCTTGATTTTTGCATTGGTATTTGGCAGTTTTGCTTTACATCTCTACTATCCCTACTCATCTTCAACAATCTGTACTACTATTGCCTTCTGAGAACCAAGTTGAACTGCATGACATGACTCACGTTGCTTTTAACTTGACCAGGTATAGTATTTTCTTCACAAAGTTAACAATCTTGCTTATAGAAACAGTCAGTGGGTCAGCCACCAATAGCCAAGGTCCTCAGCTAGGGATGACACTGGTATACTTTAAAGAAAGAACTTGTAGAGTCTGTCATTGCATGTGATGAACCAAAGTTTGTCGTCACAGTATCTCGACCCGTTCCTTGTTTTTATTGCATGCCATGCTTAAGCTTTTTCTCTTTCCATTAGCTTCATAATGGACAAAGTTTCTGATCATTCCTCTCAAATACTTCATCCAGTGAGTCAGGACCAAACCACTAGCTGGAATCATCAAGTAGTTTTGGAACCTCACGTGGAGATGTAGTATCTACCGGTTTGGGATTCCGTGACAGTGGCTGACAAGTTTACCTTGCATTATTGAAAGAAAATTGGTTGGATTTTGGCATTGACCACCTTCACGCGAGGTATACCCATAGACCAATGTGTATGGAGAGGCAATACTTAGACGACCTTCCAGAACCTCAAAACCCAATCGGACTAGGCTCAAAGGAGGTGGGTTGATGAACTCTCAGGTGTTTGTGGACATCAGATGAACAAATATGTCTGCAATTGTTGAACGTGTGGTTCAATCTCTCCTTCAGTCTGGAAGCTGTTATTTTATCATCCATTACTATTTTGACGTATCATGTTCTTGGATAGGGGAGAGAACTCAAAGCAACTTTTTGCCAACACATAGCCTATGGAATGAGGTTAGAGATATCTTATGGTGCTGCCATGACTAATGAAGTTATTGACTAACATCCTTTACCTTAATGCTTGCGACTTGCGGCCTGAGCTAACCAAGATCATAAATAAGAATTCCAATGAGCTGTCTGTCAATCGAAAACTCATGGATGAAGTGAATTTACTGTGGTTGGCCAAAACTACAACAGCTTAGCTCTCCATCATGTTTTAAATCATACCAGCTTTTATTGAGCTTGCAGACAAAATTTTCCTTCTATTGAACTGAAAAACTTCCTGCTTGTATCTCACAAATTCCCTTTTGTAATATATCAAACTTACCTCATTAGAAATATTCATATGCTTTTTGTTCGTTCGTGTGACCAAACATATGGCCTAGTTTTGGATGGAACAGGCTTTCTATCAAGTATTCTTTGTGCCCTCATTAATTCACTCTCAACTGCCCGTTCACTTCTCCCTACTGTTGGCTTTATGGAATATCTAGTTCCACTCTAACTCGTGCGTTGTATGGTCGCTGTGGAGCTAGATTACTTCCTGTTCAACAGTTCTATCTTTACTGTTAGTTAGTTGGCAGAAGATTGTGGTATTAGTGACTTTGTTGTCAGGCCAGGTTGTCCAGGGATCCTTGTATTTAAGGGGTGACTCATCTCTAGTAATTGTAGCCTCTTCATGGCTGAGGATTACTTCTGGCATAGACTTAAGAAAATACAAATAATGTTCAAAATCCTTATGTTCTTGTGTATGTTTCTCTTCTCTTCCTCCTTTGTGTTGATATTTTTCTTTTAATTGTTTCTCACGGGTCATCAAAGGGTCTCACCTTGCTTCATAGTCTTCAATCATCTTCCTCAGGGGTCATGGTAGCTTAACAAGGCTACTCTTGCAGAAGTTGTACTCAACCTGCATAATTCAGGTTCCCTACATTCAGGCTTGTGATTACTGCACAAGACTGCATTGTCTTTGTGTGGTTTGAAAGTACCAAGTGCTACATTTTCACTTTCATTGTTAATTTTTTTCGTTAAACTAGAGACCATTTTTGTAACGGTTTGAATTAAGCGTACTGGAAATATGGTATGTGCAGTCTGTTTATAGCAATACTTGTCATGTGTATAATCAGCATTCTGTATAACATCAGTCGCACTTCACTGTATATGCAAATAATGCTCAATGCAAAAGTTAATCCCTAACGAGGTACACTTTATTGGCAATCTTTCTATTGTGTATGGTTCAATGTTTCACATTCTTCATTGTTATTTTCTTCATTAGTTCTGCTGATTCAGTTGTATGCAATGGCAAACATTTTAAATAAGTTCTCTTTCTATCTTTTAGGTGAGAAATTGCAAAATTTGACTGGTTGTGTTGAGTTTGCTAACGTCTCATTCCATTACCCGTCAAGGAAAACTGTAAGTTTATTTTCAGTAGTTTATATTCTTCAATGTCTTTGTTAGTTAGATTGGTTGTTTCTAAAAGGTAGATACAAATGTTAGATGAGATGGAAAAAGGCAAGGAAAATGTTGTATTCTTTGAGAATCGGCGATTGGTGGAAAGGAATACTATGTTGCCTTCACATTTTGTGGCAATGCCTCTGGTACTGCTTAGTGGGAAGGTGTAGGGTAGGGTTGAACAATGTTTCCAGAGTTAGATTTGATTTTTAGGGTCTTATATTTTATTTTAGAATCAACTTTGAAATACTCTAGCAATTGCAGCAGAAAGTAGAAAAAATGTGCTGCTTTATTTTTCTTATGTAGTTTGACTAGATCCTCTAGTTTGTGCAGCCAATTGTATAGAAGGCAATGCTACTTTAAAATATATCTTTAATTCTTATTCCATAAATGCGTCCGTGTTGAAAATATATTTTTTTCATCTCGTGACCTTTTTCTTTCGAAATTTTATCCCTAATTATTTAGGTTGAAAGTGAGCTATTTGTAAAATGACCAATTGGATTTAAGGGTGTGAATGAGTCAACTGCAGCACTTGGCTCAGCTTTGTTTCGTTTGATTTTCCCGGGATTGGGGATTAGAATGAAGATTGAAAAGAAAATATGGAATGCTCCCTCTCTCTCTCCCATATGCTGGATTCAAGCTTCAAACTTATTTTTCTTGCTGCATGACTAATTTACATTAGTCCCTGCGGTAGCTCGTAAAGGAATTGGGTCGACTAGTAATTTTATGCATAAATACGGGCCATTTATTCAAAAATACCTCTTTAATGAAACCAGAGATGGTGGTTGGTCATCCGGTTGGATGGGTCCATTTTTTTAACTTATTCTGTTAGCGACGTTCCATTGTTATTCATCTCTCTTTGATTTAAATAATTGTTTTGTTGCTATGTTTTTTTTCTACCATGAATTGTGGAGTGTCACATTTGTGCAGATACCGGTTCTGGAAAATATAAATTTGGCTATACGTCCAAATGAAGTTGTTGCGATTGTATGTACAATTTTCATTTTCTTTGTTTTGGTTTATTACATAAAAAGTTAATTTTCTTAACTATAGCGAAAAATAATCATTTCAACCACTTTTCAGGTTGGCCTTAGTGGCAGTGGAAAAAGCACAATTGTAAATCTTCTTTTAAATCTCTATGAGCCGACAAGTGGTCAGGTGAATTTTTATGTTTATGTCAACATATTACAATGAAAAAATTCTAGAAGATAAAAAATTGCTAGCAATTAGAAACTATCTTGTCAAGAATTCTGGCGATTTTGCCTTGCAAAGTGAATTATCTTCCTGGATTAATTTATGCTGTCAGGTGTTAGCTTATTGAACAAAGTTTAGCATACATGTATATTGTTGTGATGGCATAAGGGTAACCCTTCAACGCAGAAGTTTGTGAAGCCCTTTGAAAATTATAAGAAATCAGAACTGTGGTATTTAGAATAGTGATATTTTTTGCTGATCATCTGAAAAGTCTTAAAAATCATGCCCTTTTAAGATTATAAGAAGTCAGAACAGTGGTCATTACAATTACAGTATTCCTGGCGGGTTATCTGAAAAGACCTATAAAACATAGTTTTTTTATTATCTTAAGAAAGTAAATGAACGAGAAGGTGAATTTGTACTCCATTGCGTTTATGTTGTTTGGAGGAAACATTTCTGTCTTTTGAAGTTGAATCTAATGATAATGTTGAAATCCCTCATTTATACCTACAAATGAACAAATTCTGGAAATGTTCAAATGTTTTGCCTAATTTTCAATAAAATTACACAATTCTCTTGTTATCTGTGATTTCAAGAGTTTGCAATTTGTTCGAAACTTATGTTGTCAGTAGATGCACAGGCCTCTGATCTCTGCCATGCTGCTCCAGTCTGTCCTCTCTCGTAGTGACGGCAGCAAGCACACCAAGGATATAGGAGAGGAAGAAGAAAGGCCGAAGCCCTAGATTTCAATTCAAGTTAAGTTCGAAGGTTTACACATTGGTTGGTATTTATACGAACCAACTATCATAAAACAAGAGAGGGAGAACCAAACCGGTTCAGTCTATGACCATATTAAGAGATATAATGAATAGAAAAATTAAAAGATTAGAAACACAAAAAAAAGATTATTCACTTATTTCTAACACTCCCTCTCAAGTTGGTGAATGTATGTTGTCCATTTACAACTGATAGACGAGATGATTGAAGATGCTGATGTGTAGTCTTTTTGTGAATATATTTATAATTTGATCAGTTGTAGGTACATATGGAGTACAGATCAGCCCCCTATCTAATTTTTCTTTTATGAAGTGACAATCAATCTCTGCATTTAGTTCTGACATGTTGAATAAGATTGTGAGCAATACTGATGGCCGATTTATTATCACAATAAAGCTTTATTAGACCATTTATCTTGATCTTCAAATCTTTCAAATACCTTGTGGCATAGCTCGAAATTCAGCTTCTGCACTTGATCTAGCTATAACACTTTATTTCTTACTCCAAGTAATAAGATTTCCTACAAGAAATGCACAATATGTAAGCTATAGCACTTTATTTCTTACTCCAAGTAATAAGATTTCCTACAAGAAATGCACAATATCTAGATGTTGACCACCAATCTACAATAGATCCAGCATAATTTACATCTGTGTATACTTAAGGTGTTAAATGATCAAGATTCTTGAACAAAATTCCTTTCCTTGATGTTCCTTTTAGATAGTGTAGAACATGATATATTGCCTGCAAATGTATTTACTTTGGACTGTGCATGAATTGGCTAATTACATTGACTATATAAACTATGCCTGGTCATGTATGTGATAAATAGATCAATTTACCTACCAATAGTTGATACATCTCTTTATCCATAGTAATGTCTTCCTCAGCTGTACTTCGCTTGAGATTAAGATCAATTGGAGAGTTAACTGGTTTGCAAGTTGTTTTACCAATTTCTTACAGCAAATCCCATTACATAATTTTGTTGAGATAAGAAAATATAATTCTTGGAGTAAGCAACTTCAATACCTAGAAAGTATTTTAATCTTCTTAGGATTTTCATTTCAAATTCGTAGGATAAACATTGATTGAGGAGTTTCTTTTTCCAATCACTATTATATCATCAATGTATACTATTAGGATCGTTACTTCCTCTAAAGGTGAATGTTTGATATATAATGTCTGGTCACCTAGACTTTATTTATATTCCATCTTGTGCATAACCTTCATAACTTTATCAGACCAAGCTTGAGGAGATTGTTTAAGCCCACGCAATGGTTCCTTCAATCTACACACTATAGTAGCATCTAAGTTCTTCTCATATCTATGTAGTACCTCCATATAGATTTCCTCTTCTAACTGTCCATGTAAAAATATATTTTTAATATCAAATTACTGAAGATTCTAATCAAAGATAGTTTCTAATGACAAAATTATCCTGATTATATTTATTTTTGCCACTAGTGCAAAAGTTTCAACGTAAATGATTCCATAAATTTGTGTGTACCCTTTTAGCAACCAATTAGGCTCTGTATCTTTCTATGGATGCATCTACACAATACTTAATTGTATATACCCATTTTCAGCCAACAACTTTCTTCCCTATCAGGAGATACACAAGTTCTTGAGTATTATTTTTCTCTAAAGCCTTCATCTCTTCATTTCATAGCTTGTCTCCACTTCTCATGAGTAAAAGCCTCAAAATAGTCTTTGGAGGTAGAATTTAGGTTAGATACAAAGGTGTTATGTGAAGGTGATAATCTAGCATAGGATACAAAAAGTGCAATAAGATATCAAGGTTTTGAGTACATTTTCTTACCCCTCTTCAAAGGGCAATAGGCAAGTTTTCATCAATAGGTAAGGTGGTGGTGTGAGATGTCTCATTTGACTCATCTTAAGACGACTCTTGAACATGTATAGATTCTAGAGCATTTCCCTTTTTTCTAGAATATACTTGGCAAAATCTTCCTCTTTTGGGTTCTTTATTGAGAATAGATTCAAGAATAGTGGTTCGATGGGAACAATGGTGGAGTCTGGTAATAAATTCGAGGTGGGAAGTAAAAAAATTAATTTCAGATCCTCAAACGTTTGAATCTTCTCATGATGATTCAATGTATTATAGTATGCTTCTTTCTCATTGAAGGTAACATCTCTTGAAACTTATTTTTTTTGTTAGAATATCCTACAAAAATACATTTTAGAGCTCTAAGATCTAATTTATCTCTACGTTGTTCATAAATATGAACAAAGTATGTACACCCAAATGCTTTTGGTATAAAGTTTGTTTTTAATAGAATGTGAGGATAGAAGAAAGGTAACTTGCCAATTAGACTTTTAAGATTTAATGATTTAGTTGTTAATTGATTTATAAGGTGGGCAGCCATAAGAACCTCACCTCAAAAATATTTCAGTACATTATTTTGAATAAGGAATGCTTTAGTCATCCTTAACAGATGACTATTTTTTCGTTCAGCCATCCCATTCTTTTGGGGTGTATAAACACATGATGACTCATGTAGTAGACCTTCCTTCTGGAAATAAGAAGTTAAGGTTTGATTGAAGTAGTGTTATTGGATCGAAATCTCTTAACTATTGTCTCAATATATGTTTTTACTAGAGAACAGAATTGTATGAGTGCCATACTAATGTTGGATTTATTTTTAGGCTAATAAATGAACGTCATTCTTGTATAGTTATTAATAAAAGTGATAAACCACCTAGCTCCACTAGTGTTAGCTGTGAGTGCAAGCCCTCATACATCACCCATGAAAAAAGGGTATTAAACATTTCATATTGTTTTAAGGAGAAATAGTTTTCTAATGTCTTATGAACTCACATACTTCACACTTGAATTCATATACATCCAAGTTGTGAAACAAAGATGGAAACAAGTTTTTTAAAAGGGGTGCACCAATCTTCGATGCTGAAGCCAAATTTTGTCCATTTTCGATAGATTAGGATCCTTGAGAATGTTGTTTTGATCTACTGCTATGTTTGACTAACTTGGAAGTTCTAGATAATAGAACCCACTCCATTCTCTAGCATATCCAATCGTCCTCCTAGACATCTTGTCAAAAAATAGATAACTGTTAGGGTCAAAGTCAACATTACCTAGGTCTCATTTGAGTTTGCTAACAGATATGAAGTTGGTGGTTAGCATAGTGATATAAAATACATTTTCAAAATAATGCATGGTGATAGGTAGATGTTTCTTGTTCCGAAAATCGTGACCAAGGAACCAATGACTGTGGTAATTTTCTTATTGGTTGGAGTAAGGGCATAAGAGTTGAATAGATGAGAAGCATAGGTTATATGTTCTGTGGTACTTAAATCGAAGATCCAAAGTGAGGGTTTACTATTTATTGAGGCACTCAACCCAATGAAAGTTGGAAACTTACTTGAACAAGCAAGTGAGCACAAGGCTTGTGTACCTAGAATTGTGGAGGTTCTTATATAATAGCTTGTCCTTGATCTAAAGTATTAACTTCTTGTTGTGCAACAGTGATGTGTGCTTGATCTCCAATCTTATGCTGTCCTTTTTCTGTCCCCATTTGTGATTTTGAGATATCCCATGTAATATATAACATTTTTCAATTGTGTTCCTTAATTTACACCACAAAGTATCTCTAAAATTATTACTAGGAGTCCTCTCTTGTCTTGAAGGTTGACCTCTAGTTTTAGTATTGTTGTTGTCATAATTCTTGTCATTTTTAGCCACAAATGCTGAATTGTCCACATTTTAGGAACCTAGGATTAGATTCCGACGACTTTTTTCCTCCCTATCCAGGGAGATTACTTCATTTAGAAGAGGTAGATTCTCTCTTCCTAAGATTTGAATTCTGACTTGATTATACTCAGAATTCAGTCCTACGAGGTATTCATATGTTTTATCTCTTTCTGTTTCCTCTCTATACAAAGCTGCATCAAATGGATCATTCATATCAGTAATTTTATATTGATCAAATTTCTGTCAGAGTGTTCTCACTTCATGAGTATATTATGTGATTAATTTCCTTCTCCTCATAGTCATCATCTTAACTTTAATTCATAAAGCTGTGTAGCATCTCTTTCATGAGAAGTTTACCATAGGGAAATATGGTACCCGGATTGTAGCATAGCCACTGTGTAGGGAGGGGACGATGCTTGATTTTTCACAGAAAACGAGAAAAGAGAATTGCTTAATCTGGTCTGTGTTTTATGTTTTTCTGTCTTTGTTCACTGGAAATGTCTCATGGATATGAGGAAATAACTCTCTGTAGATCGTATAAAATTATCAATTATACTTTAAAGTTGCATGCTTATCAATTCTACATTCAAATTTTAAAGTTGCAACATGATATCCCAATTCTCTGGAATTTGTGGTTTTGAAATTTTCCACTGCCACGTGTACTTATGTTCATTTGAACCATCACTTCGCATCTCTGCGAATCAAAAATTCATGCTGTTTACATGTTCTCAATGTGTCACCTACTTGCAGATATTAATTGATGGATTCCCTATGAATGATCTGGATAAAAAATGGCTGAGAGAAAGAATTGGATATGTGGGTCAGGTAGATATGGATTCCCCATCCTCACATGTACTTGCTCTGTGTTTGTCATGCATTCTCAATCCTTGTCTGTTTTGTCTTATGCAGGAACCTCGCCTTTTTCGAACAGATGTTCACTCGAACATAAGTTATGGTTGCACGAGAAAAATTACTCATGAAGATGTGGAATTGGCTGCTAAACAGGCATTTGCCCATGGGTTTATATCATCTCTTCCCAATGGGTATGAGACACTTGTGGGTGATGGTCTGCTTAGTGGGGGTCAAAAGCAGCGGATAGCTATTGCAAGGGCGATTCTTAGAGACCCGGACATTCTGATTCTTGATGAAGCTACCAGTGCACTTGATGCGGAGAGTGAACATTATGTAAAGGTAGTTTCTCTGGAATGGCTCTCCTGCCCCAGTAAAGATACGAAGAAAAATTATTTCCATGTAAAAAGTTTGCACCTAAATGTGAGAAAAGATATCCAAATTAATCTTTTTTGGTTGTGGAATTACACAGGAACTTCTTCATGAATTTCGAATCAGCTCCAAGAAAAAGAGAACAGTCATTGTTATTGCACATAGGTGAAAATGCCATCCGTTTTTCCTTTCCTTGTACTTTATTCTCCTGATTGTGGTTGATATACATTTGATTGTGATGGTGTTGGACTTCCTTCACTTTATATATTGAGGAATGAGAAGAGAAAGCCTCGCACTGCGGGAACTTCTTTGCTGGATTATTCAGATTGAGCTGGTGATGATGTTAATTGCGTGCTCTGTATTGTCCCTGTTTTTGAGAGTTTCTTTAAGAAAAAATAGTCCATAATGTAAGAAGATTTTTGGATGTAGAGGAAGAGATAGAAGAATGATGGAGATAAGCTTTGACATAATTTGGTCCTAGGAAAAACGGCTGTTTAAACCTGAAAAGCTCTCTTGGTCTACTCAAGAATCATATACCGATGCAATTATAGCTGCAACTTAACCATGCAGAGTAGTGTTAGTTGTCTTGAATTGTTCACAAACGGTAATCCTTTAAACTTGTAACAAGATATTTGCGCTTATAGTAGTGTGTATTGGCGACCATCATTATGCAGTAAATCCAATATCTGTTATTATTTGAAGCGGGGCAATATATGTAACTGCATAAGTTTGATTTTATATTTTGTATGTCTTATGTTTATTTTCCGATCGCTAATCTGCATGCATTCCCACGTATGTATCTTCTAATATCATCGTGCTCCACCATATGCAATTTCTCTCTATTTTTCCATTATTTAATTTTTTTTACAAAATTGATTTTTTTGCATCATAAATTTCATCTGAATTCTCTAGATCTTAAGATCCATTGTTTCAATGAGACAAAGTTCATTTTTATTTACGTGAAAATTATCTCAGCCATATAACTGAGTGAATATCATCAAATTAATGCTAGAAAATCAATCAAAATACTAATCATTGGCTGTTTTTCAGAAAACATTGGGCTCAGTTAAGCATTCTCCTTTTCTTGGATTGGTCAAAACACCATTTTTAGCTTTTTCACACTCCCTAACCCGGATCAGCTATATTGATATGGATTTTCTATTTTAACTTTTCTTAAAATCTTAACCCATAATCCCTTATCACGCAATGACTCTCATACTGGCTTCTTCTCACATACTCTCCTCCACCCTCTCTGCTGTGTCCGTAGAAGTAAGTCACAGCAAGGTATTCCCTTCTAATAGTTAATTTTTTTTTTGTTAGGTTATCAACAATACAATCTGCGGACAGAATAGTAGTCATGGATGCTGGCGAAATTGTTGAGGTAGTTATCATTGCATATAAAATCGATCATTTTATCAAATATTTCATGAGAGCCCAAAACGGGATCTACTCTCCTCATGCAGGTGGGAAATCACAGGCAGCTTCTATCAATTAACGGTAGATATGCTCAATTAACCAAACGGCAGTCAGATACGATTGACTAAAGTCTTCAATCACAGGTGGTTGGCTGACACATTGAACATCTGCATCTCACACGATTTTCTCACCTGACTGGCGTTTCTCATGTATTAGAATGGAGTTTTTTTTTTCTCCTATAGAGGAATACAAAAGTTGCTGAGTATATCTTCTATTGGCGAGAAATCAGTCGAGCTTGGGTTTTTCTGATAACAAGTTGCTGAGTATACACGCTGTATATACAGTTCCTTGTAACCAGTAATTGCTGCTGAATTTGATGATCCAAAATTTTATTCCTCGGACCAAAGTTGGTCTTATTTTAAGCAATGATTGCCTTCTTAAGTAAGAAAGGATCTGGTTTGGATCTGTACGGATGGGCACATGAATTTAGGCCATTACTTGAACACAATGATTCATTTGACTACTATATATTCTGCTTTACAATTCAGCTCTAGAATTTTGTGCCACTCACGATCTTACTAGATTTTCTCTTTTCCCAATGAATCAGAAGCTTTGCGTCAACGCCAATTGCCAATGCACATGCTTTTATCGTCACATTCTTCCAACTTATATATATGCATGGTAATTAATTTCTTTTAGCTTGGCAGCTGCAAAATATCTTTTAATAGTATGTATAATTTTTGGTGATTCTTGCATGCAAATATAGCGTTGTGGGACTAGATCATCAATTTAATGGCCATAATCTTCTCGACTGAAGTACTAATTTTTTACTTGTAATATTTGCCTGGTCACTCTCCTGCTGGATTTCTTCATGAAATCCAAGAGGGGTCCACTCCTTTTGGGGGGGGGGCGGGGGGGGCGCTTATGGCCAAATAGAGCTTCCTTGTAGCAATGGAGAGGACAAATGGCAGATATGGCTCTTCTCATGATCCTCATGTTGCAGTTTATAACCTATCCGGTGTTTCATACTTGACAGACAGGAAAACAATCTACCTTGCATCTCCAGCCCAACAGCTCCACGAGCCAGGAGCTTCATGTAATAGTGAAAATGTTATACATACCAAATAGATGAACCCATTATTAAGAATTTTGTTTCAGTTTCGAACATATGGGCTGCTTCATTGAATGCACTAACGATATATTCTTGACAACCTCATTTCCTTGCAGCTTGAGGAAAGGGGCAGATGGGAACCTTCCTACTTTTTGAGTGAGATCTTAATTCCCTTTCTTTGGTAAGTGCTCTTTGGTGCTCTTAGTGATATCCTTTGATGTTCATCATAGCCGAAGTTGGCTCTTCTTTATCAACATCTTAAGAAATCGTAAGAAATGGTTAAAACAGGCTTCTGGACTTCACCTTTTCAAGCTCGATCCCGCATAGATAATCACTGTGCCAGGCATTCTTTCTTTCTTGGGACCTGATCTTCGGCCCAAATCAAGAAAGCCTAGGTTGGGTTGGGCCGTTGTCTGGGCGTAGCCTACTCATGAACATTCTGGGTTCTATTTGATGATCTTGTGAATTCTTAGGTAGCCCATTTCTGGAATGTTTCCTTGATCATCAGATTGACTGTCTAATTTGAAGGCTTGACGACTAGACATGTGCTATTTATTATTAGATAGATTATAATGATTAATTTAATCGAGTAGATTCAATTTACTTTTCGAATTCATGAAGTAACAAAGTAGTATATGTATACAGAAAGATAAAAGAGTTAGAAAATCTACACACAATGACAGAGTATGTATCTTAAGAGTGCAATCATGTCAATCTCACAGTCATAGAACTAGCATATAGATGGTTGATAGGCTCTCAATCCTCCATTAGCTTTCTAAACTTTTGATCACTCGTCTAGATACTTGCACTCGTTCATTGGTTTTATGATTCCAAGACACAACTCATAGTTTTCCTCACAACATTATTTAATAGTGTAGTACCTAAATTTAAAATGCATTAATTAAGAATTAAAATATTTTAACAAATGTTGTTGAAATTGAATCAGGCTAGGTTCATTTTTTTATTTGATGTGGCAACTTTATATAGCACTTGTAGTACATCTCCTTTATTAAAGGTGTTGATGTAGTTGGTAGTGCTTTATGTATCATTTGACTCTTATCAAAAATATGGGCCTAATGAAAAGATTGCTATTCATACTTGGAGCTCACTTTCTTCTTCTTTCAAAGTAGATGAGGTCTCTTGTTCAGTTCATTTTTTTATTACAATGTTCGCTTGTAGTAGCTAAAATTGTTTCAATGCATGTGTAACAATTTTCACTAGATGAGCAAAGTGTAAAACTTTCAATTAAGTCTAGGTATAAGTTAACCTAACAAAAACTTTTTGATAGTAAGATGATAGTGACGAAATAAATAAAAAAGTATCATTAAAACTCAAGTCCACACTTTGAAACGTTTGGGTAAATGTGTGCAATAGATTACCCAATATTGTCTAGTGAGTAAAATATTTAAATGCTTTAAATATTTTTAAAACTTTAAGTGCTTTCAATATGTAACGAATTAATTGTTAAAAAGTGTAGAAATTAAATTATTTAAACCCTAATTGATGAAGCATTTAGGAAATTGTTTTATATTCACTTTTGAAAAATAAAAATTTGAATATTGTCATCATCAACACTTGGAGTTCAATAACCTCACTCTTGTTGGTGGTGACAAAACAAAGATAAGATAAAATCTTTAATCCCATAGAAAACTTTCGATTTATAAGTTTTAAACTAGTTGTATGTAAATTACAAAATTTGTGGTGTAAATTTAATGTTTTTTCATTACTAATGTAAAACTTTTAAAGCACATATTAAGTTCTTGAATGTGCCAATGCATAGAACAATTCACAAGACCATCAGACCAATGATGATGGAACTCTACATTACTCATACTATTTATGCAATTAATATAAAGTCTCTTCTTAGAGGGTTCAGCTTTGGCCTCGCAACAGTCACCTATAATAGCTAGAATTAAAATGATTATACAAGTGACATTGCCACAAGAGCACCTATTATTTTTTTTCAATAAATTATAACTTTCAAAAATTTTAAAAATGATTATTCAAGTGAAATTGGTGAAGTATACAACTTTTCATGATGGCAAGATAAGAATTTTAATTTTTAAAAATAAACTTGAACGAGTGCCATCTAGATTCATAATCTTGAGGATTAGGTGCTAATCTTATTTTCCCCTATACCATAAATCTGGAGTAGATTCTCCCTTAGTTTGGTCCCCTAGAGTTGGGGATCTAGAAGAAAATTCATAACTAGGATCTTGAGTTGGTTAGAGCCATTAAATCTAGTGGGAACACACATGATACTAGACTAATAGAATAGGTTAAATAACTAAACCACTAAAAAAATTGTGTGAAATACTTATCTTGGTGTCAAGATCCTAGTATCTAGAAAGAGAAAGAATGAAAAACCAATTTACCTCCTTCCTTAGTATTGTGCCAAAAGGTTAAAACTACCACCAGCCTTAATTATGCCAAATAGACGTAAGTTAAATAATTGTATTGAATTCTGCTGAATAGGTCATATATGTGTTGTATTCATAAGTGATCTCTTGAGCACATGCTCGAAGTTAGATAAATAGAATTTATAAAAAATACATAATAATGATGTTAACTATGTATATGATGATCCAATGAATTTATTTAATACTTGTGATTTCCATTCCAGGTTTATGATGATTTTTCTACTTGAAATCATTTCTTTTTATACTGTTGTATAAAGTGCTAATAAGTATGAAAACTTTCATTGATGAAAATTAATGATTGGGAGATTGATTTTTTTTTGAATGTTTAAAATAAAATTTGGGATGAAAATTTATTTAGTATTCAAGATGTTCATATTTGAAATTATTACTTTGGATCATTCTAAATGGAGAATTAATTGAATGAATTTGAGTTGTATATAGTCATAAAACCTTTCGGGATACTACTGAATATGAATTGAAAAATGATCTTGGAATATTATATATTACTGAAGCGATGATGTCAAATATTAAAATTAACATTCAATATGTCAACCTAATAATTTTTTATTTGATGAAATTTGAATTTAATTTAGTTGTAGAGTTATTTATTTCAAGATGTATTTATGATTCTATTTTAATGATAACATATTCTCATCCAAAATGCTAGAACCTTGAACTTTGGATACATATTTTAATGCATAATTGCTACGTTTATTAGTTTAACACTAGATAAAATATGAATCCTTAAGGGATAAGTCTTACTGATTTTTGATCGTTTGAATTTCTAACTAATTATAGGATTTTAACATTCAATAATGGCATAAAGAAAAGAAATGTTATATTAATAGCCTTGGTCCAAAATTGATTAGAGTTTTGGCAGAAATGTTTAGTAGGCTCTCTCAAGTAATGTCTTACTCATCATTTTAGTTATTATATTATATTGTGTTTTTGCAAAATAATCATTTGAACATAGTATGCCTTTCAATGAACAAAAAGTTTCAAACTTATCTGAAGGGGACTCACATTATTATTGGTGTGTTAGATCTTAATTTCCTTGTTGCTATGTTTCTCAACTTTAGCATTCCAAATTCTAAATGATTGAAACACTTCAAACTTGTGTTTCAAAAAATAAACTAAAACTCTAGAGAAGTTATTAATAAGTAAAAAGCTACCTAACTCGTCCCAATGAGGTAATTATAAATATATCCCCAATATCTGAATGGACAAAGTTAAGAATAGTTTTTTCTTCTCGTAGAAGATAAAAACTTAGCCTTACATTATTTGCCAAGAACACAAGTTCTAAAAAAATCAATTCTACAAGATCTAACATGTTTGAATAATTTTTGATTGTGCGATTCTAATGTTCTTTTCTTACTTGTATGGTCAACATAGTTGCCCCTTAATCTTTTGAATGAGATGTAGTGACTGGATCACAAGAGATAATTTTCTCAAGCAACATATATAATAACTCAAATTTCTCTCCTTTCATAACAAATACTACACAATTTCTAATTTGATTAATGTACTTGCCATTAGTACAATGCAGCCACTTGCATCAAAGGTACATAAATAGATTAGACTTTTTTCTCAAATCCTGTGCATGTCTTACATCTATTAAACATCTTGATTTACATTGTTCCTATCATAATTTTCTTTTACATTAAATGTTGTTTCCATTGAAAAATTTGTATGTGTTAATGTAATATTTAAATGAACACGAGTGAAAATAGCAATCTAAATACAGAAATCACAATTATCGAGCCAACACATAAATACTAGTATTCTATACATAAATAAATTCGTCTTTAGGAGCCACTACCTATGCGTCAAAATTATCAATGCATTATGACAAGAATGCCGACGACTTCTTAGTTCTTCAGCCGGCTGCGACCTTTGGCTCCATACTTTTGGTGTGCATAGTTACTGCATGTCAAATGTTTAGGGCATGGAACAGAATGGTTCGTAGATCTGAACCCTTTTGTGACAGATTTTGGGAAGAGGTCGGTCTCTCATAATTAGACAAGTTAGCTCCAATTCTCTGTCTTTTGGAAGAAGGGAGCTGTGGAGGTGACGGTTTCTGAGGCCAACAAAGCCTATGAATGGTTGGTATCAAATTACCGCTGGAAAGGATGGCTGAACAATCAACGATGAACTAATTTGATAGATAAATACCAGTCAACTATATGCAGGGAAGCGGCAGTGCATGCTTGTTCCTTGCCGACTGTGAGGCTGTCCACTAGTTAACGGGAGAAAAGTAATGCCTGGTCATAAAACTTGATTTTGGCAAGGCTCTTGATACATAAAGATTAGAGCATTTTTTCTACACGGTTCTAGTCGTCATGGGATTGGCCAAGAAACTACGACCCATTTCCATCACAGTGAACAACGAACCATTTGGCCACTTCATGCACTTCATGGTCTATATGTTCATCTTTCTGCTGGTACTTTGCGTCCTTATATGGAGGACAGTAGACAGAGGTGTCATCTAGGGATCTAAGATTCTACACGTGCAATTTGTGGCTGAGACAGAGAGCGTAATGGCTGAGAATTTTCTATAAATTATCGGACTGCTTAAAAAGCTAAATCGGATAATTGTATATAATTGATTCCCATCCTTCACAATATCAGTGAGGAGCTCTAGCTGAAGTTTAATTCTATGAAAAGAAGCACGTAGTGGTGCTATTCCATTAAAAATAAAATAAAAAAATTCAAATCAAATTGGTAAAAAAGAATTGATTAAGAGTGGAAGAATGTTCTGCAGAATATGGATTCTGCTGATAAGACCTAAAATGGCTACCCTTCTCCTTCAAATTTTGAGATCCTTGTAATTGGCGAGAGAGTGTTAGGACATGTATGAAGGTGTAATGATAAACCTGTTCCCAAGAAGCTCTCCTACCAGTTCAACTTCTATGATGATATTTCCCCACTCAATGCCGAAGTGAGGAATTGCATTGCAGTAGTTCCAAACTCATATGGTAACATGTTTTATCATTTTCCTAGTTTCTAAGCCTTTTTTCTTCCTTTGAGTTTATGACAAAGAGTTTAGGACGAATCTTATTTTCAATTACCTTCTTCTTTAAAGTAGTGGCACATATCATTTTCCCTTCAATTTTGATTGGAAACTATTTTCCTTGCAATCTTTAATTTTTTGACATCTTCTTTTTTGACCCTGACCTTTAACAACTAAGCTCTCACCATATTTGGGATATTTATGTCTAAAATAATTTGGTAATAATATAGATTTAACCTTCTCCGTCCCTATAGTGTCCTTAGAATATAGAACAGTAATTACCAAATGGTCATAGGACTGAGGTAAGCATGAGAGAAGAATAGGTTAATCTTCTTGCCCCTCTTTAATTTTCAAACCACAAAGCTATGCAATCAACTTGCCAAAAACATTCATATGTTCTAACATATTTACTCCATGAATACATTAATTATATATTCTCTTCTTCAAATATTTCTTATTTTTAAGGCTCTTTGACGTTTACTACATCTCTAATTGGTTCTATAAATCAATAATAATATCTATACTAGTAATGTTATACTTCACATCATCAGGAAAATACAACTATATTTTATTAAATCTTTTCAAATTCAACTCATACCATTTTCCATTACTTTATTTTTTTATTTTTTTCCTACCCTAAAAAGCTTTGTAAAAACCTTATTGTATAGGGGATTGCCTTTACTCTATTTCGCCATAGGGCAAAATCAATCTTTGCATCAAACTTTACAACTTCAAACATTTCCATTGACATCTTTAGAAAACCAGGGCAAAGATGAGAAACACTAGTTTGGGTCTTATACCAAATGTTGCGAAAAATAACTTTGAGAAAAAAGAGTTGACACAAAATCTGAGATACCATAAGTTAGATCTTAGATACAGATATTGCTATGCAAGTAACAAAAGCAGATCACAAAGTTAACGAATGACAAGGCAGGAGAAAAATGTCAGATGTATTTTTCTAATAAGAATAAGTATTTCCAAAGATTTAATGACCCATAATATTGCAGATCTCAAACTGATGGAATAATTGAATAATCACGTCATAATAAAAGTTAGTAGGTTACATATTGTTTGGTGGTTCAGAGAAAAAACCTCCTATGTTCACACCAAGAACAATAATAAGTTTGAAATACTTGGAGCATGAAGGTCTTCTCTTTTTGAAGTCAATAGGAACACCAATTAGATAGAGGTGTAAGGTTTACGTCTTTCCCTCTTTTCCAAGCTGAAACTCCACCTAAAATAGTCGCTTCCTTTCTCCACAAAGAAGATGGAGCTCTTTCAAGTGCCAGATGGCTTCCAACCCTATTTTTCTGCAGCACCTTGATGCCCTAAAAGGAGGGGAAAAGACCATTTCTTTTTTTCTCCTTTCGGGCCATTTTTATTGGCACACTAGTTTTGGCAATCAATAATAACACATTCTAAGAGTAGAGGGGAAGAAACTAGTGATGGCGGATGTGTATATCACAACTCAGTGATATTTTGACTTATGCTTGAAAAAGAATAATTATAAATTTATGACGACTGTTGTTGCTGTTCAGATGATGATTCAATGGCTGCATTTCATGATCATAGTTTTAATTCCAGATTAGCAATTAATTTTTTTCTTGAAATCACTACTTTGTTTAGAACAATGGAGAGTACAAGTAATGATTAAAAATAATACTCTTGAAGAGTAATGATTTGGACACCAATTTTTATGTGGATATTTAAAATAAAATATATGGAAAGCATAAATATTAGATTAGATGTCAATACTTTTAAAGTATTGTCTGATTTTTTCTAATGATGAATTAATTAATTGAATCCAAAGTATATAGATAACTTTCTAAGAAAATTATTAATATCTTTAAATATTAACTTAAAAGTTTTTTGGAAATATCATATGCCACATAAATAATCTTTTTGAATACTAACATGAAGATTCAGCGTGTCTATTTCATATTAATATTCCACTTGAGGTGATTTGGAGTTAAATTGGCTTTGAAATCATTACTTTATTATAATATATATCATCAAATATGCTTTAATGCTAACAAATTATTTGTAGGTACTTTGAACAGAAATTTTTGGATATATATGTTAAATATTAACTATATTATAATTACTTCATAAGCATATAACAAAGCCAAACCCATGAAGGATCTATCATATTGCTTTTTGACCAGTTAAATTTGTAACTAATTTCTGAATCTTAATGATAAATTACAATAAAAAGATAGGAGAAGGGCTTGACTTGAATTTTTCTAAAGATTCAAGCCTTATCTAATGGCTAATTACCTTTTCGAATGATCATACTCAACTACTCTTTGATCTTGAATTATATTCCAACAATTTTATCAGAGAATTAAATACAACAAACTGAAATTTGAAGATTGCCTCAATAATGAGAAAAACGAGTTGGGAGTGAATCTTGATGTCAAAAAAGAATTCTGCTTAACCTTAATTCAGATCAACATCTTCTACAATTAGATAGCTTACAAATATGAAAAGGAAGAAAGAAATCAAACACAATCTAATTATTTCTTCATCAAATTATAGAAAAAGCTTGGTCTCATTCTTTATTTTTTACATGATAAATTTATGATATAGTTTAACTTAATCACACACAAGAGCTGAGCCTTATAATCAGCTTTGGCCCATGTAGAGCCATGAATCAAGAAGAATACTTTGGTTTGAAATTCTAAGAGAGATGGACACTATACTCAACAATAGTCACTAGATGGTGTTTAAACAGAACCTAGGAATAAAGTGTTCTTGGAGAGTGAATATAATCATGATACTAAACTGTTAGAAAATTCTTGATGTGATTAAGATTTAGATCTAGGAAGTCTAGGAGACTTGAATATCAAAATAAAAGATCAAGAAATATTAGAATTGTGGACCAGAGTTAAAATTAGAATAAGATCAATTCAACCACCTTTTCATTATCTTAGTGCTATCTTAAAACCAACAAAAAATACCTATAATTGTGTTTCTGCTGGTGCATTAATTTATAATACTTTGATGATGATAGAAACGCATAAGATCAATAAATAGAGAGAATATAAGCATGGGACTAAAATTCCAAATTTTAGTTGATTTCTCTAATTAAAATAATTAATTTTTTTTATTATAGTATAAAGTACTAAAAATTTATAAAAATAACCAATGATGGAAAGTAATGATTAGCACATCAAAATCAATGAAAATTGTTCAAGTAAAATATTGGTGTTGAAGCGTACACAATATACCAGATGTGCATGATGTTAAATCATTAACTTAAATTAATCTTATTATCAGATCAATTGATTGAATCATATTTACACAACTATTCAAGATTTGTACAATATTAATGAATATTAATTAAAAATATATTTTGAATTATTATAAGTCATCAAAGTAATGATTGTTAATATTGAGGTCATGATTTAGTTTGTCCAATTGATATTCATGATTTTTTTGAGGTAACTTAGATTATTTTTAAATGAAAAATTATTATTTTTCTTTCAAGATATATTCTTGGTTCTATTTTAACAATAAAAAATTCTTATTGGACTCATTAGAATGTTAGTGTTTTACGGCTATATTGTATTAGTTTTTCTTAGAGGATACCTGAAGTTTTAAAGGTCATATTGTATTGAGTTTCAACTATTCGAAATTCTGACGAATTTTGCTTTTTTAATGTTCAGAAATGAAAATAAGAGATTTTTTCGAATGAAATTTCTTTATAATTTGAGCCTCTCCCTTATGGCTAATTAGTTATGAATAATCACTTCTGACATTTCTATCATTCTTTTCCCGTCCATCCATATCTCACAATCACTTATTTCTACCGTCTGATTGGCGTGTTGACTATTATTTGGAAGATACAGCCGTTGACCCTCGGGGAGGGAGCTAGAGAGCCACTTGAGGTACGGCGCCTGCATGGGTTTGCATGGTGGCTCTCGAGGGGTTATGAAGAAGACGAGGAGAAAGAAGAAACGTTTCAAGCCGCTTAGACTCCGAGGTTAAAAGGAGACCGAATACAACCGCGGGGTATTCTTCTGGCGTCTTGGATTTTATTTCTACAGGTTTCACCAGCTGATCGGATCCCCTCCCCGCGCCCGTAGTCAACGTCTCCGGCAAGCAGAGTCGGCGAACAGGCGGCGCCACCGGAAGTGTTGGCCTTTCAGAGGAGGAAGAAGAAGCCGGTGGCCATGGCGATGCCGGCGGCGGCGGGATATGTGACCTTGGTGGTGAAGGCTCCGCTGCCGTCGGCGGCTCCCTCCGGCACGGCAGCGGTGGAGGGCGAGGTGGCGGCGGCGACTGAGGGGGACGTTGCGGTGGCGAAAGAGGTGGGAGCTGCCGCCACCGGTGAGACTGCGGCGACGGGAGCTTTCACCGAGGAAGTGGGGGAAGAGGCGCCGGGGGCGGTGGCGGTGGCGGAGACAGCGGGGGAGGCTGCCGGAATATGCTTTCTGGAGGTGGGTGCAGCTGCGAATGAGGTGGTGGGGGCGGCGGCGGGGGGCTGGGCGGCGGCGACGGCGGAGCCGGCGACGGCGAGGAAGACGATGGCGAGGGAGGAGATGTGAAGGGCCATCTTGGGGCTGGGGAGGGGCTCGCTCTGCAGCACTCCCTGAAAGGGATCGGAGATGATGCAACTCAAGGAAGTGCTGCAGAGGAGATATGGGGGATGAAGCTGGTGGGGAAGAGGTTCTCTCGGCGGGGGTTTATATAGGAGGGCAGACCCTGATGGGTCAATGGGGCGGGGAGGCGCACCGAGTGAGCTGCGTCCCGTTGACGGTGAGAGAGGACGTCCTGGGATGTCGCACAGCAACGGCTACGAATTCCGGCTCTCTCTCTCTCTCTTCCCCTTAACCGCGGGTAAAAACTGAGGACAGCAGGCAAGGAAGGGATGGCCGGTTGGAGAAAGAGAGAGAGAGAGAGAGAGGTTGACTCACATTGCAAGAAAACTCCTGAAGAGATCCCATTTAAGGAAACTTTCGCATTCGTTCAAAGTCGGAAATACCTCACATATTTCCCAAGAAACATAGGTCGAGGAAACAATTCCTCTTCAGAACGCAGAGAGTAATTCCATGAGAATAATTTCCACTTACGAAGATAAATAAATAACTTTATTTGGAATCCAGACACATAAATTGTGGGAGAATACCAACCAAAATGGAGTTCATATCCACTGTGAAGTTAATAAAAAACTACAAAAAAATACCTTAAAAGGCATGGTCGAATGAGATGGCATGAAAAGACTTGCTTGAAATTACTGAAAAGAGGCTTTTTGCTGACAAATATTTATAGGAGTTGACTTACTGAATTCATTTTTTAAGGTGCCCAATTTGCTTAATAATTTTTACCTGGCAATTTAATGGGGTTTAGAGGATCTGAGGAGAGATCATTGGGCTGAGTCTTTTTTTCCATCTCTTCACCTAATCGCCTACCTACATCTTAGATCCCTCATAATCTTTTCAAAGAGAAATAGAAATAAAGGCCAGAAAAATAAATAAATTTCCAAGAACATATTTTTTTGAATCAATGAAATTATTACTTAATATTTCATGGTGAAGACAATAAATAAAATAAATATTCTTTTTTCAAAGACAATTGTGATTGATTGCAAAATAAGGGTTGGCAATGAGGGAAGAACACAGATGAGATGCTCCTAATCTCTTGAGATAACGTTGGATTACTTATTCTGTGCCCAATAATTCCTAGGTTTCCTTTGCCTTGAAACACGGTTTTTCATTGAAAAATGTTTATGAGAAGTTCATAAAATCAAGTAAAATCAACCAACTAAAAAAAGATGATGATTCATGAAATAAAATCAAGAACGCTAGGCACATATTCTCAGGCGATCATTCTCAGTATGAGTGAGTAGTAATATATTCATCATTTTTAGTACGAGTATGCAATCGAAACAAGTAGCAGCACTCTTAAACCTCACATGTTATGAGCTTCTTGTTTTGACTCAACTCTCACCAATGAATGCACTTGTTCTAATAAAGTCAAGACCACTCACGACAGAGTGATATAGAAGGACAGAGGAAAAGTCATAATTACCGCATTTGGATCCTCAATTCAGGGGTCAAATACCCAAAATAGCTAAATCTGGAGCAACCTGATTGAGCCAGTAGGTCTCCTGGATCTGACTTTTGCTCCATCATAGTAAGAAGAAAAAATCAATAACATTACATAACAAAAAATCAATATATAATGTACATGTGGGCACCGAAATTCGTGCATGGGAGGCCCCTCACAGACCAGGAAATCATGGATTGATCTTGTGAGTGATCCGTGCTGCCATGTGAGAAATACCCAACTCATTCTCTGAACTTCACCGTGATATTCTTAGCCATGGATGACCAATGAATCTGAAAGAGGCCGAGTTAGTAGCTGTAGATTCATGCTCTTGCCAAAAGGAACGGATAGAAGTTGACTTCTTTATAGGAGAGCATGTGGATTGTGATGTCAGCAACACCCGTGGGTCATTGACTCGCTTAGAAGCAACAGGTTAATCAAATGGCCTCTGTACTCTGCAATTTTACCCAAAAATAGAATTGGCAAAGAAGGAAATAAAAATAAAAATCTCCATTAATATCTGACCAGCATTGCAGACGAAATCCTACGCATTTTTATTATCTTTTTGCCAAAATGGCAGCATAAAAAAGTGAGGAAGTCATCACTGTGAAGAAGGTTTCCTGGCTGACATGTGCTGAGACCTTTACCATAAAAAGCCATGGGGCAAGGACATATTGAATGGAAACATAAATAGAAAATAACAAGCAATGGCGAAGAACAGAATATATTTACATCAAACCGATTAAAATCATAATCAGTGAGAAAAGCTATCAAAGGCAAGAGATGTATCAGTGAAACACAAAAATTATTTTTTAGGCGTATAAAATTCAACAATTACATGACTAGTCATACCGTGGAAAATTTCCAGCTCTTGCAGAGGTCTTCAGGGAGCCAAGAAAGGGTCGTCGAATTAGTCCTAATGATACAAAGACAACATAACATCAAATTAAAGAAAAAGGTAGATAGAGTGCCTGTATTATTAAAAAGTGTTTGGCATAATCAAGAAAGCAGATCTTCAGGAAAATTCCATGAAAGAAAGAGAAAGGTAGATGTTCATGTCTGTTTTCTACTATTTGTAATGTCACATGGTATCAGTTGATAACATAATACTACGGATAAAGAAGTCGAAAATAAAAGTCAAACAATGAACCTGCCTTCTCATAATACAGTTGACATAATGTCCTGGTGACCATAATTGCTCATGGCTAGTGATTCTATCAGAGTATGCCAACCTCGGCCACAAACTAGTCCATGGTGAAAGGCACGCACAAGATCTCTGCTAGCATGAGAACTGAAAATGAGAGTCATGAGTCCATGATATCCAACATCTTAGCCTCATATTTCTCCCTCTAGGCCTGGGTCGGTCTAAGATATTCGTCAGTCTGATTTGGAGCCATAGATAATATTACGACCATAGAAGTATATCTATAGATATATATAAATATATATATATATATATATATTTATTTATATATATATGCTCACCTCTCTGACAACTCATATCAGGTCATATTCATCATCGAATGAATCATCCAAGATACATTGAGGATATGTTGGTTCACACAAGTGGACCCCAATTCCCTCATAAAAGAGATCTTCATTGCACTAGGACGACTAAATAGTTCCTGTGTTGGCTTTCAATACTTCCAACTAAATGTAAGTTCCATTCTTCCTGTGATTTATTGCACAGCAGAGCTTTGCAGACGTTAGTTCTGCAATCAAGCCCTTCCATTAAATCAATGTCCTCCTTATACCGTCATGTTCATGATAAATCACAAATACTTGACCTGATGTCACATATTGACTACGATGAACAAAATTCTTCATGGCTTGCCCATAGAGCATGGGAAAACAGGATATGCACCAAGGGGGTATTGTTGTGAACTCATTTCTAATAGGGTTTTTTCTCCCATCATGGGGCTGTCATGTATCTTTGGAAACTGCCCCTAAAGACTTTCGGTTTAAAGCTAAATTACTTTTTCCTGAAGAAATCATACCCTAATGTCCAAAAGTTATACATGGGTCTATAGAACATGGAAAGCCCTCGTGTTGATAATGGCTCCATGTTAGGTGACAACAGCCTCCGTTGAGTTTTATTCCTATCCAATTAAAGGGGATAATATGAGCAATATATTCCCTTCAGTGCTGTCGGAATTTCTGTTTAGGATAATGAAAATCTACCATCACACGGACATCTGAAGGACGTGACCCAGAAATTTTTACCTGCTCTTTATTGTCCATTTGAACAGAATTTGTGTTTGGTTCCTTGCTTTCTAAGAAATGCGCCTTAGCTGCCTCTTCAGCTCTCCTTCGCTCTTCCTGCTCCTGCTTCCTTCTGGCTTCTTGCTCCTTTAACTTTTTAAATCTGAATAAAAATAAAACAAAATAAGTACTAAGGTTTGTATGTAGAAATTTAAAAACTTAGAGATGATCCCCTTAGGATTTTACCTTTCACCTGGGCGTGGCCCTGTAGGTTCTGGTTTTAGATCGAAAGTGGAGTTGAACTTGTTGGAATCAATAAGCCGTTTAGGTTTTTGGACGCTTTGTGGCTGCTCCCTAACAATTTTATCACTAAATCCTTTGACAGGGTTTTTTGCACCACCAAGCTTTTGAAGCCATATTTGTTGTCCAATGCTCAAGATATTATTCGTAAACCTACACAAAGACCATGTTCAGATCTTTCCGAATAAAAACCACCAGCTTCTATTACAGATATCAATGAACTTCAGAAAAAAAGATGCTAAGAAAGGAACTTGCTTGTTTTCTCCAAAAAAAACTATCACCAAAGGTGTTGACGACATGTTAAACAGGGTAAATTGCTTTGAGTATTTACGTTAGCAGGCTATGCCTGTTCACCCGAAAAACTGTTTATATGGCAGTTGATAGACATAGAGACGACCCTGAGACGATAAAACCAGTCTTATCAATATGCTATTGAGAAAATCATCATAAATCCAACCCAACAGACTCTCTTATTTGGTTCCCAAGAGAAAGAAATCATTTCTAAGGGAGAAGGTAAATCAAGCGGATTAAGACAACAAGGAAAACAAATCATTTCCTTGCTGTCTAATATGCCCATAAGCGGATGAGGTGAACTCTCAGTTCCAGCGAGCATATTAGCATCGTAAGTTCATCAAAGCACACACATAAATATTAGCCGCATATGATTAAAACAAATTGAAAACTTCATAAGAGAAGCACAAAGTCCAAAGGTATAGAAGGTAAGGCATATTTAATAGGCACAGCGTGGACTGCTAATGAATAAAATTAAATGTCTAAGGAAACAAGAAATTCTCAGAAGGAAAAAAATGTTACTCTGGATATTATGCAACACTGAGGAATTTTTTTCCCAGGCAATAAATGCTTCGAAAACATGCGAATAATGTTATACTAGCATAAGATATTTCATGAACTATATATCTCTGGACCTATAAAGTGATTTCATTCAGTGTTCTTCACTTCCATAAGAAAGTCTTTCTTTTGACTGAAGAGGACTGACTCACCAGTAAAGACTCAATCCCGATGGAACAGAAAGAGCAAAATAACCAATCATCAAAGGCAGAATTTTTGTTACAGCCTGAGCACTCGATTGATTTGGATCATTTGCCTGAAATTTACATTCACAGAAAATCAGCTGCCATTATCAAAAACAAAAAATACAGAGAAAATGCTCAACATTATGTGTTTAGCACCACATTATGAAAACAGTACGTTTTAGAAAGCGAAAGAGAATCGAGCGCCAAAAGTTCAAGCAAACTAATATTTGGCAGAAAACAAGGTTATCAATAAAAAATACATGACTATGATCAAAACATATTGTACCAACTTGGATGGAGATCATAAACTGCAGGAGAGGGATGGACGATCTTTGACGAGACCAAATGCAAGCACATTTGTTCACGAAATAGCAAGTTTTTGTGGGTTTCACTAAATTGTGTTCAATTTCTATCATACTTGTTGCTAGAATAATATCTATCATGAAATATGATTTTCCTTGTTTCCAACCGATCGGAGTCAAAAATATTTCACAAAGTTATTCAAGTAAAGAGGTCATGAATTTCTGAGGGGATTTTTTCCAGTTTATCACCACTTTTGGACGTCAATTTAGCATTCTTTCAAGACATGGGATGAGATCAGTAGGAAATTATGACTTTGGAGAAATGCTATTTCTTGAATTTATATTAAGCTATTTAACCAGATCTCTAGATGCCAAAGGTAATAGATGCTGATCACACCTACATGCACTACAGTGAGAGAGCAGACTTGAGTTTCCGTAATAAGGATTTCATTCTTCAATCTTCAATGTCGTGGGTTCCTTAAACGCCAGCCCGTCTAGGGTTAGACGTCAGGAATATTGTATCAAGGGTTTTTCTGGGAACTCATTGATGATATCCTTATCTATATATGTATATATATAGATATATACATATATATACACATATATATTCCTCAAGTCTTATATTTTTTCCATATGTAGCATTACCCGCTTAGAAGAAAGAATAATACTGAAGTGATAATATAAATGCTTAAAAAAAATAGGAGCGGGACAGGCTCCTGATGCAATTATCTGCACCTACATATTATTCTAAACAACGTTAAGCAATTAGTTGAAATATCTGGAGCACCGAGCATCTTTTAAATATCTGAAGCACTTAATATAGACTTAAAAAATCAAATGATGGCATATTAGATTGCAAATACTAAGCACAACAAACCTGGGTTGGTTGCAAAATTTGTGCAGAAGCGTACTGTGAAAAAACAAGCAGCACTGGCAGTACTAGATATGCAATCGTGTCTGACCATCCTAAAGGTGGATGACCATCCTGCAACAGCATCAAGAGATGGAAGGAAGAGTTCATAAATGAAGCCATTAACATATGAAAAGAATACTAAAAATATTTAATTAGGTCAGCTATGTGTAGGAGAGTAGTTAACAGTCACTCAGTTGATATGTTGAATATTTTTGAATTTCATGCGACCATTCAAAATGTTGGAGTAAGTTATTTAAAAATAAAATGCACATTTACCTAGGCTAATAGGTGGGAAACATACCGGAATTGAAAGGCCTAGTAAATTTTTGAAGCAAATATTATAACCTGCACACTTATTTTATATTTACTGACTCACCACAAAAGGAAAAAGCCAAGAGGTTCCAGTCCCACTTTGGCGTGAAGCAATTGTTATTGGACCAGAAAGGGAGGGTATCCAGAAAAATCCCTCTGTCAGGAGTCCCTAGTAAAATAACATACTCTAACATTAGAATGTCCGGATTAATGGAAATATTTTTGTAGCAAGCTCTAACTATATCAATGGTTTAAACGAATTATCAACCTCGTTTGCCACATTTGAGAGGGCTCTATATAGTCCTATCCAGACGGGAATTGTAGCAAGAGTTGGCAAGCATCCTGACAAAACACAGTTTCATGAGATTAGCACATCAGAGCTTCAAGTTAAACATCCACAGATTAACATATTGAATCAATGAAGTTATTAAGAATAAGCACGTAAAAACCTCAGTCATGCTTTGACCAAAGAGGATGTAGCATATTGAACTATTGAATCAATGATCATATAATGCAGAAATCAATCTATGACTTTTTCCCATCATATAATCCATACCTCAGGAAGAGAAATTAATCATGTTTTTTCTGTCTGCAACAGTGGCAATTACGGACAGGTCACAGCATCTTTACAATGAATTTCATGAAAGAAGATAGAAGCTAAAAACAAATCAAGTTCGTCGTTGGGATGTACCTGGAAAACTGCAATACTACATCGAATATTCACTGAATTTCAGAGTTTCAAATTCGTAACTTCCAAAATACCTTTCCTAGGTTTTGCTTTACACCAAGTGACTAAAATTTAGATTTTCATATCATGATTCAGGTTGGTATGGCCTCTATATATTCTCGAATTGTGCAGTTAATGTCTACAGTCTTCATTTTCCTGTGGGGTCTTTCTGCGAAGATAAACAATAGGGTTTATTCAACTATTTCTGAAAAATACAGTAGTAAATTTATTATTCGTTACAGCAAAACCAATGCTCATGAAGAAAATTTCTGACTACAGTTGGACGAGTATATATTCCAGGATATCACGGTGCATTATATGTTCTGGAAGGCACCCTTCAAGACAGCAGTCACGCATTTGCCGTCCATCAGCTTTGAATTATTGCTTTGGAGTTCATTTGTTTCCTTCTTTTCTGCCTGTCACAGAAATCATTTATAACCTATTTTCTCGTAATTTTTTTTCTGGAACTTAATGAAGGCATTATCGTGGTATTCTAGTGTTTTCTCCATAATACGCCGTGACAAAATATTCTTAAGCCATTCCAGGATTTTTCACTAACACAGTTAAGTAGAAATGAAAATCCCCAAAGGTTCTTTTTGCATACAACAGATTTCACACACTGAAAAGGTTTCTAAGTTACATCACTAAAACAAAACATTTCCGTTTAGACGGATGCTAGAGTTTTCTACATATTGTAAATTGCTTGTTTTGGGAACTGTTATATTCATTCACAGGAGAAGATACAGCTGGAAACTGTTATATAATGGATAACAAGCAAAACGAGCATAAATACATTGTCTGAACCAATCGAAATCTGATGATGTAACAGTTGCTCTCTTTACAGCCTTAAAACAGCTTAGATATTTGAATTCATCGTATTTGATAACAGTCACATAAACACATCAGAATGAACAAAAAATTAAAGCAATCCAAGTTCATTCATAAAGCACAATGCAGTTTAGACGAATGATCGATTTATTTCTTCACAAGCACCTGCAAAAGGGTTGACACCAGCCAATTTATACAACCGAGCAGTTTCCAGCTGTATCTTCTCCTGTGAATGAAAATGAACATCACAGAAAATTAAACTTCAAATGAATCGAACAAAAAAAACATGGTTAAAAAAACTCATCTTACAAATAGCTATTTAGTTTAGCACTAGAATTCACTTGAATTGCATCAGAAAACATTTCAGCAATGAAACAGCTAGAAGATAACTATTTCTTCTTCAAGCAGAAAGTGTCACGTCACAGGAAATAATATTCCAGATAAAGTCACATTCCCTGCAAGGTAGGCTTTTATTGACAGCCGAGGATTAACAATATGATTAACCTTGATTAACACTTAAGGAGAGTAGCGTTTACTCAAAATGATGACTAGACATGGCCTGATATAAATTAAATACCAACCTAATTACAGAGCACGGGACACCCAAATAGCTATTAGGGACTTGGATCATATCAGATTTAATGGGCATGCTCCAGTCTTCAACCAGAGAAAGGAACAAGAAGCTTGAAACATTGTTCACAATCAAAAAAATATGTCCATTTACGGTCCACAAGAGGAGACTTCAATCTTGTTACAGCAGTTAAAGGCATGAGATGGGACAACCGACAAGAGGCCTTACCCGAAATACAACTCTTCGCACCATGAAGAAAGGAATGCTCAGATCTTCAGAAGACAGAGCTTCGTGATAGAGAGGATAATCAGTAGTTATAGTCCTGGCTAGGTTCTCTTGCAGGCTGAAAGTATGATTTCCTGTTTTGGGAAGCTTTCTAGCCAGTATATTCTTTACAATCCCTTTTTAGACCATGAACTGTTTCATATGGAAGACTTTTTTTAAAAAATCAAAACATATAAGTGCATCACCTTATTCCGGGAATTTGACGAATGCATGGTGAACATCCCTTCTAAAAACAGAAAGTTTAACTCTAAACACACCTGATCTCCAGCAAACCGTTCTTGTATGGCCTTTACTTGAGGCTGCAGAGATCGCATAGCCAAAGAAGACTCTACCTGAAATGGAAAAGAAAAATTATCCAGCCATGGAATGATCCCTATTAAAGTCAAGCCATGTGGAATGATTCACCGAAAAAAGTTAACAAATATTTATAATGTGATCTGAAATGAATCATTCAATCCCCGTCAACTTAAGCCCAGCAATGTACCGATCATAATGAAAACTATGGCTCTCTGGCATAGAACTAACAAAAGAATCATTTGAATTTGAAATTTTTAATAATTTAGAGCATTAAAATCTCGCAAGAAATTACAGAAAAGTACCTGGTGCAGCATATAATTGGGTGCAAATGACTAGGAAAATACCAGATATACATGGATTGATCATACTGTAAACATTTGACATGTACGAATTATAGCTTAAATGTGTTTCACTTCTGAACTCACATAGTATAAGAAAACTTGTGGCCATTTTATGGAAATGGTCAGTTTCTAATAGCGTCCAGGAGCACAACAGCATATGATGCTCTAAAGCTCATCCATCATACTCTAATTGTCTTTATGTTGACATTAATTCCTCCATAATGCCTAACTGATCTAGGTAATCCTGATAAAGATCGAGGTGGCATGTATATATTTCAGGCGCTTCATCATCCTATTTCCTACTTTTCTGTATTGATAAGCTGCTTCAACTGGGTTCAGCTACTAGATTACTGAGCTAAAGGATTAGGCAAAGAAAGTTGTCATCGAATGGATGTGCTTTGACTCACTTCACTTTCAATTAAAGCATTTAGAGTGCAGACTTCCAAATTCTTTTATTTTGCATTAAATCTACATGATCAAACTCAACCTTTTGCAACCAGCAAATGCCTAGGGTGGCCAAACAAGGGATCAAGGAGAGTACCTTTTGGTCCTAATCTTGTATCCAGATGACTTCCCCTACAACAATGCTTCCTTATCTACATATTACAAAGGCCTAGATGACATTGAACTGCACGACGAGTGCATTTTCCAGTGAGATCATTGCCAATCCTTCATGAAATGATATCATGGTAGAGTCCTGGGGGAAAGGGATGAATACCATGCAAGAAGCAGACTAATTGCTCAAACTTAATAAGCCATTGAATATGCACTTATAGACGAATTTATATAGGGAAGAAGAGTAAAACATTTCAATATTTTCCTGCTGGACATAAACTCGCGGAATATTTTTATGCATATACATATGGTCACAAATAATGAATATAAACGCAGCTGGTATAATATCTGAATTCAACCAGAAGTACTGCACAAGTTCACGGGAAGAATAAAACAATCCGAGATCAAAACATGAGTGATGGTTTACAGTTGCAATCAACAACCAAAAAATTTGCAAAACTAACCTGTCGCCAATCAACAACCAAAAAAATTGCAAAACTAACCTGTCGCTTTGTCAAAGGAAATGTGGCCGCCTTAACAAGAACTGTGAGTAGTATGATAGCAAAACCGTAGGAATATGGTACATTTAAAGAAGAAAGCCCATCCTTTAGAACCTGAGAAGAAAGAGACTTTTCAGCTCAAGTTCTTAGTGACGTACTGAACATCTCAAGCAATGGGCAAATACTTTCCATGAGCCTCATTCAGTCACAGCATATTTTCAAAAAATGCTTAAACGAAAAAGCGCAATAAAAGGTATTGAATGTTACAAAGTACGATAATTTTCCAGAGATCAACCTATAATCAAAGTGTATAGGGAATTTGATGACGAGGCATGGAAGAACTGAATAACTGGCAAGGTTTCCTTGAACAGATAATGATAAAATACAACGCAGATTGCTTTATCAAATCAAATGAAAAGCAGTAAAAGGAACCAAATAGCCAGATCTGAAGTCCAGAAAAACTATGAGGACAATCTGCTCTTGTAACCTCCGGTACTGTGTTGGATGACAAACTATTATAGGAGATGGACATGCATTTATATCATCATTAAGCACAATAGATCATCTACAAGATGATGAAATAATCAGCAAGGAGAAAGTTAGAAAACCACAAAACAGTTTAATTAGGCATATCGAACAGTGATAAGCCCTTTGTGGCTTGCCAGGTGGGCACATGCGTCCCCAGGTTATGATTCAGGGTTTTTGGTTAATTCTCCAGGATACATCTTATCCATGCAGCCAGGACAAGTCAAGGAGCCGACCAGTAACATGAATCCAGCACAAGTTGTCTTAAAACCCTGTTTAAGTGATGATATAATGATCAGATCAAGAACATCACAAAATATTCAGATTCTCTCCAGTGTCTAATGCCGCAAGTTGGCGCTAAGCCCATATCTTCCAGGTGAATGCAATAGTCATTCCATGAACTGCCATCTTCCTGCAAGTTGGCACTAAGCCCATGTCTTCCAGGTGAATGTAATAGTCATTCCATTAACTGACTTAGCAACAGGTTGCCGCAGTCACCATGGCTGCTGCAGCTCACGTTTCTACACCTAAGGACTTCACCATGGCTGCTTCAGTTTCTGCTGCTGCATCTAGTAGCTGTGTTAACTAACACTAGTACAGTACAGCCATAGGTAACATTCCATGGTGGATACTCAGGATTCCCACACCCTTCATAAGTACTCTGGTTTATATTAACATGTTTTTGTCAGTATGTGACGAAAGTACTAGGGTAGAACAAGGAAACATAAAGTCAAAAAATGTGTTAATTTCCCCTGTACGAAGGCTAGCATGGAAATTTCTGAGAAGCGCATGAACTATGATCAACTTTAGGCTATCATGGAAAGTTTTCTCTACCTTTCCATGAGTTCACAGTCTGAAGAGGAAGAAATGATCGCTTTCTCTTTTTACCATCATCCATCGGGGAATAAATTGCTTAAACCTTATAGTATAAATGCAGTCAACAACCGTTCCTCTCCAAAAACTGTCCAACGGCAGTGATTACGGCATACTAGCAGAAAGGGGAGTACTCTCACACTCAGTCCATAGCACAGAAGAAACTATTAGCTTTTCTAGAGACGATAAAAATCCACCTTGAGGATAAACTCCATGTAGTCCGTGATGCCGGAGAGCCAGTCCCTCTGCTTCGCGGCCTCCACCGTCGCCCCCGCAGCCGTGGATGCATCGGAAGCAGAATTCACGGCAGCATCAGCTACAGTGTACAGGAACCCCTCCGCCCTACCGAGGAGCTCTCTTCCCCAGTCCTCCGCCCCCTCGAAGCCAAGGAAAGCCGGCGGACCCAGCCTGGCCACCACAGAGCCTCTCCGGGAGAGCACACTCCTCCGTGGGGCAAGGCAAGGGGAGGAGCTCCTCAAAGGAACCACAGAAGAAGAGTTCCCCCTGCTGCAGGTATGGAAGAGATGAGGATGGTAGCAGAGGAGTCCCGCCATCTTAGAGAGAGAACGAGAGAGAGAGAGAGAGAAAGAGCGGGGGAGAAAGAAGAGGATTCCACCGCCCTCCCCTGCTGGCTTCGTCATCTCACGTGTGATGCGGCATTTCTACGGTCACATTTGGGTGCAGTGTGCCGGCGGAGTAGAATAGTGAGAGCGACCCTCTTCACGGAGCTAAAAAGGATACTCGAAATCGGCATATATTAAAAGGATAAGCCCCTTGACAATTAGGGGAAAGAGTGGGAATCGGGCTTCAACCAGATGTCCTGTTTATGGGCTCCGAAAACGATAACAGGCACGACTCTCACTAAAACCAGGCCCAACTAATTCCTATTCAAGCTACGCCTGAATCTCATACAATGCTGCTCTCTCTCTCTCTCCTCTATATATATATATATATATAAGTTAAGCTTGGGAAAAAAACTAGCTCTGACCAAGTTCATATGTCAGACATGTCTAAAATTTATATGACCACAACATGGTCTTCTCTCTCTCTCTCTCTCTCTCTCTTTCTCCTTTTGATTATCAAGGTATCTTGATAATGTGTAGAAAAGAGAAAAATCACTTATCAAACACATTATTCAACAATTTGCATAAAAAAAATTCTAGAACCCCATGATGATTTTCGTAAGCCTATTCACATTCACCCAATGGTGATGGTCTCAATTGTTGCTCCACAAACATAGAGAAACCTCATCACTGAGTAAAAATATTTCTAGACTTTAAGAACTAAGTATTCCTACCTCTTTAGGGCAATACCTAGTGGGGAGAACATCTTCTCCTTATATTCATGCCCTAGATTGACTTCTTTATACAAGAAGGCCCTTACATCACATAAACCCTTGTACTTGTCACTATAATCATTTCTAATAATTATGAGGTAGTGTCAATGGTTTATTGTAATAGTGTAATCAAATAGATATTATGTATGCTAGGACAACTACCATGACCACTTAGCTGAACACATGGACAAAGCCTTTTGCACTCCACATGTGTTGTGACATGACAATATTGTGCCACCTCATGTTTCTATGCCTAACATTGTTGATATGTACCCATTACATACCTCTATGTGCATTACACTATACTAATGTCATCTTGTGCTAACGTGCAATGTGCCTTTAAGATTCATGGACTCACTCTTATTTGTTAGTGTCAGCCATTTAAGTTGCACAAATTGCATGCAAGTCTATGTTACTCAATGTATGTTGCACCTATTGCATGCAGGCCTATGTCACTCAATGTATGTTGGACCCATTGCATGCAAGCTTATGTTACTCAATGTATGTTGCACCCATTACTCAATGTACCCATTATACACCTCTATGTAGACTGCACTATACTAATAGGATCTTGTGCTAATATGCAATGTGCCTTTAATGGCCCTATATATATGCATTAGTCTTCTAATGTCAATGATATATTCTAAGGTTTCTTTTTTTAATTTTCAACAATTTTAAATAGTTTTTACTAAGATTTAATACCATCTCGACATGTGTTTCAATTGTGTTCACTCATTTTTGCCAATAATTGGCTGATCCTTTTATTGTGGAGAGGTGCATGGTGTTGTGATGAAGCTATGTGCATGACTAATGTTATTATTTGAAGTGTTCAAGGATATGTGGTGGGAGAAAAAAATCCAATGATTAAAACTACAATAAATGCAGGCTGATGCTTAGACATGTAGTATGATGATGCAGAACCCTAAATGAAATTGGTGGTGGCATGGAGGAGAGAGAGAGGAAGATCAATGGCTCAAATTAACCCAAATAGGTTGTGATATTGACAAACTCGAAGTATTGGGCTGAAATTTTGAGGGCTGCTTCATCATTATTTCCTCTTTTCACCCATGCCCTAACCCTTATGAGTGGAGCACCGCAAACCTAGATCTTCATCTTTGAGTCTTGCCCCTAACATTTAGTTGGCCACCAAGAAAGAGGGCTGCTATAGATCAATCTTGTGTTCAAACTTTTGATTTAGTGAGTTCTTTCCTTTCCTATTTTATTCATATTGTTGGGTGTAAATCGCCATGGCCTGGGCAAAATGTATAGGTCTTTGATTGAATGATTATTTGAAGAAGCATCATTGATTGGATTTGATCATGGATATCATATGGAAAATCATAAAGATTAGTTTAAGATTTCATTTTCTCATAATTATTTCATGATTCATCAACCCTCATACCATATTTTCATATCCCACCTCTGATCTAGAGAATCATGATCTTGAAAACAAGATCAAGATCTTCAAGATCCTCTCCATTTCTTCTCTATCTCCTCACCTATTTTCCTCTTTCCTTTACTTAAATTTCCTTCCTCTCTTCTTAAAAAACTTGAATTCAGATTTCTATCATTCCTCCCTACGAATTCGACCTTTTAATCATACTCCACTTGTATTTAGTGATTAAAGTGAATTATAAGTATCATTGTATAAGTTTAAAAAGACAAACAATGACATAGTTCATTATGATTTTTGGACTTATTAATCTATGGCCTCAAAGCACTCTCTAGACATGGATGAGATGAACAATCTTTAGATTCTTTTACAAAGTCTAGAAATCAATAAAGTGAGTCAACGAATCATCTCTAGTGATTATTACTTGACAGATCAAAAAATTAGTGACTTTTAGATCTTCTAGGTTGTCACCTGATATAAATAAGTTAGATGGAGGTGGGTGTATCTTAAGGAGCTTCATTCTGAAGTTTGTGTAGCAAGAGAAGGCAATTCATTGCATCTAGTACACTCTTAAAAGGTAGTGACTTGTCTCTTAGTAGATCATCTTCTTATTGATGAAAGTTTATTCGTCAATCAATTAGGCATGATTTTCTCGATGGATTCATAATCTTTTTCTTTTGAATCATAAGGATACTCCATAAATTATGTTGATGACATTTTTACTAATGATTGAGCAATTCTAACAACTTAATCATTTACTAGCACTCTTTAGCAAAATCATGATTTAATTAAATAAAAATATGAGTTTTGATTCTATTGAGATGCAAGCCTTTGCTAATCATCTGCTTGCATAAGAAAGAGGTAACTAATCACACTCATTTCTTTACCTAGTGATGGCATGGAGGCACTTCTCCAAGATTAGGGACATTGTCAGTATAAAAATATGTAAAACTTACCAGTGAGCATTTATGTTGGTTTAACCTCACATCAGCCATTTTTGGAGTTTTGAGACATAATTATAGTAATACATGTTCATATGGTCAATATAGTTGATGTCTTTATTATCATGAGTTAATAATTAGTAAATAATATAGTTTTAGTCTTAACTCATAATAAATAGACTTATATTTGTGTTAAAGTGTGAAAAGTAGTTTTCAGTTGATTAATGTGAATTTTTGGATAATTATGTAATTTTACATGAATTTATATGATTTTTATAATCTTACTTTTAAGATAAATGAAGAAAAAAAAAAGAAATAAAAATAAGACAAAATTAGGGGGACCCACCAACCAGCCAGGCCTGCAAGCAGGTCGAAAGCTTAGTTGGGGAGTAGCCGTGAGTAGGGGCTTAAGTGGCTTGGACTGATAAGGGCATATGTGCGCCACTCCCCTTCCACGTCACTAGTGACCAGCTGGTTGTGAGGCAAAGAGTGGTCATACATGCACGAGAAAGGGACTTTGCTTAGAAATGTAATATTACTATATATTTGTCTGAAAATTCGACACACAACTGATGTGGGACTAAACCCGTCACCTTCCTCAAAAGAGGCGGGGGGGCAACCGGCGTAGGTTCAAATCCTCTAAAGCCAAAACTCATTTTTTTTTTATTTGATTATCACAACTTTCCTATAGATCACTAGTGTAGGATTAAGTAATCAAAATTACTAGATCATCGATGAAAATCTCGTCAACACGATTCACAGAGTATTGTCACTAAAATTATTGAACGATTCGTGATAAAAGGATCGTGAATCTATTGAGTAAAGCATCTCCGATTGATTGACAAACAAGCCATTGCCGGGAAAAAGACGATCTGTCAGGAGATGAGTCAACACCTCTTGAGAGTGTACCAGATACGATGAAGAGCCTCCTCTTGCTATGCGGACCTAAGGATGAAGCTCCCTAACACGCGCCTCACCTCCATCTAGCTCCTCTCTATTGGGTGACAGCCGCCGAAGAGCTACAAAGTTGTCATTTTTTGGCTCCACCGGGTGACAACCATCGGAGATGATTCAACAACCTATTTTATTAATCTCTAGACTTTGCAAAGAGATCTAAAGATTGCCCACGTTGTCTTTGTCCAAGAAGAGCCTTCGAAGCCGTGGACACTACATGACAATCCTCTTGAATGCTCAAAATTTCGGTACACTGCCAACACATTGCCGTCACGACATCGGAACTCTGTTTTCTTACTTTCAACTTATTTTACGCTTCATTTAGTGATAATTTTTGTGATTTTAATTATCAAAATATATTTTGTTTTATTATGATTCTTCCAACTTTTACATAAATAAATTATTTGTAATGGCTTATGTAAGAATTGCCAAGTGGAACTCTATTTCTACTTGATTCCCATTTGCCGGGTGCTGACATCATCTTGACGTCCGCACCCTTATTTCCCTTTTTTGTGAATTTTAAATATATTTCTTTTTCATTTCCTAATATAAAATTCATAGAAAATCATTTTCATTGAGAAATTTTTTGAATAATTATCAGATATTATATTACATCTCTGTGATTAATGTGGAAAATTATTAATATTTTTTGAAGTTTTATTAAATATATAATTAATATATTTATTTAGAAATACTTCTAAATATCCAAAAATTCATATTTTCTAGTTTTATAAATTTTAGATTTACGTGATTTAATATACAATGACTAAGTCACGTCAAATTTTGGTGCCGTTGTTGGAAATATATTGCATAATATTTCATATATTTTTTTTTCTCTTAGAGTAGATAAAAAAAAAATTAACTCTTGTTTTATTTTCTTCTTGTTGAAACTTTTTTTTAGAAAAAAAGAACAAAAAGAAGCAAGGCAAG